ACAGTTTATATTATTATCTTCACAAAGAATGAAGCGAATGATCCCTGCTCCTACCAGTACATTTCTCGGTCGTCACGCTGACTTGCTTTGAAACCAGGATCGCGTTCGCCGCGTGCGTTGTGGCTCCATGACTGCACAGATTTTGCATTTTGACGTCGTCGCTTCCGTTCATCATTTTTCCCTCACTTCCATTGTCGAAAGTCATGTTGGTCGTAATATGGCTCACACTTCGCGGCCCTGGCCGAACGCGACTTGATGGACCCCCGCTGCCACCAATCGTTCGAAAGCCACTTGATGGGTTCCGGTACGCTTTGTTGTTGCTCGACCGGAAAGAGCTAGGGAATAAAGGAGTGAACCAAGTCTTAAGTAGTGGGAAGATCATGGGAAGATTTGTTGTGACGACTGCGATGAATGTCTCTCGCGTACCCCACTCGGCTGCCAGCTGCCCGCCGTTGATCGGATCCTTTGGAGGGTTAGCTTTTGAAGATAGAACTCGTCGTAGGAATTGAATACTGGGGGGACTAGAGACGATGCTTGGGAAATGAAGAGTAGGCTTACAACAATGACATGTATACTCTTCAACGTTGCACACACGATGATCAATACACCTCCACTCGGTACAAGGGTTGTCGCAAGTTTCTTGAAGGACCTCAAGCTGGATTTCCGGAGCATAGGAATCGGAATGAGGAACAGGTACGTGTCCGTTGAGACGTTCAAAATGAAGGATACCCAAAGGATCGGTTTCGAGATAGCCGCTTGGCAGGCGTTTCCAGGGTCAGGCTTTATCTGCCAGTAGTGGTGAAATGGTCGACATGAGAGGTATATTGTCATGAGGACAACGATGAAAGTGGAGAGGATGAGCGCCATCGCGACGCGAATGCGCATGGGGTATCGCTCAAGTCCATTCTGTGACGGGTTTGTCAGTTGATATTGCGTGCCAAATGCTCGCACACATGCATGCAAGATCAATACATACAGTAAGGCGCATATAAAAGAATGTCACACACAGCTTGAGCGTCCACAAAAGACACGCTGCTGTTGTCCACCCTGCTACCTGAATCTTTGATCCAATCACCCTAGATTGAAGTTAAGCCGCGCAGCAACTCTAAGTAGACATCGACTATAAATCGAGAAATAGGATAGGTAATGTGACGATACTTGACATACCTGAACGCATATTCGGGGTCATCACGCGAAAGCACACCTCTTTGCACATCGCTCATGCCGTTGTTTGCGAGGCCATGGGCAGCAGTACCGTAGCTATGGCCAAGAGTGCATTGTGCCGAGTATATCAGCTAACGGAAAGATGGATTAGCAACCTTGGAAAGGACCGCCGATAGCGGAGACGTTGATGTAAATTGATACATACCACAGCCACCCATATGAGGTAATCATCAGGATGCAATTCTCTAACCCCAACAGCGACGATGCGGGCATATGTGCGAACGAATGTGAATGACACGCCAACAGCGTACAAGATCCATAATTCCACTGTGGGGTTACGAGACATGGAGAGGTAAAAAGAGCGGGGGCGACCGCAGAATACCTGTGTAGTATTTGATGGATTAGCAGACCAGCGAACAGTCGTACATTGTCGCACAACTTGGAGACAAGCTACGATCTTATGTGTTTGCAGGACTTTAACTCTCGCTTTGCGAATTCACATGCGCTATGGACGTTTCCTTCCTCTTTTTCTGGGTGGCATGTCACTACCCTCAAGCACTTGACGCTTGGCGATTGACACATCGAGCTGCGGTTCCGCAACCCTGCATCGGAAGGATCGTTAGTTGGCATGCGGTGAGTCTTTCATGGAAGAAGTGGACTTAGGTAGGATCTTGTTCGCTTTTAGAACCCGAAGGAAAATAATGCTCGGTATAAAGGTACATCACGACACGTATGCTCTGTGGTATTGCAACTGCGCTCACCATACTTGGGCTATCGCGGTGTCCTCGTCTGCTGTACAAATTCTCAGATGGCGTGTTGCCTAATCCCAGGCGAATTGCCCTTACTTCTGCTCCGGTATACCCACCAATAACCTGTCATGTGCCAAGCAATCAATTTACCGAGTACATGGTTATGAACGTGCCGCAGCGTCGGCTACGCGGCTGTATACCGATGACAAGGCTTCTAGAGCGCCTTCGAAAATGCTGCTTCCTGTTTCAGTAAGGTGCAACGTGATCGAATTCGTTCTTCAGGGAAGCTCTTCAAGCCGTTATCCCGTCATGTTGAAAAGCTGCGCTTCCATCTCCCCATTGCAAGATGCTTTCTCGCATTCTGACTCCATTATCAGCCGCTGTGTATGTTGTCGTCTCCTTGGCTTCGGTTGGATCCTGTGGACCTACAACACCTCGTGACATCTTCACGAGAACACCTGCAGCAGGCATCGACATCCGATCGCTCGCACCACAACTATCTCCAGCGTCGAAAGTTTATCTTCCTGGGAGTGATGAGTTCACAACGTACACCGTCCGCTGGTCGAACCTGGAGCCACCTACCCCAAACGTTGTGATTGCGCCTGGAACCGAAAAGGATGTCGCAAAAATTGTAGGTGCTTCGAACTGCGTACAGTGTGCTGGTCGGTCATTGACACTGTCCCAAGGTCAAATTCGCCTCACAAAACAACATTCCCGTCCTTGCATACAACGGTCACCATGGCACTTTGACCACGTTGGGCAAGATGGATTACGGTATCCAGGTCTATTTGCCGCAACTGAACAGCATATCTGTGGCTAAAGACGGCAAGTCGGCAAAGATTGCGGGTGGAGTCAACTCCAAGAACTTGACGGACGCTCTCTGGGTAGCAGGAAAGCAAACTGGTGAGTCCCAACAGGATGCATTCGCTGGCTCTCTCTCACATTTAGACAGTGACTGGTACTTGCGAATGCGTGAGTTACTTGGGTCCTGCTCTCGGCGGCGGCCATGGTTGGCTTCAAGGTCATCACGGCCTTATTGCTGATCAATTTTTGTCCATGAACATTGTTACTGCAAATGGTGACCTCAAGACGATCGATGCAAAATCAGATTTATGGTGGGGTATGCAGGGCGCCGGACACAATTTCGGCATTGTAACTTCTGTTGTCACCAAAGTCTACGACATCATACATCCGAACTGGGCGATCGAGACGATCATATTCAGCGGAGATAAAGTTGAAGCTTTATATGAGGCGGCGAACAAGTACATCTTGCAAGGCGGAAAGCAGAGTTCGGACATCATCAACTGGTCCTACTGGTTGAACGATGCGACGCTCGATGCGGACAAGGTGAATTTTGCGTGCAAGGCAACGAATAGAGGTATCTGCTAACACGATCAGCCTGTCATCCTGATGTACATCATTCAAGAGGGAGTTGACGCAGTCGATGCCAAATACACTAAGCCTTTCCACGACCTTGGACCGCTTGTCATTAAACCACAATCTGGTACTTACAAGGACCTCGCAGCTTGGACAGGCATTGCTCTAGACTCCCCTCCGTGCCAGGACTTCGGATTCAACAACCCTCGATTCCCTATTTACACCAAAGCTTACAACACCACGGCCCAAAAGAAGGCATATGAAGTGTATGCAGCAGCCATTGCAGGCCCCGACTCCCCGTACACGAACTCGATCTTCATGTTCGAGAACTATGCTACCGCAGGTGTTCGCGCTCGCGCTGTTGACTCCTCCGCATTTGGTTTCCGTGAAGACCTCATTCTCGCAGCACCACTCATCATCTACGGTCCGACCGACAAGGCACGAGACCATGAAGTAGAGAAGTTAGGCAACCAATTGAGGGAGATCATCCGCGATGGGACTGGAAGCAGCGAGCTTCATACGTATGTGAACTACGCGTATGGGACCGAGGGACCAAAGAGCTGGTATGGTTCCGAGAAATCGCGCCAAGATCGTCTGAAAACTCTGAAAAAGAAGTATGATCCAAAGGGTGTCTTTAACTTCTACGCGCCTGTAGTGTAATGGTCATCGAAACGGTTGGGTCATTTTGAGACTTTATCAGTGAATGCGACTGCAATGCCTCACAAACACCTACCCTGAGTCGTACATATGAGCTGATTATTCGCTGATGATACTAAGCTGCAAGAGCAATGTTTGAGGTGATTGCCTACGTTCATACCGATGATGCTGAACCTAGCGTGCCAGCGCAACCTTGCCGCATTATCGCACACGCAAGCGCGGCTGTGGGGGTCGAAAAAACCTGCAGCCACCGCCAGATCGTCGATCACTTTACAAAACCATATCTATCGAGTTGCCCAATCCGTGCTGGAATAATGTGGCATGTTAGGAGGTGAGACCGAAGGTCTTCGTGCGGGCCGGAGCAAGACGCGGTGCCCTGAGGTGTGGGTGCACACATCTCAGACCAACCACTGCAAGCAACGCAGTGAACGCTCTCTTCAGATCATTGAACAGAACACCCAACTCCGACCCAAACATCCCTGAAATAACATCGCATTGCTACAGTAAGTGGAGTGCCTTTCAGGTCCTTCAGATGGAGCAGATGGGTTTAGGAAGGTAAGAACACCGGTGCTTTTGAGCGACAATTCCAGGCCCCGCGCCGACTACCGTTTTCACCACGCCGTATCCACACCCAAGCAAGGCGCAAGCACCTTATTCCTGGCTATTCATTCCAGGGTCATACGTAGCCATACAGCCAAGCATCTCTTTCTGCAACTACACTAACCTCATTTGTATCTCTTGAGAAGCGACGACACGGTCATGGAGCACATACCTCAGGAAGTCGTCGAGAAGATCTGCACTTACCTTCCTAAAGGCAGCCTCAAGGCTGTTCTTACAATTAACAGCAACTTTCGCTTTGTCGCGGAGAGATGTTCTGGTGCTTTTGAGAAATTCACCATCGACGGTTCGGACTTCGACACGTTCCGCGCGCTTTTTACTGGCCATCGACTCATGTACTTCCGGGAATTGATATTTCGACCGTCACTTCCCGACAAGACTGCAGAACTGTAAGATTCTTGTCGCGAGAACGAAGAACAACTGCTCCAAAAGGATTTAGCGTTCACGGCGCAGGTACGTCTTTTCCTGAAAACTCTCAAAGTAGTCGAGGAGCAAGCCACGAAAACATAAGACCCAGGCGGCTATCGTCTATCGCTCCATGGTCCCAGAAATTCTCTCGATTATGATAGCGTCTGCCATCACCATCTCTACGTCAGCTGGCGCGTACACCTTCTCGATCCAAATAAATTGCCTCAAATACTCACTGTCCGCTCTTTCGAATTTTACAATGGCCATTGGGTGTTTCATGATGGCGAGAGTTGATGGCCAAGAGCGGACTTGCGTTGCATTATCGACATGATCACAAATTTCCAAACCTGGAGTATCTAGGTACTCAAACCGGGGGTACGAGTGGCATTCCATCAAGACCAACGAGGATGCGCAACAATACGAATGCGACTGGGAAGGACCGCGTCGCGACAGTCGGTATGATTTTGCAGGTACGCTTGAACTGTGCTTCCCTGGACTTCCTACTCCCGTTGATCGATGTCGTCCAGATCCATCATAGCAAGCCTCTACCGAATTTGGTTGAGCCCAAACTAGGTCAGAATACCGTCAGTACGAGCCTTCGCATCATGACAAACCACCCTCGCGAACTCCAGAGCTGCGTCATGGTGGACGAAAGTGTGTTCTAGACAGGGAACAAGACAACGACACCATTTAGTCCAAATCTTGTGATATTTCAGCTCGTCTTCCATCCCGCGCACACCAGTGGAAAGTGGTAATTCCAGGGTCCAGGAGGCAAAGGTGGCGATGCCATTGGCTACGAGGTAGCAACCGATGCGTTCTATCCACCCTATGAAACAAGCGATCTGGACATTGAGATGGATGACCAACGTTTCTTTGATTGTGCTTTGAATTTTTTGGAACATGACAATCTACAGTTTCGGATCGCGCCAAACGAGCTCGTCCTACGGCCCTTGTTTTTAGGCTTTGCCTAGGTAGCGAAATGGATGCCCTGACTTAAAGAGGCTATAATATAGTCACTTTTAACCTAGCTTATACTAGACGACTATAAGGACAACTTTGCAGAATATAACATCTATAAGTTAACTGAGCTATTGTAGGAAATAGCATACACTAAGCTAGTCACTGCAGTGTCAAGAAAAAACACTGTAAGCCTTGTCACCTATCTTCTTATGCCTTGCATATTGTACCTACTTTTTACTTTATCAAAATGCTTACTATAATTAGGAGAAGAACTCTAGAACTTAGCTTTTACCGTCTTTAAGCAAGATCGCAATAGCTAGAGTTATTAACAATTAAGCTAATTAAGCCTTTCTTTAGAGGCTTGATTAGCTTAGCAAAAACTATAAGAGCAGCTTAATTATTAGAGCTGCTAGTAGGTTGTCAGCTTAATTAATTATCTTAATAAGGCTTGATTATTGACAACTCTGGCAACAGCTACTTCCTCCACTTCCAAATGGAATTCCACGAGCGATGTGGCGTCAAGATCAAGCCGCACTTCTGGGATCGTGGTACATACTGAAAACTCGCTTTGCTCACTTATGGTGCGCTGCGCCTCATCCCTCACTTCATCTTGATAGCTTTCAGGGAGGATGCAATGTCGGAGCGCCCTTTGTCATTGGCCGCTCCGATATACACCGCTATCTCGAGCCTTACGAAGCAATAGAGGATGACGAGGAAGAGGAAAAAGGTCATCGAATTATGCAAAGTTCCTACTGTCGCTGAGCTGAATGCGGACTACGTCGCAGACTCCGACGAAGAGGTCGTGACCCAAGAAGGAGACCCTGTCAAACAACCTGTTCCAGACCACACAGCGTAAAAGTGATCCACACTACGATCATGTTACCTTCATTCCCCGTTCCCTCGAATATCTTCCAAAGGATGTGACTCAGGCAAGCTGGAATATCGACTTCACTGCGGCAAAGCAATGTTACGCCGATAGGCGGTATGGTGATGTTGTACCTACCGAAAGGCCGGGGCTTGACAGTACGCAAAATGCAGCACATCAAGAGATTATTGGTGGAATATACGGCAGGGTAGCATTAAGGTCCTGAAGTAGCTGTTTGGATGCTGGAGAGACGTGTCGAGCGTATCACAGTGAGTGTCATAAGTGGACCATCGAAAGTCGCAACATGAAGAGCCAGTTTGGCTGGCGTTGCTACAAGTGCAGAACAGTGAACAGTCGCTTCCTTCGACCAGGCGGATGTAATGCTCAGCTCCAGGTTTGACTTTGACATCATGATCACCTGAGCCACTGAGAGAAATTGTTTTGCGCATCGGAAGAGTGAGATTGACATTGGACGATGGAATCAGGACCTAATCTTGGGGTTTTGCAAACACTCCGCTTGTTGGACTTAGTCGCAATGTAACGCGCCGGACTTTTGGTTCAAACGCAAACCTTGCCAACGCACGAATGAAGCTTTCCGGCTCAATCCAGGCGATAATATAGACATAGCAAGATATCGTAATACACGACATCATGATGCCCAGTAGCCGTCCTTATAGCTTTATCCCTTCGAGTGGACATGTAAAGTCTTCCCGCAGGTATCTCTCCTCAGCGTTGGTACGTCACACTGAAGACACGTGCTTTAACGAATAGGCGAATGTTTTGATTTTATATGGCCCCGCCCCTCCATCCATAACCTCAACCACTGCGCCGCTGAGCTCTTCAAGATCTCATCCACAACATCCATCACTGAATGACTCCGCAATTTCTCAAGCCGCCAACCCGACGAATGCTCATTGCAACTATCCCAGCTATCCTTATTCGCACAGGTATTATCCAGTCGGAGTGCTACTCTGGTCGCGACACTCGTGGCGGCACCAAGAACACGTCTCGTTTGATTATGCTGCAAGTGCTTGGAAACATATCGTTCTCTCTTATGGCTGTATCTAGCTGTGGATGGAAGCGGTGAGTAGAGAACAGCTGTAGCCTAGAAGATCCACTCTGAGAGACACAGCATGACCGGACTTGGGATGATGTGGTGTTGAGAATTTTCTAAGAAGACTAAAAGTGACTGGGAATATTGCGAACGTTGAGAGCGTGCATGGACTCGTGGTGGTAAGGAGTAAATTGTTCAAATCTGGTTGTTGTTGGGATAACGAATGACATCGCTATCGTGGTGTACTGATGAGAGACATTGATCATTGAAGAGCGCGACGATTATCTAGTATTTTGGTTTCGCTTTCAGCATTCAGTCGTACGTGTACGTGCTTGTTTTACAGATAATGCCATGTGAAAGGCTTGTCAGCTAAACATGATGAATTACCACTAATTCTTCCAGAGCTGGTTTCAGGAAGCTTGCTATCTGAAGTGCTCAGTGTTTGTTTGCAAAAAGACACAATTCTACGCTCTTTTTGTTGCCGACCAGAACTGCGTGACTGTTCAGATTGTCAGCTACTGTCTTACGAGAGCACTGCAGGCACTCACCATAAGTGAATTTCAGCAACGTCTCCGGCTGCTCGGCATACAGGCTGTCAATGCTCTTTCTTGACGCATGATCCACGTCGAACCCGAGCACATCTGCTAGCTGAAGCACTTCCTCCGCAGAAAGCTGAAGAGCGGTGTGGGTGCCCCACTTCAGCGCTGTACACACGTCAGCGCGAATTCGGAGGCAAGTTGACCTCAAGAGTGATACAGAAACTAGCGTTCACGGAAAGGGTGACGATGACTCACGTCCAAGATTGATCCATACACCTCCAGTTTTCAGTAGCCGGTGGATATTGCTCAAAAAGTCGATCACGTTCTCGCCAATGTCGATGAAGAACAGCGTAACGATGGCGTCAAACTCACCGTCTTGGGGAAACATCTCTAAGAAGTCGCCCTCGACGAGCTTGACGGTCTTGTTTGGCCAATGATCTGGCACCGTCAAAGTGGAGTAGCGTGAAGAGGGGTTTGCCTGGTGTGTCCATTTGGTGATGAATGGCTGCAGAGTGTGCTCGTGCAGTGAGACCGTGTGGTTTATCAGCAGGTGGTAGGCCAGTATGGAGCCATAGTCCAGCTCGTTGGCGGTGACGTCATATCCTAGGCTAATGTTAGACCATGCTTCCTCCTACCCAAGACGCAATAGACCCACCGAGATCCGCGATATCACTTGCCAATCTGCCCATACCGCTTCCTGGAACAAGTACCTTCTTTCCTTTTCTTTCTCTGTTGAAAAAATGTTCAAGCTTATTTACAAGAGGTGGAAACACGGCTTGTCTCTCCTTTGCCCCTTGCGTGGTCCAGTCCCGCGAGAGATGTGCGAATGCCAGGTCTACAATTCCAAATTCGCTATCTGCCTCGTCTTCCAGTGCTTGAGGGCCCGTACGGTAGGTCTCCCTCCCAATTTGCGCAATGTGTTCTGAAAATCGAGCGTTTACATTGATCCCCTCCTTAGCTCTCTCAAAATGAGCAGAGTAGCCGAGTTTGTTACTGAGCGACTTCTGCGCCGGTGTTTGTCTGACATATCGCTCGTACTTTCGCTGAAGTACCTGCTTGGCTAGGAGTGGATACTGCTCGAAGGAGTTAATGCAGTGCGCGAGTCCTTTGGGAAGGGACGTGTTCCTTTTATCTTTTCCGCCTCTAGGTACACGCACGGGCTTCCTAGGCTCCATAAAAGCTTTGGTTGCTTCTTTAGATGTTAAAATAGAAAGAGCAGCAAGTAAAGAAGTGACGGTGATATACAAGGCTTCGACGCGCTCGGAGAGAGAAGACAGGACAAGTGCAATATCGGACAAGGAGGCGGATCCACGGATAGCGAGGTAGAACGGAAACACAAAGCAGAGGAAAAGAGTGGAAAAGTAGGTGAGGAACATTGGAGTGCGCATAGTTACGCTTATGATAGCTCCAGGAAGACGGGATGGGGAGGGCAAGTCCTTGGTTATAGCACGCTGGAGTTGTTTTCGATGGACAATATCAACCAGGGAAGCCTGATCTGACAAGATATGCTCTCATAACGGCTTTTTCTGGTGCACAGTCGCTTCAGTGACAACAGGCAGAGGGCCGCTCGCACGGTGGGGATCAGTCCTGACCAGTGCAACACGACTGGCAACTGCACGTTACTGCACGTTCCTCCGTATCGCCGATATAACAGCGAGCATATGGCCGACTTGATTGAGGTCGGAGTTAGCTGGTCTACCCTTCTTCAGCGAACAATTTTGAAGGTGAGGCTATGCGGACCCCTGTTGGTGTTTAGTCATCGTAGGCTACTGGGGCCTGAAACGGGCCATCGCGACGCGGGTCCGGTAGCTCAACTCTGAACGTCCAATGTGCAGTGAACAATTAGGTTCTATTGTGCACGTGTATCATTTGATCATTAAATGACGTACGTTTGCTAGCCCAGCCTTGTTACGTGAATCTTCGTCCCATGGTAAAGGTTCGATCCCAAGCATGCTAACCGAGCGCTTTGTTCCATCAAAAGCTACGTACTCCGTAAGCTGACTTCAAAGGTTCTTAGATTTTCACCTATATTGCGAATATCGCGACCTCGTCATCTCTCCGTGCCTGCTTTGTGTAATTCTTCTTGGCTGGGTAGTGGACATGGGTCCTCTTTTTCTAGTCCTATACGTACTCGCCGTCTTCCTCAGCTCCCACCTTTCGATTGCGCACGAAAGAGATGAGCCAAAGATACCACAATGCAGCAAATTTCTGACGCGCAAGGAGTGGCGAACTTTGAACAATAGCGAGAAAGCCAAATGGGTGGGGGCTGTCAAGGTGCGCCTTATTTCTTCTTATACTTGTTGATAACACTTACTTACTGATGCTGGTTAGTGCTTGGCAAGCATAAGTCACGAACGGCTCTCCTTAACCAAGAATCAAACAATGCTTGAGGGTAAAAGGAGCTTGTATGACGACTTTTCTTACTCGCATGCATTAGTGGAGCACAGTGCCCATAGGAATGCTTACTTCTTGCCGTGGCGTACGTTCTCTCCCTTTATTCCTCTCTTTAACTCCCACTATGCCAATGAGCGCATGCTTACATAAGTGCAGACCGCTGGTTCATCTACCTATTCGATACTTCTCTCCGTCAGACTTGCGGATACAGCGGGCCAACACCGTACTGGGACTGGTCACGCGATCACGCAGACCTTTTCAACTCGCCAGTGTTCGAGGATTCGCCCGAGTATGGGCTGGGAAGAACAGGGGACCCTGAAGCCGACTGTACCGTCACCACCGGCGCTTTTGCCTCGTCCTCTGGCGATTTTCAGCTTGCATGGCCCATCCGTCATCGGCTGAGGAGGAATTTGACACTCATAACCGGTTGGTATCCTCATGAATTGCCTCAAAACCGCACGCTGGGACTAGAATCTGTGCGCGACTTGATCGAAAAAACTACGGGCGATTTCTATAAATTTCAGTACGCAATGACACAGATGCACAACCACGTACACGATTTCGTTGGGGGTGACTTGGCGGGAGATTGCCCTGATACCCTGCCGGAGGCGGATTGTCAGGGCATGGCAATGAGCTTCACACCTAACGACCCACTATTTTGGTTGCATCACGTACAGCTTGACCGGTTATGGAGCGAGGTGCGCCCCCAGGCTCTATTCTGACTTTGCGCTTTACATGTGCGGTTCAGTACCACGATACGGCTTTGCTGACTTGAAGTATATAGTGGCAGCATCACCATCCATCCAACTTCGCCGCCTTCTCTGGCATACCTCTGAATCCGCACAATATGAGCGACCCCCGCTATGACGTCGAAGCACACGCAGATCATCAGATGCCTTTCGATGTTCAGAGTGTCCCTATGATGCCGAGTACGCTGTTCGACATTGAGGCCTGGCCGTTGTGTTACAGATATACGGACAAAGAGTGAAGGATATTGGCTTGCATGATGGTACATCTTGGATATTTTACTTTTCACTAACTGTTTTCTACTTGAATTATGTTTTCCACTATATTAAATAGCCTCTTGGAACCTCTGCTGCATCTCCGGGGTCCAGTTCTCATGTTGCTTCTCCAACCAATCATGCACCTGTCTCCAGTCTCGGCAGGTATGTACAGTCTCTACGCCCGCAGCTACTTTGTCTCCATTTTCCAACTCCATGTGCGTACCGCCAGGCTCGAGCGTTGTATCGGCAGCGCAGAGAATGCCCTGCCGTAAGTAATGGAAGCAATGCTCAGTATGATCTGACCCGTCGTCTCCATTGACGAGTGTCGCGCGTATGTGGTTAAGGCAGTGCATCTGGTGCCACATTGACACACCAAATGCAAAATGTTCCTCCCCCAGGAAAACGAAGCCCTTACCGGGCGGGCGGATCGCATTCCATTCAGCCGTGGCGTTGAAGCCTTCCAGTCCATAGTAAATAGGATCGTCTTGGAACGTGACTTGAACAGTGCCGACATTTATAGGCAGGTTGCGGGGTCGGTCGCCAGTGAGATAGGCTATTCTGCGTAAGTCTTGAGTGGGGATGGCAGCTGTAGAAAAGCGTACTGTAATGATGTTTTCCGCGCATCAAGATGCGGAGGGAGAAGAGAAAAGCACCGAAGTTCAGAACGAGGCAAACGATCAGAACTACGAGCAGGCCGCAAGAAGGGCCATGCAGTTGAGGTACCAGGAAACTAGGTGACATCTTAACGTTTTCGTTGGGTGGTACGTCGAAGGTAATAGTGAGAGAAAGGATGTATATTCGACCGGAGCGGGCTGACAATCTCAAAATATCAATTGCCGTGACAATTGTTATTTGGATGGACAAGCCGCGCGATTTCTAAAAGAGTTAGCAGTCCTCAAAGATGAATCATCTCCCCGATGACGTGGTGGAGACCATGAGGCAAAGAAGCACCGAAATGATGCACCAATACGAGGGAGCTCGTTTTCACTCAGCGGTGGCCTGAACGCCGGGTTGTTCCGACGGCTTGACTTCATAACAACTATTTCATTTGTATTTACCAGTCTCTACACCGCCGGTCACATAATTCACCGGGACCACCCTCCGAAGATGTTCACTTGCTACAATCGCCAGGGTATGCAAGGTCAAACTCAGCCCCATGCTACGGTAGCGAATTACTCGGTCGTTCCGATGTCTTTTCAGGAACGAAACGTTTTCCTTCAGATCGCAGAATGTATATATACCAGAGGTGATGCCCGCCATAATGACCATCTCATCAAACAGTCTCTACTTCGCCTTTCTCAACAAATCCATCCACTCACTCCCAAATCTCAAACATGCAGCTCACTGTCGCCGTCCTCAGCCTTGCCAGCATCAGCCTCAACGCCCTCCCTGCTCAGGCCGCAGCCATTCCCGCCAAAGACCTTGTTTCCAACGCTGGGCAGGCAACCAACAGCGTCAACCTTTCTGGTTCGGGCACTGAGGGAAACGCTTACAGCGTCGACAACGACGAGCTCTCCAAGCGTCATACCTACTCTGTTGATAACGATGAGCTTGCTAAGCGTCACACCTACTCCGTTGACAACGACGAGCTGGCTAAGCGCCACACTTACAGTGTCGACAATGACGAGCTAGCTAAGCGCCACACCTACTCTGTTGACAACGACGAGCTGGCTAAGCGCCACACCTACTCCGTTGACAACGACGAGCTAGCTAAGCGCCACACCTACTCCGTTGACAACGATGAGCTGGCTAAGCGCCATACCTACTCCGTGGATAACGATGAGCTTGCTAAGCGTCACACCTACTCCGTCGACAACGATGAGCTCGCATGAATGCACGAGGCAGGAAGACCAGAGCCTACAATCGCAACACCAGGCCGCAGGAAGACGAAGTGTCGCTTGAGAGTTCTACTCAAAGATGCATCTCGTGTTCCACAAGCAACTGCTGCAATCCAACTTTTCGACACTCTTTAAGCGTTTTGATTTAGTACATCTGTAGATAAAAGTATATATAAATATCAAGAATTGACTGATTGTTTCCTTGAGCAACTTTTCCTTTTGCTCTTCAATTGCGGCAAGATCTGTTTGGCTACGCATTTTGATTTCAATGCACGCGTTGAGCAATAAGCAACTCCGCTGCTCTTGGGAGGTCTGGGTGAAAGAACATTCTAGCTTCGCTTTGCAGAGAAGCCCTTTCAACGCTAGCTACGACAGAGTTCCAACTGACGAAAATGCTAACATCGAAGTTTTCTATCGTTGCAATGCCGTTCAGATTTCCTCTTAATTTTCCTTCATATCTCTTGACCAAATTTTGCGTCCATGACGACTAGCTTGTTATGTTTTTCATGCCTTCAGTGCTGCGAATTCGCTATGGATAGAGACAGCCTCCTGGAATCTTATTAACGTTTCTTGTGATGGTGTAGAGTTGGAAAAATGCCTTCGTTCAGAATACATAGCCAAAAGGTGGAGATCACTGGGGAGAATACACAACCATTTGAAGCAGGACCTTTCGTCGAGCTTTACATATATGCAATGTATATTCAGGTAGAGTCTATCATAATTGCAGAATACAACAGCTCTAGTAACTACACTCTACAAGTACTCGTCGGGCATCGGGATGAGCGTCTCGTTGTGGGCTGCACACATGGCTGGATGTTCCTCGGGCAGAGCCTCTATATCAGCCATCTTTACATCCGAGCACTATATTTATATCAGCACAAGCTCTACTATTCGTAAACTGAGCGCAACTAACGTAGTGTTCTATATATCCCGTACTCGGGTCTCTTGCCTCGAAGTACATAACACCCATTTCGTCGACATCGGTCTCAAATGGTATTGTGACATTTACACATAGCTGTCCCGAAGGCTGGATGGTTACACCCTCCAGAATGGTGTAAGGGAAGTCTGCTCTCATCCTTGGCACTCTATGTCGGGTATAGAGGGCAGATACAAGGTCTCCAGGATGGCCGGAGAAGGAGAGGAAACTGCGTGAGTTACGAGCGTATCGCTGGGGGTTGTGCACGATCTCGCCTTCTCTGTATCAACGCACGCCGTTATTACACCGGAGAAGAAAAGGAACGTACCGCAGAAGGGATTGTAACGGTCTATCTCTGGCCGAGTCTCTGGGTTGGGAGCCCGGGATAGCCATGGGAACTGGACGTGGAAACCGGCATGGGCGGCAGACGTGAGGTCGATGCTTAGGCCAAGCAGTGGGATAATTGCGGTGAGGTACGAATGCATGGCTATCAGAAATCAGTTACAGTAGAGTACTGGGAGCGAGAGAAAGATAAATACCATGCGCATCCTGGACGCTGAAAATGCTACTGTACAGCGCTAGCGCGGATTGCGACGAGTCAAACGAGCACGTTACATACGAGTCTATTCAGCTGAAACGCTTAAGAATGCTTAGATCCACACCGCTGTGCTTAGCCGAGAGCTCGGTGGTCTTGTCGCTCGACCCTGACGCCAGCGGCACCGAGTAGTGCGGTTAGGCCACCTCAGTGACCGCTATAGTGCTCGAGCGTAAATACTCACGCACCGCCATGCGCATCCTAGATCGGGGTGATCTAACAATTATAGAGCCGTTGTGGACTTCGAGCGTACGCCAGCATGCGGTTCGACTGTTGTCCATAGCTTCCTTCAGCTTACGCGCACTGCTACACATGGGTCAGTGGCAAGGCGTACGGTGCTTCTTTCAACGTTTTCTTCGCCCACAGTGCGCCACTTCTCCTTTCTCTCTCACTTTTGCTCCATTTCATGACATCCACTTGCTATGTCTTCCTCCAAAGCAAAGTCCGGGTCACCCGAGTATACGTTCATTTCGCGACACGACGATGGAAGCGAGGACTCCACCACAAGTCTTGAGGCGCGCTCCTCCTCTGAAGACGAACACTCTGTCCCTTTGCTGGAATATTCAGGAAACCCTCATTCACTCTCGTCATCAAAGCCCTCTCAACTACCCAAGCTCATTTTGTACTTCTCCTTCGCTCTAGCGCTGCTATCAGCAGTGAATGTCGCACTCCTCCCCGCCACATTATCAAAGTACCAAGCCTACCCATTATCCGACTCCGAGATCAAGGCGCTACCGAATGGCGACACAAGGCTGGGAATAGACAGGGCAGAGAAAATGATTCCACCTCCCCAAATCTACCATCACGCTTGGCCGGACAGAGTTGTGCGGGTGGGCCGGAAGCTGAAGAATGCCGTTTGGGGTCATGGCGTGCAAGTATATATCACTGTAGAGGTTCGTGTGTATCTTTGTTCTCCATTATTCCTCCGACAAATCGTTGAACTCTCCTAAGTGTCGATCACTTTCGACGCGAGCACTGACTCCAGAGCAGGACTCGACAATCATGCGCTTCCCTATCCCAATTAGAGGCGCCAACGCCTGTGCGCTCTCTTGGCAACCTCCTCCTGAGTTCTCTGCACGTGACAAAGACCTCACTATCAAGGGAGACATAACGGAGATCGAAGTCTGGCAGCTCATTGCGCCCTCGGCGACTTCCGCTACTGCACCGTCTATGGACGAGCTCGACTATGACACCTTGTCGTACTCATCTCTTCCTGTGCGCGGAGAGCTACTGGGCGTGCTAGATCTTACAGCGAAGCCGAATAGTACAACAGTGGAGTTCGCCTGTCCCAGCAAAGCGGACAATCTGGTAGTGGAGTTGAAGTGCCAACGTGTGGCGTGTCATGTGAGCTTCAAGCAGATTGAAATGGTGCCGAGGTTTGGGTTTGAGCTAGTAAGGAGGAGGGAGTGATTAGGATAGAATAGTTTTGCTGCTTCGGCAAATGTGATTACACAAGGGGTTATATACAAGAGATTGAACCTGCATGTATCCACGATTCGCAACTGTAGTTAAGTGAGCCTTTCGTGTTTTTCCGCTGATGCACGACCGTTGCGCCATGAGACACTCACTACACTTAATTTCGAATGACTTGATTCATTGACCATACTCTGAAGCTAGCGGCCTTGTGGCTGCGTTGGCCAATCATTGAGCGTTCCGGGGTGCAGGACGTGCACGCACGAGGCGAAAGACGGTGTAGATCTTCAAGTCATAGGATAAAGAAGTTGCGCCCATCCATTCACTCACGTTCACATCGCCGACTCTCCTCCTCGACCGTTATTCACGGGCCACACCATGTCCACTCAAAATGACGCAGCCTCTATCGCACGCCTCTCTTTGCACGATCCAACCCACTTCGACATCCAGTACTCTCAAACACTTCACCGTCTAGCGGTCCTACAGCACTGGAACATCCCTACTGGTTCGAAAGTGTTAGAACTAGGATGCGGACAGGGCGATTGTACGACTGTCCTTGCACACGCTGTAGGTAAGCATGGAACGGTCGTGGCGATCGATCCAGCAGATTTAGATTATGGTGCGTCACCTTGCTTTGTACTTTACTGCTACTGTGCACAGCCAGTACACAACTGATGCTATTAAAGGCTCTCCATGGACAATCGGTCAAGCACAGGATCACATCTCGCAAGGTCCGTTGGGAGCGAGGATTTCTTGGATCCAGCAAACACCCCTGGATTACCTTTCTTCCTTACCATGCCCTACTGCCATCTCCCCGCCAGCCGACAGCAACAGTAAGGTTTTCGATGCAACAGTGCTCGTCCACTGTCTCTGGTACTTCTCTAATCCGGCTCTAATCCTCTCCACCTTTTGCGCCCTTAAGCAGCAAGTTAAACGTCTCCTGCTCGCCGAGTGGTCGTTAGTAGCATCACACGCGTCCGCCCAGCCTCATGTGCTAGCTTCACTCGCCCAGGCAGCGCTCGAGTGCAGCAAGGTCGAGAGTACCTCGAACATCCGCACGGTGCTGGCACCAAAACGGCTCACCGAGCTGGCCATAGCTGCAGGGTGGAAGTTAGAGAAGGAGACGCTCGTGCAAAATGAGAAAGGATTGCTGGACGGGCAATGGGAGGTTTCTGCGTGTCTATCTTCCTCTTTCGAAAGAGACGTAGAGGAGCATGTAGGGGATGAGAGAGAACGGGGAGTAGTTTTTGCACTACGAGATGCGTGTGAGGCAAGCTTGCAGGGCGTACAAGGGGGCCGGAAGGGAGTTAGGGCTATGGATGTTTGGGTTGCTAGTTTTGCTTAATATAGCGGGCTCAGCAAGTTCGCTGAATGTATCAAATCTCTATTACCTTATCTAGAGCATTATTTAGCAAGCCTGTTAACTGCGACAACTCTATCGAAAAGTTTGTTTTAGCATCTAAGTCTCGTTATATAAAGCGAAATGCTCTTTCTGCTTCGAATCTTCTTAATTACCCCTAGCTAATCGAAAGCGTGCAAACTAGACCTATAGGATAGAGCGCAACGGAGCTAAATGCGTTCTAAAGTAGTTAAAATACTAAGCAGCGAAGCTACAATGATCTAGTTAAAGAAGCTCTCTTACATGCGCCTAACTATTCTATCAGCCTGCAGAAGTTGTATAATGAGTTAGAGAAGACAGGTAACATAGCAGCTGTTAGACTACTGAAGGTGTAGAAGAATATCATCTGATAAGCTGTTAGTAACAATAAAGTATAGCTTTCGGAACTTTACGCTACAAGTACTAACAATACAGTAGAATCTTTTAAGACAGGAAGTTAGCGTCAAGGCGCACATAGATATATTTAGAAACCACATAGGCAGCTAGAATGCTCGAGTTAACATATCGTACTCGTAATCTAAAACTCCAGGAAATGATACATTGCTCAACTCTTAAACGTGCAGTTTTAAAGTCACTAGGCACTTATCTTAGGAGGCTATTTGCTAGCGACACATGTTTAGCTCAATACTGCTAGAGAAACCTCTAGTCGCGTCTTGTTGTGGACTCCTATAAATCTACAAAAGCATCTGTCCTTTGCGGCAGTTGTCTGAAAAGTTCTTGCAGTATCTCTTCTTAATGTCGATACGGGCAGACAGATGTGAAGAAGCGATGTACGAGATTAGTAAGCTATAGATGCTATAAGACGGCCTGTTGTAGTTCAAAACGGTCTCAAAAGCCCTAAAGTCATTAACTGTCAGATGCTGATATGACGATCCGATCTGCGCAAAGAGAAGAAAACATGCATCAGCACTGTGATTAGAATTTTCTCGACTCCTCCAATATATTCTACTCGAGCAGAACGCTCATGTATCTTGTTAGAGCGAATTAAGAAAGCGCTGCGCGTTCGAATTGTCCTGTTCTTCGAGCTACAGCTGCTGAGTTCGTACCATATTCCAAAAAGTCACACCCCCATTCTCGCCGAATCAACGTATGATTGTCTCGAACCCTTCATTCTTAGGTCACCTGCATTCCGGTCCATCGAAGAGTGGATCACGAATAATTCGCGCTATCAGATCGCCCCACCACAGCCACTTCACCCTGCAAGTTCGATCAGAATGAACTTTGACATCGTTAAACGTGCGCATCGAGGCAAACATACAAGGTATAGACGTACATCGAGACATACAAAGTCGCATCAAGTTACTTTCGTTAGCCTTAGCATCGCTCGTCAGCGGTCTACAGCGATCAAGTCAATCAACTCACCGAGCAAGAACTGAGCTTGGGCCTTACTATCGGACCGCTCCGGCCACAGCTGGTGTTCGTAACCCTACTTCTGGCGTGTACGGCCCAGTTTTCGCAACCTTAAGAAACACCAACATCACGACATGAATCAACCCCTAACGTATTACGCACTTGTCGCATCGTTACGGGAACGGGTGCGTTGGATAGCAGCGGGTCTTCTGCACCTCGTCCTGGAGTTGCATTAAAAACTAACTATGTTCAGGGCCTTATCCCGTCACCCATTAATGATAGAGTCAAATTCACGGTATTCGCGAAAGAGTGAGAACAGAGTCAAATCATTGTGACCAGTATACATATTGCGTTGCCCGGTTTGAGAGCCTAAAGCTGGGCTCCCAGCTCCACCTGGTGGTCCAGGAAAGACGCGATGGTGTCTTCCATTGTCTTCCATTTGAGGCCCAAGATTTCCTCGGCGCGAGGCGTCTTGATGGAAGGAGGTGGATCGAATGAGCCTTCTAACTTTGTACCGAGGCTAGGATACTCGTTCTTTACAAATTTTGCAACGTTAGTCCATGACCATCCATCTTTCTCACCAGCGCTTATGATAAATTCTTGAACTTCGTTGTTCTTTCCTTCAAAGTCTGTATCCAGAACGCTTACATGCGCACGCGCAACGTCCCTAACGTCTACAGCTACCGCGGGGAAAAGAGGCGTTTCGGAATATAGGGTGCCCCAGAGCATGGCGTTAGTGCCATCAACTCCATCAGGGGAGGTCTGGCTGAGGTTGCGGCCGAAGACCATGGATGGGATGCAGGGTAACGACAACAAAATGTGGTTTGTTCGCTGCAACCCATTCAAGTGTGGCTCGATGGGCTAGGATCTTCGAAGCGTGGTATTTTAGTCCTCCGCTTGCCACGGGGTCCTCGGGGAACTCCATGCCCGGGATCCACGGCAATAGTATGGTTTAGCCCTTTCTGCGGAAAACAAAGTGTTAGATACTTTTTCATAATTTGATTACGTACGAGAACGACAAGGTCTGTTTTATGGAATAGAGCTGTACCTTTAACGTCCATATTTCCTGTTACCATGGCGTCTAACTGGACCAAGGCAAGCACGGATGACACAATAACGACGCGTTTGATCGTGCTGACTTTCTCTGCGGCATCTAAGACAGCTGTCGTGCCTTGCACTGCGGGATTAAGGTACTCTTTCTTAAAGTCGTTGCCTTTACCAGGCATGGGGGAAGCGATATGGAAGACGTATTCGACATCTTTCAGCGCACTGTCGAATGCGTTTGAGATGGATAAATCCGGAATAACGACAAAGTCGATATCGCTGACGTGATCGGAGAATAGTTTCTTGAGACCCTCAATTTGGGGTTCCTTGCGTACGCTTAGAAGGACTTTGTAGCCTGCGTTGAGGGTTTGAAGGACAACATGGGAGCCGATGAAGCCTGTTGATCCGGTGATGAACACAAGAGATTGAAGCATGGTGGAGATATTGGCGAAAACCAAGTTTTGCTTGAAGTTGCGATGAGTTTGTGGTGGTGGTGTTCCATGTCTTCCAAGGTCGCATCCCTTTTGTATCCAATTTGTTATCCACTACCTTGACAGAAGGCGATATTCAACCCCTTACATTTGATGATGTAGGGAGCCTCGGCTTGAATCCAGAGAAAGGCTATGATTACGACCATCTTGGTAATGAGTGTTGCTCTTCGATTATTAAACATGACACGCTAGTCTGGGGTGGTGTTGGCCGCGGGCTAATCATCACGATCCTTGGGCATTTTCTCTGGAGGTAGAAGCCGCGCACTGATTAGTATTCCAGCCTATCAGAGCGGAGGAACTGACTCCTCGGCTTGATTACATTTGTTCCTGCACCATCAAACCCTCCGTTGAAGACACGTAGACTGTGTCGGGCTGGAATCTAACCGCAATTGTCGGCGCAACTCTCGGCCATAGTGCTCTATTAACAATCTTGCGTGCATAAGAAGCGCAAGATCACTAGCGCTTCTTACTATGTCAACGTCAAAAGAGGTATATTAAAGGTACCAAAACCTGAACAATATGCTTTCTTATCACTGCCCACCCGAACTCAGAAATCCAGTCACACACACACCACTTGCCATTCACTTTCGGAATCCATCAATATGCCACTCTGGCTCATCTTCCACCCCGATGGGACATTCGAGGATGATATATCCAAAGAAGCTCTCGCAGCGGACATTACCAAGATATACACCTCCGTCGGTCTTCCCGCCTTCTACGTCGTCACCAACTTCATCAAAATGCCCGGCAACACCATGTTAGTTGGCGGCAAGAAACTCGACAAGGAAGACAAGCCCTTCATTCGAATCGCTATTGAACATATCGCGGTGAGATTGCCAGATGAAGACAATGTTTACCGAGAGACTGCAAACGCTGTAGACGCAACTCTCAAGCCCCATATTGCCGACAAGGGTTACAATTTGGAATTCCATATTGATGAGACGGAAAGGAGGCTATGGAAGATCAATGGTTTGTTTCCACCGACGTTCAAGAGCGAGGAAGAGAAGACCTGGGCTAGGGAGAACAGAGCTGTGGATTTTGGAGGCGCCGCATCGTTGTAGTGTAGTACTAGCAATTTAGGTCGTCAGCAGTATTAGTTGACCTCATGAAAGCCCAAAACATGAATAGGGTTTGTGTATGAAGCAGCAAACAAGTACAACCTGCAAGGCGGGAAGCAGAATTTAGTCTTACTAGTTTAACGATGCGCTACTTCATGCAGACAACGTACGATATTCCTTAAGCTAGAATAGCATAGAGTTTTCTGCTAACATGATTAGCCTGTTATTCTAATGTATATTATCTAAGAAAGAGTTAACGCAGTTAATGCTAAATAGTTCTACGACCTCGGGCCGCTAGCTATCGAACTCTGGCAAGGTACCTACAAAGATCTTGTAGCATAGACAGGCATTGCTCTTAACTTAATCCTGCAGCCCTTATTATTAAGCTTTGCCTAGGAATTGAAATAGATGCCCCGACTTTCATAGGCTATAATATGGTTACTATTAACCTAGCCTATACTAGACGACTACGAGGACGACTTTGCAGAACATAGCATCCGTAAGCTAACCGAGCTATTATAGGGAGTATCATACACAAAGTTAGGTCAGATTGGAAGCTTCTCTCGTCGATTTAATTGGATAGTCAGCCAGTGACGGCCTGACCAAGACCTAACCAACCTCTTCCCATAGCATGGGTCACGAAACATATAGGGACTACTTCACCGATATTTTTGGCCTGAAGATGTTTCCGGAGAGCCAGTTGGGCATCGGGATTGGGCTAATAGCTCCATTCTCTCAGATGATCCTAGCCGAGTAGTAACTTAGCGACAACACGTTGATGTTGCGCCGGCCAGCGATATTAGTTGGAACTAGCACTGCAATCATCAAATTATCAAAGTATTACCTTGCAGTGGTGGGTACTAACGTGCTTTTCAGACCTCAACGTCGAGAAGGATGGCATCGGGTGGCAAGAAGTTTAGGAAAATATTGTACATTGGTCATGTTTTGTTTGAAAAGCTTTCTTCTGGTCAACAGAAGAGATAAGAATGTAGGTCTCGTCTATGGTGTATTGTCTGAGAGGCTTTTCTCCAGTCCACGGAAGAAAAATGAATGTAGGCTTTATCGATGAAGACTTATCGCTCGTCTCGAACTCTTGAAGTAAACCATCATAGCGCCACTGGTCCTCGGAACTGGTTGCGCTATCGACTACGGACTTCACACACGAATGTGTCTAAGAAAGAATCAGATCTTGCTGCATTCGGTGCCGGTGCCGTTGCCATTGGCAGGTGCGTTTCCATTAGCGGGGGCAGGATTGACGGCAGGAGGATTAGCGGGAGGAGTTGGAGATGGCCTGGGTGAAGCCGACGTCTGCATCGTCGTCGGAACCGGGGGTGTCGGTCCCGCATCCACCGGCTTCGTTGGCCAGATTGCTCCAGGGGCCGCAAACTTAGGGTTGACACGGCCGGTAAGATGCCACTCTACACCTTGGATAACCACCTCATGGACGTTATTGGGATCTCCGTTGAGGTCCTTGAAGGCGCCGATCATGATGTCGATGGAGGATGGAGACTGATGAAGTGTATTAGTGGGTGATTGGGTAGAATTGGTTGCCAGAGCGAACTTACACGAACCCAAGCGGGATCAAACGCATCACCAAGGTACAGGAGCATCTCCTTGCCAGTCTTGGGGTCCTTGACGGACGCTTCGAGACCGCAGTACTTTTGGGTCGCCGCCCTCCAAGCAGCGGGATTGGAGTTGTAGGTCTTGCCACCCATTGCTTTCAACGACTAATTGGCTTTTGTGAGCGAGTATTCTCGAAGTTCGAGACTCTTTGAGACGTACCACAGCAAAAATAGGGTCACTGTCTGAGTACGGGTATCCGCACCAGCTCTTGCCGTTGGTCCCCTCGGAAACGGCAGTGAACCACGATCCAATGCCGGTCTGTGCACCATTGAAGAAGCCGGAAGGGATATTGACGTTCTGGGTCTCTGCGCGTGCGAGAAGAGCGAAACTGATCGCCGCGGCGAAGGAAGCGAAAGACGGCATTTTTGGTCGATACTGGAACGAATGGATCGAGTTGGTCGAGACTGGAAGGAATGAATGAAGCTGATAACTTGTATTCAGGTATTGGAAACCTTGAGAGTTCTTTTATATCATTCTGGTTCGTGTAGATCTAAAGCGTTTCGAAGCTACGTCGCGCACAGTTCACGGACCACTTAGCAACAAAGACGGCAGAGGAAGCCCAACTCAAGTTAGCCCGGTACCCAGTGCGGGAAGGTAGCGCAACAAGCGAATGTGCAGACAGCAGCACGGTCAATCTCAAACACCGGGACTTGCTGCATGCTGGTTCCACGGTTGTAGCCGCACCGGATCTGCCTTACAGCAAGTGTATGCCGCACTGATAGATCATCGGTCCCACCGATCCTAAAATGAACTTGCGCCAGCGGCCCCACGCGCATTCGCTATGATAGCGAAAATCGTACGATAGCTACTTCGCCGATGACATTGAACCACGCTGCGCTCTGAACAGGTTTTTTTTAGTGAATGTCGCGCATGCATAACTGTCCTTGCAGGCGAACACTGATTTTCGCAATCATGTGTGATATATGAACAGCCGAGCAAGTGATCAATCTTGCAGTCATCAGAAGTCCACCTGCGTGCACGCTGGGAACATGCAGAACTCGGGGCAGCAACCTCACGATCTCAGTCGGACCGATCCGATTTCCAGGAGCCGCAATCTCCGAAGTGCCAATCGGGGCCTCACTAGGAGTATGCAATCATGTCAAATTCGAGAACATCTTTGTCGCGCAACATGCGATGTTCATTAAAACTACCAACGGCACGCCGTTCATGCAAAAATTTAGAGAACTTTTCTGGGTCGCTTGATGAACAAAACAACGACTGAATTCATTCCTCAACTTGTGTTTTACTCACACCCGCCCCAGATGAAAGGCTCTGTGTATTTCTTTCCCCTGCTACGGGCGCACAATTGCGGTACAAGCAGGCAGTGCAGAGAAACAATACATTTTACGGGTATGAGCGGGGAGCAAGGGAAAACTGCGATCAGAATATATTATGAAAAAGGGTAACGAACGAATGCGAAGACGTTGCGCAAGACTCAATGACAGTTGTTCGTATTCATGACTACGTATTTGAGATGGAGTTCGAGTACTACATTAGTCTGGACAGAGGCGGTTGAGAACCGGGATGGGAAGGATGATGGTGGAATATGGGCCAGGGTGGAACAGGCTCTTTCGGCTCAGCCTGATCAGGTGTTTGCCCGACGTTTCCCTATGTCCACATATCCCTCAACTCTCAAGTTAGCATGGCTTAGCATTTGCCCAATCCAAGATCAACCAATGACATGACAGCAGATGTTGCCCCAAAGATGGGGTTGATAAAGCCTCCAAAGGTGTTGATGCTGCCGGAGATGTACGGGATCAGACCTCTGTCATCGTCCTTGCACGTGCCACAATCTACCCGAAAGTCAACACGAGTCTGTGTAACCCATGCCGGGTTGGACTGTTGCGCGACTGAGATTTGAAGGGATCCACCACGAGGGTAGGTAGCAGCTTGCAGCCGCCTTTCATTGGGATTGTTTTCCTTGTCATCCTTATCCAATAAAGCACAATATGACACACCCATAGTTCGATTCTTCTCGATAGCACCACCAAATTGGTTCTTCATTACGTCCACAATTGCCTGTGGTGTTTTGTCGAGGAAATTGGGGCTTGGGTCTGGAATATCGATCACAGGGAATCGTATATAGCAGCCTCCACCAATGTCGAATCGGGTTGTGGTTTCCCATGGAGTCTTCATGGCTTCTCCAAGCTTCCCGAATGCATCTTGAGCGTTGATGATGTCGTTCGTGCAGGTTGAAGACCATTTTCCCGAAGTGACCTGTTCGTCTACCAAGAACTCGGTCTTTCGTATCCAGCGTTCAAGTCGGGTACAAGTGAAGACTGAGCCGCATGTGGCCCCGGCTTGGAAAGTTGTGGCGAGATTTCCTTCTCCTTTGTAGCACTTGAACGGAGCACCTCCAAGAGTGGCAGACCCAGCCACTGGCTCATCGGTCTTGGCTGAACTGTCGCTTGGAAGACCCCAGACTTTGAACTCCCGTCCATCCTGGGGGAAGGTTCCTGATACGGGATTTTCAACCGTTCCGGCGTGCCAAGCAACATGATAGACCATTCCATCATGACGCCCTGGGTCCTTGATCGCGCTTTGGAGAATAGTGTCCTGGCTTGCTTTTCCGTTGCGGCGCGCACAGTCATCGGCCCAGTAGATTATTCGATCATTCGTCCTCATGTCCCCACCAGAGCCTTTCGAGCAAGAAGCGATCATGACAACCTCGTCGGGATTGTCATTCTCGCGAATGATTTTGTTCGCTGGCGCTGCAAAAGCAGATGTAGCCAGCAAAAGGGAGATTGCGGAAGCTTGTAACATAGTTTCCTTGGGATCGATGATGATGATCGGTAGAAGCTTCTAAAGACTTTGAAAGATGGAAAGATAGTTCGGTAAGATGAACAAAGTATTGATACGATGTCGTTGTGATTCTGGAAGAGGGCTCTGTCGCTATTTAAATAGTTTTCCAGCTGCTTCAAGTGCTCAATGCGGTAACGGGCAACGTTGGATGAGCGTACGGTGAGCGTTGCAGACAAGCATATTGACTAGGTCATTTACGTCACTCTGAGACATCTTGAGCCGGGATGTAGATGTGAAAACTTTGTGATTCTTTATATCTTCCTTGTCTAGTAAATACCCCATCGCACTCTGCTTAGTAGAAAGCTCCTTGCAGGCGTTAGCCGTCCTGTTCATTACGAGGACCCCACTTGCTGTGTCTCTTCGGATTCATGGCACTGTCTTTCTGCAGATTACATAGCTATAATTCTCAAATAAGCGGATTTCTGGCATGATGAATCATTTCCTAGGCGAACATAGGTCTACTCTATTTCGAACATGTTCAGCGAAGAGATTGCAAGTATTCCGATACCACATAGCTCCTGTCTATGGTAGTTCATAATACCAAGGCCTCGTAGCAAAGACCATACTCTCCGCGAACTCTCCCTTTTCGTACACATTTTCCCCAACAGTGAAAAGGCCCAGTACACGCTCGAGAGGCCTAAAGCCTATTCCGAATAGTACCTGCCGAGCTGCAGTCGCTATACATAGCTAGATCCAACATCCGAATTGCCCGGCTTTGCGCGTTGTGTTTCGATACTAGTATCGTTAGAGCATAAGGTGCTGAGATACAGTAGTCTGCCTTACCGTATTGATGTACACGCTCTGCAGGTACGCTAAGACCTTTAGTCTTTGCTAGCCATGCAACATGTCCTAGTACCTAAGTCCTTAGAAGTTCGGCTGCATGAGAACGTAGTATTACAGTTCTCTTCATCGGACCTACTAGTCGATCCTCATCGCAATTAACTTGCTCAAGCGGAGGAACCCAGAGCTGTCAGCGCTACTAGCGGCAGTCTCTGAAGACCCCTTCAGCACGCGCTTTAGGTGCTCTTTGCGTCCCTTAGGTTGTCGAACCTTTTTTATGTGCTCTTTTCATCAAGAAGCTCAGTCTTGTACTTATATTCCATGTGTCTACTGACTTGCTGTTAATCTCGGCTTGAACCGACGATTTCCTACCTAGCTTACATCACCAGTTTCGCAGAAAGCTTTGGTGCATGGAAGCCTACCGTTCCTGGATGCTCTCTAGATGTGGTGGAAAGTCGGCCCGTAACAGTAAGCAATCATGTCTCAATTCTGCAAATTGCGGCGCGTACCCAAGACCTATTGTTAGCCTGTCGAACTCAGTTTGCATAGTGTAAGTGGCCTTGCTGCCCACTGTCAGAAGTCCGACCATACTTATGGTTAGGATTGTCCAGGCAGCGGCGTTGGCAGGCTCAGCTGGTGCTACGTTGACATAGCTTGTTGCCACATTCTTCCGCGCAAACCCGCCGCATAGCCTGAAATTTCCCCTGCGTCAAGTTCCTGCGATTTGGTAAAGATATTAAACACAACGGGACAGTTGGTAGAGAAGCGTCGGCAAAAGGCCGGATCGATCGCACTCTTCCTGTGCCAAGGTTATTTCGCCCCAAGGACGATTGCGAGCTGCTGGGACGGTGATGCTGAGTAGTTATAGGCATCGCAAATTGTCCAAATTCCCTCTTCATCGCAAGGAGGCGAGTTAAAGAATTTTTCCAAGCCTTCAATCCGTAGATTCGTAGCCACGTACGCGGTAGTTTTGCTCTGAGTCCGGAACTCGGTTTGCGAATGAGCCTTGCAAGTGGCCATGCATAGAACCTCAGGCAGGAAATATATATGCATGAAAATCCGAGGCGCAGTAGAAGCACTGAAGCGAGAGTGAATGGCAACGGCCTGTTCATCTGCATGGAGACCCAGGACCATGGCCCCGTATCCATAAGTCTCCAACGCAACCTCTAGTGCTTACGTTATGACAGGACTTCGCTCCAGTGAGGTGAATTTACCCGCAAGGACCCGATGAAGCAGGGAACCCTTGCCTGGCGCTGTTCACTGTATGCCATCATCCGACGTCGGAAGAGTGACTGATAGGTTGTTACCTCATGGCATGTACCCAACTCTCGGGATACATGCGGATCAACCGTTGGGAATTTTAGATCTTCGTAACGCAGATTTTTGCAGCCGAAGGGACATCGTGGGCGCATATTGCTGTTTTGTTCTTCCTCCGACCGTCCGCTGGGAGTCGGGTCCACTGCATCAGTGTATGGTAGTGTTGTCAGCGCTCGCTAATGTAGGAGGCTCCCTTTAGGTTACTTCATCGCCACGAATAAACAGTTCCTACCAATATTCAAGCGTATAAGTTTCTGTTTACCCATTCACAGTCGTGAAGGACCAGGCCTTAAGCCTCATCTTTGGTGGTGGTGTGAAATATACACTGGTCATGTCATTTCAAAACTTAGAATATAACCAGCACTATTACGTTACTTGCAATTGGGGAGAGCCAGTTTTCGCCCCGTGTCTGTGGGGTTTGCGAGTCGCGCGTCGGAATGCTTGCACCTCCCTGCTCACTGCACCTCTGCATGTCTACCACACTGAGAAAAAAGAACCGAACTAGAGCGCCGAATCGAAAGAAAGAGTGGCACTGGTATTTTTTGATCGAGTTCCATCCGAACACTCCGGACATGGACTTGGTGAGTGGGAAATGTTGCAGTGGATTGGTACCTCTGCCAGTGTAGACGACCAGAGAAGTGAATTGGGCGAGGACTATCATGGATAACAAAAAGAAATGGCGATAGCGAGATTTTGACCTCTTTCTTCCCAGTCCTGAATGACCAAATCCAAAAAGCGGTGCAGCTTTCGAGTCTATCAGGTGAGCTACTTAAGCAATTTACCCCCAGCAGCATCGTGAAAAACATTTGCGACTGATATGATCATGTTGCAGATTATCCAAAGTCAATTTGAATCTCCTGTTCGCTCTCATGATACGTAGATCAGAACCGAGAATGTATTTGATCTGCCTAAATAGTGATCCGATATCCTCATGCCTACCAGCAGCTCCTCACGAAACCTTTCGCCCTTTTTTCATTACTTAGCCACCTACATGTGCTCAAGAGTGTAGAACAATGCACGACTACACAGACATGGCCGCTGTCGTTCCTAGCGAGACCTAAACCCCTGATGAAGACGCTACACACATAGTCTCAACCAGAATGTCAAAGAGTGCCTGAAGGCATCTCGGCACTTCATAAAATGACGGCCTGTCAAGCTTGAGCTAAAATCACAATGACGTAAGAAGAATTCCAGTCGCACATGCCCCTTTCGCATGATGACCCAGACAAGTCTCCTTGCTCTCTGGTCTCGTAAATCGCTGTTCGAGCATATAATAGCCTCCCTACCGTGATGGGGCGTGGAACTCTCGGGGCGGGAAGACAAGACGAGTCGTAACACGTAGGGGTGCTCTGTAAGGCGTCTTCTCCTTCTCATGACCACGTTGAGTTCCAACTTCCCATTGGACGCAGATCAGCCTAGCCTCGCAATTCTTTCGACGCGCTGGGCACCCGCGTGAGTCTTGCCCCTAGATTTGCACATAGCTGTCTTCCTCTTGCACAATAGTTTGTGGGCGAATACAGCACCTCCAGTCGCAACATGTCTTCTATGTGTTCCATCGCATATGGCGACAACATGTATCGAAGCAAATAACTCGATTCGCGCGGCGGCACTTAGTCTTGCGCGGCAGACGTCCAGATGTACGGTCCCAATTACCTGCCATAGGGAAACCAAGACTTCATCACCTCCATCCCCAGCGTCTGGACAACGTCACACCCCTTCCAAAAGCAGGCAATAAAGAAACGAAAACCACGACAAGGTGGCGTGTAATTGGGGTATAAGTATCAAGTACAACGACACAAAGAAAAGAACTACTGTACATATCACCACATTACTTGCATACACATCCCATAACGTGATGGGTGCGCTCAGAACCTCCCACTCTCCCTCCTTCCAACGCCCAACCCACCATATCCACTCGTCCTACCCAATCGATCGGCCTGACCCAGTGGCCTCTCACCCGCGCCTGGCGTACCCATACTCGATCTCTTCAATGGGCTCCCTTCTCGCTTCGTCGGACTCGTTCTCCTCTCGCCCATACCGCCCAGACTATCTCTCCCGCGCTCGCCGAAAGTCACACTTGCTGATTTGCGCAATGGGCTGGCGGCGTGTGTGAATACCCCGAGGCTGCCGCCGTCGCCGGTGCGCATGGCGGGTGCTTGGCGAAAGGGATTGGGCGTGTTGGAAGGGCGAATGGGAGAGGAGAAGTCTGCGGGAGTGGCAGCGGAGGAGGTCATTGATGTGGATGTGGTGCTGTAGCTGGGTCTGGCGGATGGTGTTCGTGCGACGGATGTGTTGTCGGGGTCGTACTGAGATGCGTACGCGACGTTGGGGTTCGTGCGGAAAGAGCGGTTTATGACGGTGGTGGGTGTGTATGTGACGACTTCGCTCGCTAGGTCGTCGCTGTTGCCCTTGACGCCGACACTTGAGTCTCTGTTGCGCTTGCGAGATATGGTCTGGATTCCGACGTCTCGGCTTGTCTTCTGTAGTCTAGGATGAACGAACTTGTTATCGTATTCGTGTAGAACTTCGCGGCTGATGATGTGGTTGTCCTTTGTTTGCTGCATGAACGCGCTCCTCAGCCACCACAACTGCAGCGACAATATCGCTCCGATGAAGATGGTTGTTGTGACTTTGATGCTCGGTCTCGGATCCAGCGGCGCGACGGGGAGGTTGAGATAGTACAACACCACATGCAACGGACTGAACAAGCAGAACAGCTCCAAGCACAGCGGATTCGGGTCCCACACAGCAATCTCCCAGACATCTCGTCCAGCATCCGGGTGTGCCCTGGACGCCGCCGAGTTCCTCGCGACCACCTTCTTGATGTATCCCATCGGCGAGACGCCCAGCGGCGACGAATCAACCCTCACGCGCTGCGCACTCGGTGTTGCAGGCACAACCTCCACGCTCTGTTCGAACAGCCGATAATACCTCCTTTTACTCCACACCAGCCATGCATTGCCCCATGCCGCAGCACCCAGTATCAGCACCAGCAGGCTCGAAAACCATCGGACCCAGCCAGGCCCCGAGACTTCTTTGAACACATTGTCGCTGTCGTAGCCCGTGGAAGCGACGCTATTTGCCTGCGCGATGACAAAGGCGATGTTGGCGCCACACCCGATGTACAGGGCATATGTCGATGCAAAGTCTTCCCAGTCGGAGCTGTTGAGTTCCTCTGAGATCCAGATGAGCCAGTCGGAGGGATCGAGGTAGGCTTGGATGCGCTCGGAGAGGGGAGCGCGGCGGACGAGGCGGGGCATCTTCACAGTCGGCTGGATTGTCGAAGCGGCGGTGATGGAGTGGATGTGGAATTAAGAGCGAGACTCACGACATAGCGAAGTGGTGCTGGAGAAAACATGGGAAGCGGCGAGCGCGATGTTTGAAGACAAACAGTTCGGGTCTAGCGCGGTCTGCTTGGTCTGCGCCATGACGACGGGTGGAGCTGCGTCAAGCTTCACGACCCATCGAGAGCTCGCTCAACACCACAACATGTCGGCATCCACGGCGCAGTACAAGGATAGGCAGTTCCTCGCTGTCATTGGCGATGAGGCATGCATATTTCTTCCATATGGCGCAGCTCTAGCTAACAATCCCCAGGACACAGTAACAGGCATGCTTCTCGCCGGCGTAGGCGTACGTTTCTCATGAATATCTCTCCCTCACTCTATCTGACTTTCTCAGCACGTGACCCCGGCTCCAGACGCACAGAAGAACTTCCTCGTCGTCGACGCAAAGACCGAGAACGCGACCATCGAAGCCGCCTTCGACAAGTTCACCACCGAGCGCAAGGACATCGCCATCCTGCTTATCAACCAACATATCGCGGAGAAGATAAGACATCGGGTCGAGAGCTACACAGCGGCTTTCCCTAGTTTGCTGGAGATTCCGTCCAAGGACCATCCGTATGACCCTGAGAAGGACAGCGTGCTGAAGAGGGTGAGGAGGTTATTCGGAGAGTAGATGAAGGCATGAGAAGGGCGGTGAAGACGAAGAAGCAGAGAGCATGATGACGTTGGCATAGTTCAAGTCGTGTTATAGCGAGGTCACGATCTACAGCAAATGATACCAAGACATTGCATCGATCACACATGCAGATGAAGATGCGCATTGATTCATATCTACATTAACATCGTTGCTTCCACCAGAACTTCAACTACTACAGAGATTGCATGGTATCGCGCACCAATTCACAAGAGAAACTACCATCGCATGTACATTCACAGCTCGTTCCTCCTCCTTAGACGTTCCTGCACCATGCCCGCCAACGGGCCCGACATCTTGAACTTGGGCTGCCCGAACTTGACAATATTCTCCTTCGGCTGCTCATCGTCTTCAGCTGCAGCGCCATTTCTGCATGTTCGTATCAGGGCCGAATCGAGGGCGAGGCGTCGTGTGCATTTACCGGTGGAAGGCGATCTTGGCAGTCAAGCATGTGATCTTGTCGCCCTCTTCGGTGTAGACATCGGCGAGGACCGTGTATGTGCCCTGACTCTCGTTAGCTTTCACTGTCTCCTTGCTTTGCACGTGACGAGACATACGGGAGGGATCTGCTGGGGCAGGTCAACGTCCTTGCTCAGCGTCATCTCGCCCTTGTCCAGCGGGCACTCGAGATCCGCCTTGCCAATCGTGTCGCAGCCGTCGGCCTCTTGGTTGATCAGGGTGATCAGGCCGTACTTGACTTGCAGGTGCATCTTGAAGCCCTTCTCGACCTTGTCCTTGAAGTTGCCCGTCGCCTTGATGGTGAGCTTCTGGCCGCTTTGATATGTTAGCTCAGCTATCGAGGATATGGTGACGGTTCGAGACGCACGGCTTGGGTGGGTTCGGGTCAATGTCCGCCTTCTCGATCTTCAGGATGTCGTCCGCTGGGTCGCCGCAGAAGTAGAGCGGGTTGTCGCCGGGCACCTTGTATTCTTCCTTGATGGTGACCTGGTCACCACCCATCCATGATGGTGTCGCCGATACCGACACGGCGCTGAGCGCAGCGAGGACTACAGTCGTGAGCTGCATGATGATATGATAAGTCGCTGGTTTGTGCGACTATTGGGTGTGAGGGAGGTTGTTGTGGTGAGTTTGCCGCTCAGATAGCGGTCGCGAACCCAGGATGAGGCTGGGGCTGGGCTGGGCCACGGACGTCATGTCACATGGGCACGGGATCACCCGCGCTAGCTGCACCTGGAACTCAGCCGCGGCAGCATGGACCAGAGGATTGTTGTTGACGAGAAACTTAGCCGAGATTTTTTTCGCATCTTCTCATTGAAATACAGCAGTGAGCAGTATGGACAGGACGTGAAGGTTGGATCATTGGTGTGATTTACAAGCATGCAGGGTCGTCGCTGCCCTGACTAGCATCTAAATTGAAGTGACGCTGGACGCTTCCCCACAGTATTGCTCCACAACTTCGACCACCATCGTTCCACCGCGTAACTTAATTCTTTACCGAAAAGAAGAGGCATTCGTCCTTGTCAACGTTATTTGACAGCGGTCGCATTTTGCTTGCAGGCGAGACGCGTACTTAGCCTCAGCATAGCCCCACTGTCAGCATAGCAGCCACTATGCGTGGACGGACCTCTATCTACTGCTGCAGCTGAGCTGCGAAAGCCAAGAAAAATCACCATTTCTCATACGCGCAAATCGCTAGTGAAGAGCCATCGTATTTATACTGTTAGGGCAGCTTTTGCTTCACACGCCTGTCTGCAAATGAATTCGCACCCTTGTGTTCTGGCCCCTGTGCTCGTGACATGGATCTTATGCATGGTGACAGCACGCTTCAGGATCAGAAAGAGTATGGTGTTGAAGATGGTACGGCGAGCCTTGCAACGAAGTTTTTGCGGTCAGTGATCCAGCCAGACAACTTACCTGCAAGTGGTCCCTCACGCTCAAATCTCGATAGGAAAACATACGAGGTACACGAGGACAGCGGCACCAGCACATCGTTCGATTGTTCAGGGAACACTCCTATACGATACTTCCCAGTCCCACTGTTCAACCAGAGGCTGGACCTTCCAGGAGGCAGCGCTTAATCGTCGTCGTTTGGTATTCACAGAAGATCAGCTCTATTTTGAGTGCAGGACCATGAACTGCTCCGAGAGCGCGCACTACCCGCTCGGTCAGATGCACGTAGAGAGCAAAGCCGAAACTTTCAATTAGCTGCGGCCGAGTCTTTTCGATTCAAGTCAACATAAAAGATATGGCATCACTGCCAACCGCAAAGAATATATGAGTTGTCGAACGTCTAGCAGTTGCCTTATGAGTGTTGATGATTATACTGGGCGAGATCTACGCTTCAGCAAGGATTCTCTGAACACCTTTCAAGGAATCTTGAGGCAATCATCAGCCAGGAATGATGCTCTGAATCATGTGTGGGGATTGGCTTATGATAGAGATGACAGCTCAAATACCTCAGAAATGAAGGGCTTCGATCATTCCCTGACATGGTCTCACCATAGCAACTCCAAAAGACCCAGGCGACGAGCGCAATGTCCTTCGTGGACCTGGGCGGGATGGGATGGGAAGGTGAAGTATGATGCTCCTGGGCCGTCTATCTTTGCCTACGTTCAAGAGCTGCAATTCCGAAATGCCCTTGGCGAGTTGATCAAACTGGAAGCTGTGCAGGAAGAAGAAATACATCCCACTATTTTGAACCTCACGACACAAGTAGTCGAGATGACACCTGAGTCATTCGAGCCTAGACCTGGCTCAATCCTACCGTGGATACTTCATGGTGTAAGGTCCCGATTATCATGGTCAGATGACTCTGTTTCGGAAGTGGAATTGTGCGAAAGCTTTCAAGACACGACTCGCTGGCAATTTGCGTTGATTGGTGGTTTCAGCCATCCGTTCGTGATGGTATTAAAGCCATGTCTAAGTAAAAGTACTTGGCAGAGGGCTGACATGTTTTGTGTCTGTCTGGAAGCGGCCGAATTTTCCGGCATGCTCCCAGACACCTTGCATAGTCTCGACATAGAATAGCATGTATGTAGATTTTTGAGTCAAAACCGCAGTTGTTCATTGTCTAGGCCTGTGACCCAACTCAATTTCTGGCAACTGTGACGCTCAAGACTTCTGCGACGTAGATCTCACCAACTTCTCTGAATCCTCCATGAAAGTCTCCTGGTAGTCTGCCTGAGTGATTTGCCACGGTGCGAGACCAGCCTCATTTTCCAGATTAACGTCAGCGCCACGCGACAACAGATAGGGCAAGCAGCATTTAACCTGCCACCAATTGAATCCCTTCGCACACTCATGAAGTGCAGTATTCAGCCCGGGCTGCCTGACATCAAAATCGTAGCAAACACCCGGCGCATCCACATCCGCATAAGCCTCCTCGCCTGTTCTGCTTCTGCAATTGATGTCCACCTGAAGCTTCTCTATGAGCAAGCGCACGACGTCCATGTTTGGGAGTTGCCTCTTAACGGCGACAATCAACAATGGGTCGCCGGATGTTGGAGACGCACTAGGTTCTGATCGGAGCTGGGATCCATGCTTGGAGTCGATGATAGTTCTTAGCAGTTTTGCGAAGCCGTGTCTGACCAGCAGTCTTGCGATATCGTACACGTCCGAGTCTAAGAGAGGCAGAGAGGATCCGTCATCACGCAGGATATTTTCAAGTACACCGTACTTCCTTCTTCGCAAGAGCGTCTCAACAAGAGCGAGATGCGCATGATCGCCAGGCTGATCATGCCTTTTCCCGAATCGTTGCTCAAGATCGGACTGGGTACGTTGAACAGACTTCTCTAGTCTTTGATGGTTTGTGGATAGGTGTCCTCGGAGACCTACGAAACAAGACTTCGTATATTCCAAGCCTTTGATCTCGCAGTGCTTGATACATTTCGTAATGTGATCTTGGACAGCCTGTGTGTCCCTTTGCCTTGATCCCTGAGGGCTTTTGTGATGGCATTAAGGATTTCTTCGAGACGGGCCGTATGCTGAACTGATGCGATACGAAATGTGTCTTCACGCCAAGGTCCTCCAGGTAGCCGATCTAGCGCACGCTGCAGCTCTCGGCTGGGTCGAATCCAAGGTCGATCATCGTCTTGCTTTCGAACGCCCCCAAGTGCGTGGGTCCCCCAGTCGGACGGTAGGTCAACACGGCCGAGCCAGTACCAATCCGGCAACTGGAGCTCCCGATAGTCTGCCCATAATGTCTGCTCGTCTTCGAATTCAAGGCATGCATCGAGCGGTGTCAGTCCATTGACATCCATGGACGTGGGATCAGCGCCTGCAGCTATCATGTAAGAGACGGTCTCAGGGCGACCAGAGCGGCAGGCGTAGTGCAATGGCGTTCTCGCAGTATCATCCTTCGCATTGACTTCGTGCTCTTGGAGATTTCCGTGTCGGGTTGTAAGTGCATCAATCAATATGCCCACAATGTTGCTCTGTCGAGCACGTGCCGCCAGATGAAGAGCATTCATGCCGTCACAAGTTGTGCGCGTCGGATCCGCGCCAGCCACAAGCAGCGTCTTCACCAGATATTGAGACATCATGGATGCAATGTGAAGTGCTGTTATGCCATCCCGGTCAGGTGTATCAATGTTGTTGGTGTGTTCAAGAAACCAGTTCGTCGCTGGCCTGGGTACTTGATCGTCCAGTAGGAATTCGTCATGTATCCATGGCGCGCCGCAAAATGTGTGTAGTGGTAGACGTCCACCCGAGTTGGGTGAATTTGGATCCATCCCGGATTTGACGAGCTGCTCGAACTCATCCACATCCCCCCTCAAAGCAGCTTCGTGAAAGAGTCCACCACTAGTTGACATATTCTGCGAATAATCACGAACGGCCATATGCAGTATTGCAGTGACCGCACGGGAAGCTGTCCCAGGTGAAGTATTTCCTTTTACCCGGTCGTGAGGAAAGCGTGATGAGTTTGAGTTGAGATCCGGCCGAATACGGATGAATGAACGTGGGAGCAAGATCAAGTTACGCGCAAGAGAAATGCGAGTAAATGCCAGCATCGTGGATAACAGTTGGTTAGGCTGCCACTTGCGCCTTCCTGCAACCGTTTTCAAGGCGATGAAGGGTCATGAAGCTACCGGCTCAATCAGCAAAATGCCCGTCATCCTGTAGCCTGTTGAGTCACACCCGAAGGCACGGGAAATTACCACCAAGGAAAAATGAGTAATTCGATGTAGATTTGTTGCTGAGGCGTGGACGAGAGAAGCCGAGGTCACACTAACATACCGCGGATGTGCTTCTTCCCTCGACTGACCGTCGGGAAATCATGAGTAAGATTGCGCTAATTGAGTGAAAATATTTGGGGCTCGTGTGAAAGTTTCGCGTGGATGGCTCTAAGTGAGGCAGAAGGTCGACCAAAATCTGATGTCATCAACTTAGCCTAAAAACGCTACGTTGAGTACAGGCGTGCTGAGAAATTTGTGGTGGCTATATTTCTGGCTGTGACACGAATCACCAAAGTAGTAACAAGTAAATCGGGTTCTTATCCCATCGATAATCGATATTTAGGCCGTAGCATAGTGGGCGGCCGCTTGGGTACCCGGGTTCTTGATTGTCAGATCATTACCAAAGTTTTTGGTTCCCATCTGTGGTTGTCCAAGAGTTCCGGAAGACTCACAGCTACTACGCCTCCAATCCTTCTATAGACCAGTTCAGTACTGCCGGGACAGCCTCCAGCTTCAAGTAGTAAACCAGCCCATCTCACCATACCAGGTTCTGTTTTGCTGGGTTCTGAGTATACCAGCAAGACATCAGCGCGCTTCTTTGTTGCATCAAGCTCATGGTCAACCCTCCATTCACTATTGCCAATAGGCATGTTCTCCATGAACGGCCCGCGGATGCTCAGTTGAGTTTCCCAGGCGGATAAGGAGAATCTCCGAAAGGCAGACATTAGCCCGACTGGCCCTCATGAGAATACAGTCAGTGTGTTGCGATGCTTCACGACTGCGAAGGCAACCGCCGGTGGAATCACGCGATGCCTTTGCAGCTATGATACAGACAGCTCCCGAATATATCTCGCCCATCTTATTAATCTCTCTGCTCTTGTCGGTGGAACTATCCTGAAAGATACAGAGGGAATCGATCCAGATGTAACTGTATCCCAGGTTTCTTGTGATCATTGCTGCATCTCGAAAGGTCTTTGGCAAGTAGGTACTTTGAAATGGTCGAGAGAGCGCTTTTTCGTTGGCCGAAAGGAGTTGACAATCGACTCCATCCTGACCTCAGCAATGGCTCAAGGCTGTATATTCGTCTGAAACTGCAACATGAGAAGTTAGTGTCGTATCTATGACTTGTACCATGTCTTTTTCCAGAAGTGCTAGCAAGCGCCTTGGCCGAAGAGACGCTCTTTTCTCGCATTCCGCATGCTGCCTAGAACAGTTCGCAATCCAGTCTCGAGCAAGTTGCGCAGTTAACGGTGAACCAGTGTTTGAGAGACCGTATATCCCATTTCGACCGAGCCGATGAGAGCCTGTTCAACGTCAGCCCTGGGGAAACCTAGGTAGTTGTACAAGGCCATTACCAACTTTCAAAGATCTTGAAAACAGGTGTTTGTGCACCCGGTACGGCCAGTTGTATACATACTTGAGATTTTCTTCCTTTGATCTCGAAAATGTGTAGTTTTGACAGAGAATGATCACAGCCGGACTGGGCTATTTCTCTAAACGTGCCATAGGCATGATGGTTGACCGCTTCACTAATCTTGGTGGAGTCGGTCTGAACAGTAGGAAGTTCGCGAAATCCAATAGTAGATAGTAATAAGCGACAAAGCTTGCAAGCGGCGTAATCTGAATCCAACGGATCCAAATCCTGTAAGTCATACACTGCTCTTGAAGGCACAAATATGCGCCACGAACCTTGCAGCAATCTCGAAGAACGTAGAATATCAGAGCATCGTGTACAGATGGCAGTTGTAAATTCTGTCTTAAACCACCTTGGCGTTCGAATCGCGTAGGAACGAGACTCGCGAGATGCCTGGAAATGCCCGGAATCTTGGCCTCGCTCGTCCCAAGTTTGAGTAGGATTATCTTCCCAATAGTCTCCATAAGAATAAGCTCCTAGCATGAATCCGGCCATCAAGAGTCCTCCAGCCATCAATCCCAAGATGATGTCCCATTCTGAAGGTGTTGGACTGCCTCTTGCGCCTGGCTTTACAAAAAGTGTGCCAAATAGATAAAACAAGATTGGGAAGACTAAGATGCCGTATGTATAGGCAGCAAGCTGCTTGAAAGTAGTAATCATGGTCTGGCCTGAATTTCGACAGCAGGTTAGAAGTGAGGCTGCAGCTTCCAAAGCTACCACGCTAACTTACGTCGCTGCAAAGGCAGCCGGTCGCCAAGCTTAGGTCGCTTACCCAAAGAGTTTGCGCATGCCGTAAGCACGTATGTTGTGCTGTCCAGATCAAGAAGTTGGAAGCTACAGAGATTTGACGTTCACCATTCAGCATCGCGACTAGGTTGCTCGACTTTTGAGTTAGGATGTTAGTACGCGCTAGTCCTGAGGATTTAAGAAGGCCGGGCTTTATGAATCACGCCGGAATAAGGCATTGACTTAGCGCGTGCATGAATCATCTTTGATAGACTTCAGAGAACTTCAGTCGAGCTATCGCTCTACATTCATATCAGCGTCAAGCACTTCGGCAAATCCAAAATGGCAACCGACCATATCAAGCTAGGTCCTATCTTCCCTGCCGCAGAGTACGTTTTGACAGGAAATCCACAAGTATGCGTCTCGAGATCAGATCTTCTCATTTCCGTCCACAGTCTCCATCCTCGTCGGAGACGACTCCTTGCTCTTCACACCACCCAAATTCTCAGGATCGTTCGCATGCGCATTCGCAATGCCAATCTCCGTTGTCGAGAAGCTATCCGCCACATTACGATACGCCGGCACAAAGTTGACGCAAATTGGATAACTCCAAGCGGCAATGAAGAACGCCATCGGCACCGCCATTGCAATAGCCGTCGGCGCATGTCCCGTCACGGGGTTTGGCTTTCCCTGCGAATCCGACGCAACAAATAGAAGTGGAGGCACGACGGCTCCTCCTGCAACACCAGCGACGATGAAGCCTGAGCCGCGCTTGGAGTACTTTCCGAGACCGCGCATACCCAGTGCGACGATGGTGGGGAAGATGATGGACTCGAAGAAGAGCACGATGTAGAGCATGCTCATGCCGATGTTGCCGCGTTCGGTGATGGACGGGATGATGAAGATGATGCACATGGTCATGAAGACGAAGAAAACCCAGCGCGGCTTGACGAATTTCATCAGTGCGCTGCCGACGAATCGACCTAGTGTAAATGTCCCCTGAGCGCCGGCTAGGAAGCGCGCACCAGTATCTGAGCCAGACGCGACGCCGTTGAAAACACGAGTCTCAGTGACGTAGTTGATGAACGCTCCGGCAATGGCGACTTGTGCTCCAGTATAGCAGAATTGCGCAAACGTAGCGTGGAAAAGTCGCCATTGTTTCCGGAAGGGCTTCACGTCTGTTCCGGCGTGTGTCGTTTCGGCTTGGAAGGCCATGTCCGCATCTACACATCCATCAGCAAACGAACCTAAGAACAATGTCTTGATGCTTACCAGTGATTTCTGGAATCGGGCTGAAAAAGTAAACGACAGCAAGCAGGAAGACGAAGCATGCAATTGCAAGATACACCCATTGCACACTCTCCAGCGACTTCTCATCCGTGCCAGTATTCTTGAAGAATACATATGAACCAAGGACTGGCGCAACTACCGTCCCGATACCATTGAAAGCTTGCGCGATGTTGATACGGATCTCTGAGTATCTTGGAGGTCCACAGACAGCTACACATGATTAGTCCATGCACTTCAAATAACTTTGAATGCCACAAAACCCACCCAAGTAAGGATTCGCAGCCGTCTCGAGCGATCCAAGGCCATTTCCCACGACAAACGTCGCCGCGCAAAAACCGCCAAAAGAGCGGTACACAAGGCACGGCCACGCAAGCAGCGCGCCAACGCCATACAGACACAAGCCCCAAATGAAGCAGGCCTTATACCCCCAATTCCTCAGAACCCAATTCGCATGACCCAGCGAAGCAAGCGGATATGCGCCAAAGTACGCTGCCTGCAGACCCGAAGAGCGCGAGCGTGTGATTCCCAGGGTTTCTTGGAAATGTTTGTTGAGTGTGTCGATGAGGCCATATGAGAAGCCCTATGCATATGTTAGTTATGGATTGTCGGTGTAAATTCGGTAGGTTGGAGAAGTCTTACCCAGAGGAAGAACAAAACCGTGACTAGCATGAGCGGATAGATGGATTCGCGCAGCGTGAGTTCTGCCGCGCGCGTACGCTTGTCATCGCGCTGGCGCAATCTACTGAGAAAGCCCATCTTGAAAGAATAAGAATATAGCAATTAAGCCGTCTGCTAAACCGCTTTGCATCGATGTAGCCAAAGATGTTATAAGTCTATCCAAAGACAAGTCCCGACGTTCCTTCGCGCAAACACAAGCGTCCCTGCCTCCACATTATGTACCTCCACCTTCACGCCCCAGCCGTTGACCCATGCATCAAACCGTTGTAACCCAAGCCCCATCGTCCCATCTAGCATACGTCAGAATCGTTGGGGTACCCCAAAGCTGGGGTAAAAAACCTGGGGATCAGCCAATGCGGTGCGCCGGATGATGTCGTTTCGGTGGGGACTCTGCCGACGCGGGGTGAAGTTTGGGAAGGGATCGACGTGAGGGCGTGATTTGCCAGGATCCCAGGATACCGCGAGTCCTGTTTAACAGCTGCCGTGGTTTGTGGTGTGCGAACGCGAGTCGTGGCATGCATCGGCGGAGTTTCCGTTCCGGGGAATGTGCTTGCGGAGTCGACGACGGTAGTGAGATAGAGAGATCTTGGCGATGCGGCGTGAAGCATAAATCTTCCCGAAAATTCTGGAATGCTTGTATAGGACGACAAGGAGATGGATTGGGGTTTTATCACGTGCGCTACAACCACCGATGGAACGTCCGTGGTGGACTGTAATCAATCTCCAATCCATACACGTGACTACATAGCCAATATTTCAGCGGTACTGTAGGCAAAGACCAATCTGCAAGTATCATCAAACAAAGGCATTATTTCCCGAAGAAGATGACTTATCCCTTATTCTTAAACGCCAATCCACTCTCCTTCCTCACAACCCCATAAACACTCGGAATATCCCCCTTGTCCCCAATCTCCTCCTTCACCCCATCCAACCTCTCCTGCGCCAATCCCAACATCTTCGCACTCGCCCCACTCCTATCCGCTAGATCCCGCGCATGCCTTGCATCCTTCCTCGCAAGATCGATATGAAACAGCGGCTCATCCCTCTGATAATAATCGCCCGCCAGCATGCGCTGCGAGTAGGCCGTGTACGGGCCAGGAAACATTGTCTCGATGAACGAATGCAGATTCTCCACCCCGAGGCCGGATTTCTCGGCTAGGACATGGCCTTCGGACAGCTGGCTGACCATGTTGAGAATGAAAGTGTTGCCGATGACTTTCAGTAGGGTGGCGTTGCCGGCGGGCTGGTCTGGATACTCGATGTCTGCGCGGCCCATGACGCCCTTGGTGTAGGGCTTGACTTTGGCAACTGCCGCCTTCGTGCCTGCGATGACGCAGACTAGTTGGCCGTTGTCTGCCATTGCGGGTGCGCCGAAGACGGGCATGCCAACGAACTCGGCGCCTTTTTCGGTGATGCGCTTTTCCAGGGCATTGGTGGTGTCGGGGTGGACGGTAGAGCAATCGACGATTAGTTTGCCCTTGGTGTCTTCTTGCAAGATGGTGTCGACTGTAGAGTTGACGGCGGCATCGTCGCCGAGACACATGAAGATGATGTCGGCTTCTTTGGTGGCGGCGTTGATGGTGTCGACGACTTTGGTCTTGCCGCTGCCGACATCTGAGGCGATTTTGTCGGACAGGTCATCGGAGCGCTTCTTCGTGCGGTTGTAGATGATGAGAGGTTTGTCGAGATTGCCCTTTTCTACCAAGTTCTTACACATGCCCTACAATGATCAGCTCTACCTGTCATGAGTATCTCCCGGCTATACTTACTCTTCCCATGTTGCCGAGGCCGAGCCAAGCAAGTTGTGGAGCCATGATGATTTTGTGTTTCGAGTATCGTGAGAAATGTACAGCAGGTGTTACTTCACCTTCAAAAGTCGTGCCAAGTGGATGTACTTTGAACTTTAATACTCCAGGTAGCCGTCCCGCATCGATGTCATGAGCTTGTATCCGGCAATGGGAATAATGGGGTCCAAGGCACGGGCCGATGTCGGTGCTAGTACGAATGACGTTTAGCTGCCCACCTGCCTTTATCGAACTTCGATTCACTGAAAAACATGTGCGCGCGAATTAATTCACACTCGGCACTCACACCTCGTGATTGCCCATAAACATCCCTTCCCAATGTTCCCCACGTCTGTGCGATAGCATGAAGCATGTTTATTTGCTGCAAAGCCCCCGCGAGGGGTTTCGGGAAGGGTACAAAGACCGTGAGTGTAGCGTGTGCGATGCGCGGGGTGCTAGAGAACTAATAGCGGGCAGCTTTCCAAGTTCGATAACACGAGCTATGCTTCCATAGCACGCATATCGACTAGCACACACAGAAGTGCATTACACACGCGCAAAGCTTCAAGCTCGGCGAAAGAGCGCCAACGAGCCGATCGCGAACAACTGACACGCCTGCTCAAAGAGTCGCCAGGCAAACGCGATGCGCGCAACTTCTTGAAGCAGTTCGACGCACCGAAGCCAAAGAAAGGTGAAGGAAGCACCGCCCCAAAAGCAAAGCAAGGCACGAGCGAAGTCGTTCGCAAGGATCCGGGTACAACTAGGACAGGTGTGAATTTGGGGAATCTCTATCAACCCACTGTATTCACGCGCGAACCTCTACCGGAAAAGAAATATGAGGAGGAAGACAAAGAAGAGCCATTGCATTTGGCTTTGGTCAAATTGAGGCAGCCACAAAATCTGGATGACCGCACGCTCGGCGGCATTGCGCTGACGCTGAGTCAAATGGCGCAGCTCGGTCTAAGTACTGCTGTCGTACTTGACTGTGCGGAATACGATTCAGAGGATCTACCGCAGATCGATGGCGCATACGAGAAGATGTTGAGAGAACAAGCTGCCCGGTTCGTGGCGACTTTGGAAGAATACAATGAGCCCGGAGCCCTACTCATCGAGCATGCATTGGGCAAGACCAAGGAGCAGAATGTCATTCCGAGCACAGTCCAGATTCGAGGCGGTGTTGAAGTCAAGAACAGCTTCTTGCTCTACCCTCCTATCGATGATGGCGTCATTCCAGTGGTTCTGCCAATTGCTTATGACAGTGACTTGAAGAAGGTTGCTGTCGAAGCAGACGACGTTGTCCTGGCACTGATCCGGGAGTTTGCTGGAATTGCGGCGCACGCTGATCGCGGAGCATTTGAGATGTCTGAAGCATCCAGTGGCAACAAAGATTTGGATGACGCTGAGCGACCCATCCTGGACCGCATCATCGTTCTAGACCCACTGGGCGGCATACCTTCTGTAAATAGGGCCGACGGGGCTCATGTATTCGTCAACCTCGAAGCGGAGTATCGCGATATCAAGCTGGAGCTTCAACGGTTGTCTGCTGCAGCTGGAGATGAGGCCAAATCTAAGCCAGCAGTGTCGTTGGGTACTGGCAATCCTTTCTCAAAATTCGTGGAAGAAGAAGTGGCGACGACACACGGCGGTTCGAAACATCATCTCGCCAACCCAGCGCCGATGCGCCACCTAAAGAATCTCGATGTCGTCCAGCGTGCTTTAAGGATACTACCACCCACCTCTTCAGGTCTCATCCTTACTCCAACGGAAGCAGCGAGAAAGGCCATCCCAGACGATGACCGGAGCACGCCATCCAAGAACCCTCTCCTGCATAACCTGCTTACCGACAAGCCAATGATATCATCATCGCTACCAACTTCACCAGCGAGTCGGTTCCTCGGTTCAGTTTCGCCGAACCCACCGACCTTTCTAAAAAAGGGCATACCAGTAACTATGGTACCGGATCCTCGTGAGTCTGGACCTTGGCGACCACCTTCTGCGTCAAATCCTAGCATCGAACTAGCCGAAGATCCACGTATCAACTTCCCTAAGTTGGAGGACCTGATCAATGACTCTTTCCGCCGAAAATTAGACGCGAAAGACTATCTCGATCGCATTCGCGGTCGCGTTGCCGGTATAATTATTGCCGGCGATTACGAAGGTGGAGCGATATGTACCTGGGAAACACCAGCTTCGCTACGGGGTGTGAAGATACCGTCTCAAGCTTCTGAGACCCCAGACTCGCCATACTGGGTGCCGTACCTGGACAAATTTGCTGTCTTGACATCTTCGCAAGGTTCAGGCGGGGTATCAGACATTGTGTGGGCAGCGTTGACGCGAACTGGTTTCCCGGAAGGTGTTGTGTGGCGAAGCAGGACGAGTAATCCGGTGAATAAGTGGTATCAAGAGAGGTCTACGGGAACGTGGAATTTGCCTGGAGACCAGTGGACTATGTTTTGGACGACGAATGGCGTGACCAAGCGCTGGGATGGAAACGAGTGGGATCTCGGACAGAGCAATAGTCTGACGAGGTGGGAAGCTTATGTCGACGTGTGTAACGGAATTGTACCGAGCTGGGCGGACGGAATTAAGAGAGCTGATTAGATCCTCGAGAAGTAAGCGAAGACGATGTCGAAATAATACGCCGACTCGCAATGTTGGTCCTTGTCTTTGTAGATGGTCAGAGCGGTTCAAACTTGATGGGCTCACAACAGCCCTGATGTCATCTGTTCGACTACCACACCAGGCAGCGGCAAGATTCGTGTCCGCTCAGCACCTACACGACCTAATCTACCAGTCTTTAGGAGCGCACTCATGACTTTATAAGGGAGCCGAAGGTATGCGCCCCTCCAAGGCATTCCTAGTTGGTGTTGCGAAAGTTTATGAGAGTATCTAGGCTACCTTAACCTCCTCTCGTTGGTGAGAGCAGACAGGAATTCTGTCGGGGCCTGGTGACCACACGAAAGATAGCGCCAGCTACTCGAAATCCGAAGTCGAGATCAGCGACTCATCGTAATCCCACCCATGGCCTTCATGTAGATGATCGGGCAACGGCTTACACATGAAACAATAGTCAAAGTCGTAACACGTGCGGCAACGGAATCTTGCTCCGAACACCACCTAAATATATATTGTTAGCCACATATTGTTCGCGTAGATGCACAACTCACATGATGGCACCCATCGCACATGATATTAGCAACGATTTTTGCAGGTTTGCGTCCAGGAGTCATTGGACCCAGCGCATTCTTGCACTCAGAGGATAGATCCTGTAACATGTCCATGTGTCCATGATAGATGGCGATGTCAACGGGGTTCCAGTTGCTTGCCGGTTGATGGGTCGCGAAGCTCTGGCCGCGTTCGCCTGCTTGTACCAGTCGTTCCACGACAGATTGTGCGCCCACTTTGCAAGCCCAATGCAGAGGGCTCCAGCCGCGCTCACTAGACGCCCGCGTAAGAGGCACATACCTTCGGACGGCGTCAAGTAGCGGCAATGAGCCGGACGATGCGGCATAGCAGATTAGATCGTCACCCTTTTGGTCGATCGCGAACATGTCCAGGCCGAGATCTTTGAGGAACGTGAAGGTGTCGTATTGTCGGTGAAGGACAGCGGCGTGGAGTAAACTACCGCCGTGCGGATCTGAGCAAGCGAAATCTATCTTGAGCTGGGAGTTGATCAGTTGTAATGTGCTAAGGCGGCCCTTCTCCACAAGCAGGAACAAGAAAGAGACGGGTATGCTGGATGCAACCTGGGATCCAGAACAGGTCGGAAGAAGCATCTCAACTATGTCATCGTGGCCGTTGTGTGCTGCCATTGTTAGCGCGGGCCATCCGTTGAACACTGTTGCAGGAAGGTTGGCTCCGTGGTGCATGAGCGTTCGGACAACTTCAGCATGACCGTGAGATGACGCCGCGATGATTGGAGTTCTTTTCTGATTGTCGCATATATTTGCATCCGCACCTCTTCCAAGAAGAAGCAGCACGACATCGAGGTGGCCTTGGGCTGCTGCTTCGTGGAGCGCAGTCGAACCTCTCCTATCTCGCATATCCAACGAGGGATCGAATGTGGCAAGTTGCTCGACCACTTTGGGAAAACCATGGTACGATGCCATCTGGATTGGACCTCGCTCGTTATTGTCGTAGATGTCTAAACGAGCTTTGTTAAGCAGGAGGACTCGAACAGCCTCGACGTGGCCTCGTTGGGCGGCATACATAATGGGCGTCCATCTTCTATTGTCCATTGTGTTTGGGCTTGTGCCATTCTCGATGAGAATTTGGACTACCTGCGAATACCCTTTGGAAGCTGCTGCATGGATTGGGATCCAACCCTCTTTGCCCGGACTACCTGCGTCTACCCCTCTTTCCAAAAGTTATTTGACAACCTTGGGGTGACCATGAAAACAAGCTTCATTGAGCAAAGTGGCCCCATAGCTATTGTAAGCGGTCATAGTTGCTGCCAAATTCTGATTCATTAATACTTGTACCACATCGTACCAACCTCTTCTACATGCAAGTTCCAGAGGCGTTTGCTGCAATTGATCCGTGATAGCCGCGTCAGCCCCTCTTTGAAGGAGAAGTAGTGCCATAGTCCTGTCGTTATTTTGAAACGCGATCTGGAGAATGCTGCGCAACTTTGGTGCTTTTGCTTCGATACTAGCACCCGAGTCAAGGAGAAGCTCGACTGTGCCTGTGTGCCCCATCCGTACCGCAGCAAATAGTGCAGAACCATGGCGTCCACAGTCTTCATTGACGTCAACACCTTTTGCAAGGAGCATATGGACCATATGCTCGTGTCCATGCAATGCTGCGATGTACAGACATGTCCGCGAGTCATTGTCTTTCTCTGTTATCCAATGTCCGGTAGTACTAGGAAGGGTTGTAAGTATCTTGTCGGCCAAGATGTGTAACCCTAGTTCGGATAAGAGATGCAAGCCAGTTTTTATTCTTGGATAGTTTTGGCTGTACAGGTGTAGCCCGTAACGATAGACAGATGTCGCCTGAACAATGCTGGACATAGACCCGTCGTCTGTGAGAATTGAAGCCGCGAGATCGAACAAATTCTCCTGGACACTTGACGCATGTTTGCCCCAGTTGTGTGCGGCATACTCGAAGAATGGGTGCTTTATCAAGCGGTCCTCCAACCTACCGTCAGACGAGCACCTGCCGTGTCGGAAGGTGTCGAAAGAAAGATACGTCAGACACGTAATAGCGATGTATAGCTGTCCGCCGGGGCTCCAAGTCTCGCGGATGCCCTCGAGATACTCCTGTGTTGTGTAGTGTACTAGACGGATCACATTGCTACACTCATCGGTGGTGACAAGGCCTGCACACACCGACACAACATCTGCTTCGTCAAGTATGTTATCTATATCGAGACTCGTCTCACCCGATTCCACGGCTAAAGCATGACAGAGTTCGCTTGTAGTGAGCGCTCTCTCAGCATAGACTATCCAGGTCAGAACTCTCTTCGCAAGAGCAGCATCTTCAGGGAGCTGGCTCTCAAGCCGCTCAATTGCGTGATCATAGGCTCTCTCGACTGTTTTTACTTCTTTGGATAGCCTCTCGAGTGTCGAGCAGATCTTGCTCTTTGTCCGCTTGTCAAGCAATGAATCTATGTAGAGTCGAGCTAGCAGGAACCTGATCTGGTCAGCTGGAATCAAATCATGGGAGTGCCCATAGACCTACATCCCGTCGATTGCCCCGGCAACCTTTTCTTGTATCATACGCGGTAGCTCCGGATCATGTTGAACACATCTGGGAAGCCGATCAAGTTGTCCTTGTATAAAAGGTTTAATATCCTCGTCACGCGCGCGGATCTCGATCTTTAACGCATCGCGGAATTCTTGTACAATATCTGGTATATGACGCGAGGTCACCATGAGACATACGTCAGTACTATTTCGCATCTGAGCAAGACAGGCTGAAAGCTGGCGGCGAGTTCCGTTTTCCACTGCGCATTCATCCAGAGCATCGATGACGATATAAAACCTCGTAAGCTGTGCAGACGAAGTTTGTAAAGTTTCAAGAAGCTCATCCTTGGTTGGCCTGGATCCACGAGTATTGTGGTGCTGCTGCAACTGTTTTGCAAGTTGAACGACACCAGGGGTGTTTGCAAGCACAAGCTGCTGCAAGATTGCTTCAAGCAAAGCCTCCACATTCTGTTCGATGCGCGACTTGTAGCTGCAATACAGCCACGCAACTCCTGTTGTACTAGTCCGCACGCTCGTTACGAGATGATCAACAGTGACAGCTGCTAGCATAGTTTTACCAGCTCCCGGCATGCCAGGACAGAACAACGTCCTGTTGGAAGTGGCTCCGTCGAGCCAATCAGTAAATTCAGGCGCGCTGAGAAACCATTGTCCTGTATTTTGATGTCGATGGCGGAGAATGTCTGACTGTTGAGCCAGGAAGTCTATTGGCGATATCCAGGCTTTGAGAGCATCGAGCTGAGCACGGTCTAGGCCCTGCTGTATCGACTCTAAATCGGCCTGCATGCTGGGCATAAGACCTCTCACAAAAGTCATGTCGTTACTGATGGCCTGCGACAATTTGCTGCTGCTGTTTAGTATCCGTTCCGATGTTGTGGTTCAGCAACTTTACAAATGGTCCATCTGCAGTGCTATCCCAATGAGCGTCTTCAATCGTTCCATGCATTGCAAGATAAGGTCAACCTCTTCTTTCTTGAATTTCCAAGTGAGCACGTCGATTGCTTGGCCGAACCGACCCTTGCCTGAGGTGATTCTTGCTTGCAATACTTCAAGTGTCTCTTTGAACTGATCGAGTGGCCCTTTTTTGGTGGCCAGACCCCTGATAGCGGCATACCACGGGCTGCTAGCATCGCCTTCCTCTAGGCGGAATCTCAGGCTTGTAAGCAGACTATGTAAGTTCGTCGCCTCGATAGCGCATTTTGCACGGTCCTTCGAAGCGTCTTCGACATCATTCAGATAACTAATAACCTTATTGGAGAGCTGGAGTAGGGCGACGATGCTCGCGGTAATACTGAGAGGGTCCATGTTGTGTGAATGGAGGCCCACTCCAACATGGCACAGGAAATGGCCGATCGCGTGATATCAGATGCTGAGGCTACTAGACTTCTTCGGATGATGTGGTCAGCGGATTCGCAAGGCAGGCGCATTGTGCGACCGATTACATCCTCTCCGAGCACTCACGGGAAAGTAGAAACAGGCTGCTGAACAGCTGGGCGCGATAAAAGGGTTTTTGTGGCGCATGGTGAGAACTGTACGAAGGTGCGATTTTGCCAGGTCAGCAATGTTGGCGTTTTGGCCCCGGCTAGCCCTATGCGCCTGCCTCTTACAGTCGAGCTGCAGGTACAAGCACGCGTGCAGTAGAGTCACATGACCATGATCACGCAAGTCCATGGCTATTCACTGTCTGGGTAATGGTGGCGTCTTGTAATGAGATTTAGGACAGCATCAGATTCTCTTGCATTCGGGTAAAGACATGTTGGGGTGTCCTTCACCATGTTCCAGGGTGTCAACTGTCAGACTCCATTGCAAGCAATACTAAAACATTGCTGCTAGCCCCGCAGCCTGCGTAGGCTAACAGTAGTCCTCGGGGATTGGGGAAGCCCCGAGACCGTACACCGAGTTGAGAGATGATGGTATCCACGGTCCACGTCACTGTTGGACCCAAAGAAAGCACCAGCGCTTGTGGTTTCGTAACTGTTTTCGTTTTTGGAGTTGCAAAGTCGGCACCCGTGCTTATTCGCTGCCGTGACAGCCGAGTAGTGTGTCATTCGGATAGGCGGAGGCCATGATCCTCAGGAACGCGGCTCGATGGACAATAGCGGACATGTGGTATGCAAAGCTTGTCGGCTCTGATCATGTGCACAAACAGCGGCCGCGTAAACACTGCGGTTGATGCAGCCCGTTTTTGTACAGTGGAAGGAGTTGACGTTGTGAATCGATTGTCGCACTGGTCGCCAGACGGCGCTTCGCTCCTCGCGGGTCCTAGCTTGCACAGCCTCTTGCCGAATGGACCGCTAACTGTGGCCGAGCGGGAGGGTCCCAAGTCTCTCCAGTGCTTCCAGTGTTTCCCGTGCTCACGCTTTCCCCAGGCCATGTCAAACGTCGCTCGCTGCCACTGCTGCGCCAACTCGCAGCCCTAAGACGCTGCCGAAGAGAATGCGGCCGTCATGGACAGGAAGGCCCTCATCTTCCCTTGGTACGCGCCAGAAGGCCCCAGACATCGTGAGAATGCAATTGCTGACACAGGAACAGCGGCCTCGTCCTAGCCTCCGGTTACTTGAGCACCGCGCCGCCACGTCGACCACTCGTTCGCCTTTGACAAGCCGCTGCACACCGTCGCCGTCGTGCTGCTGCTGACGGGCCTCGCCGTCGTCGCAATCGAAGCCTGGGGATACCGCACCGCGCAACCGCACCTGCCGCCGAGATATGTTGCGATACCGCTCGGCAACGGGCAGAGCAGGCCCGGCGAAGAGATCTGGACCGAGGCCGGAGCGCCGTCGCGGAGAAGAGCATGGAGCGTCAAGGCCGTGGGAGCGCTGTTGGGGGTGCTGCTGTTCGCGCTATGCGGTCGCATCGCCATCTACTTCCGAGTCATGAAGGACGTCGAGTGCAGCGGGCCCTCTGCAATGGTGCGCATACCCCAGGATAGGACACGATATAGATATACTAACCCCCACAGGCATTCCTCCCCCTCGTGCTCGCCCTCTACCACCACCTCCGCCACCCCAGCCAGCGCCAGTACCCCGCCTGGAGTGCTGACTCACGCCCGCGCACCCAGCTCGACCGCGTCGTCAACTTTGTATACGACAGCTCCTCGCGGTACATTATCCCCGCCGCCCTGCTCTCCATCAGCAGCTTCCTTGTTCTTGTCAAGACGAGCGCATTGCACTCCACCTACATCTGCCCCGTCGCAAACTCCGCTGCGGCGACGATCCCGACTCTCCAATTTATCGGCTTTCTCGTAGATTCGTTTCTTGTACAGGCTATCTATCGCTTGGTAGACGATGGCATATCTCCCGCCGACGACTGGACAATCTATCTCCAGGACGGTACCTCAAACCACTTGCTCGTTGGCCTGACATTTATTGTAAGCAGCACCACCACACCCTCACACCACCACACCACCAACTAACATCTCCCAGGCATCATCTCTTGTACTTGTTGTAGCCGGCATGGTCGTATACCCTGCCATGCCCGAGCACCGCGAATGGATGCTCTCGTTTCCTTCTGAGTTTCTTCTTGGTCTTTTGCGTTTATCGTTGATGATACCCTTTATGACGTTATGTTTCCTAAAATCGGTACGTCTCTGATCACCTCTGAACATGCACCTGCTAACTGCCCAGGCTCGGTCATACGGCGTTATGAGCGCGGTGCTCATTGCCGCCTTTTCTTCTGCATACATCGGCGTACTTCGGGCACTTGGGACCGGCGTGTCCTATTCTTTTCCACCAAAGTCTACAGTTGGGCTTGCTCTTTGTCTTTCTCTACTTACCATTGCACTCATCCTCCACCTAGTCACCGACACCAACATTGAGACCCGCATCCGCTCTTCGGTGCCTGTACGTCTGGGCAGGAACCAGTCTGCAGCCTTCATTGTCCTCCTCATCGCCTTCTCCATTGGTGTAGTTGTTTATCGTCACCAGCCACCTTCTTCGAACCATCCAATCGCGACCCTGATTGAGCTTGCTGCAGTCCAGCACGAGACGTGGGAGTCGCAAGCGCATCGCAGCAAGAGTCTGGCCGAAGCAGCTGCGCATTACCGCCGACGCTACAAAAGAGACCCACCACCAAACTTTGACAAGTGGCACCGCTTCGCAGTGCAACGGAGCTCCATTGTGATCGACGACTACGACAATATTGAAGAAGACTTAGCGCCGTTCTCCTCCTTCAACCCTGATGATCTGCGACTTCGCACCGCGACTGTTCTAGCTACCAATACCGACGTAGGTGGTATTCGAATAAGAGATGGCAAAGCAGAAGCAATTTCTGAGGTGCCTGAAGAGCACCGATGGGTCATTGAAGGGGCCGTGATCATGATCCAGGAATTCGCCGAGTTTCTTCCCGACATGGACCTTGCCATGAACCTCCACGACGAATGCCGAGTAGCCGTACCCTATGATCATCTCCGCAACGCGCTCGAAAACCCCCAGCCATACCCCACACCAGATCCCTCGAAACCTTCCCAGGACTTCAGCAGCGAACGTGCGAAGAAGTGGCCAAGCATCGAGGACGTTCGAACTGATCCGCAATTCTTCGAAGATGCTCGACCCCCAACTTTCCAGACGTATGGTTCCATCGCTTGTCCGCCAGACTCTCGCGCGCGGAAAGAGCGTCACTGGCAGACGAAGGGCTTTTGCTCCAAGTGTATAGAACCTCACTCCATGGGCGCTTTCGTTGCCAACTGGACTTTGGCTGCTGATCCTTGCCACCAGCCGGACATTGCGAATCTTCACGGCATGCACCTCAGTCCTTCTACTATGATGGGCACTCACGATGTTGTACCCATCTTCAGTCAAAGCCGCGCACCCGGATACATCGACATTCGCTATCCTTCACCCTGGAACTACCTGGACAAGACAAAGTACGAGTTCGACGAAAAGTTTCCGGACCCTCATTTCCACGACAAGGAAGATATTTTGTTCTGGCGCGGCATGACCAATGAAGGTGTGACAACAGCTGGAACGTGGAAGGGTATGCTGCGTCAACGACTAGTTCACCTCGTCAACAACGAGACTTCCCGCCACCCAATCATGCTCCCCAAAGGCGACCACAGCGGCAACCTTGAATATGCGATGAAGCGAACGCGAGACATCAAGAAGTACCTAGCCACCAAACTAGACGCTCGCTTCGTCGACAAGATAGTCAGCTGCGCCGGCCAAGACTGCACCGACCAAAGGAGAGAGTTCTGGCTCGCCAACGACATCGACATCCGCAGACACTGGCGCTACCGCTACCTCTTCGACGCCGACGGCCCCGGCTTCTCCCCGCGTTTCATCCCCTTCCTGCGCTCCAACTCCGTCGTGTTCAAATCCGCCCTGTTCCGCGAATGGTACGAGGGCCGGCTCACCGCGTGGAAGCACTTCGTCCCGGTCGACTTGCGCCTACACGATCTATTCAGCTCGCTCGCGTACTTTGGCGGGTATGGCGTCGAAGACCGCAATAAACGCATGATGCAGGGCAAACCCAAGGAAGCGGAGAAAATCGCGCGCGATGGCAAGGTGTGGACGGAGAAGGTGCTGCGCAAAGAGGACATGGAGGTTTATATGTTTAGGCTGCTGCTGGAGTGGGGGCGGTTGACGGATGATCGGCGGACGGAGGTGGGATTTCGTATGGGCAAGAAGGATCGGGAGGAGAGGAGTGAACTGTAGATTTATATCGCATTGCGCGGCGTTCGATCTTGGGCTATTTTCTTCTCTGGAATCCCAAACTTGCAATTATTATTTTCCTCTGAGAGCCGTGCTAGTGCTTCGTTTTCTGGTGTTGGGTGAATTCCTTTCTCAAACATCTCCGTGAACCATTTCCTAAGCTCATGGTACTTGTATTCATTCATCCCACATCCCTTGCACATATACCAGGCATTTCCCGCCCCCTGGTGCAAAAAATCGAGCTGCTCAATTTACAACGTGAGCACCACTATCTCCTTCGTTCTGTCAGAATTGAGCCGCTCGATATTCGAATTTTAGAAGACATGAGGAGCTTGGCTTGTTGAGTAAGGTAAATACTGAGCAGCGAGAGGGTTTTCGAATTCTAATGCTAGGGCCAGGGAGGGTATGAGGGAGACACAACGACCATCCTCCACATGACTTAGACCTACGGAGCGAGCGTGAGGAGAACAGACGTTCTTGACGCAGAAATGGGTGAGTGATGGGAGGGAGGAGAGGTAAAGAAGCAGGGAAGTAGAAGGAAGTAGGAGAACATCATCCCTTCAAGCCATGGTAGTAAACCCAACCGTCTGCTTTTACAATCGTTTAGAATTTATCATAAGTGCGTCTTCAACTCTTCGGTCCATCCATGTATCCTCCTTTGTGTTTTTTATTTCCTTCGCACACCCACTCCTTGCATCCCTACGACATACTCTTTTTTCCGCCTTTCACCAGGTGCTATCCCATCCTCCCTCTTTCTCTTGTTCGAGTCGCAAGTAATCTTAATACGAGGAGGTATATGATCAAGCCGATGGTGAACCATAGCGCTAGGGGTACGAGGGAGTACATTATTTTGGATAGGCGCGAGGCGTATGTGATCAGTGAGGGGGAAGAGGAGGACATTCGGTTTGCTGGGAAACGGAGAAGTGGTCCCAGTGTTTTGGTTCAGGGGAGAAGGTGTTTTGAAGGTTATATTGTTGGGTTTGGATTGGTGATGCTTGGTCGTTGAGAGGACGTATTCGTCGAGGAGAGATTTTTGGGGACGCTGTTGATTGTTGGATTGAGTGTTCAGAGGTAGTTCAGTAAATGATGATGATCGGAATATCTTACATTGGCTTAAATTCGTTGCAGTGGTGTTGAAAACTGTGCTGGCATCTTACAGTGATTCATTGGAAGTTGTATTAAAATGAATCAGACTATGGCTGCCGCAGGTGATGGGCATGTCGCGATGCTAAAAGGAGAGAGCAATATTTGAAGATCTTTACTATAATCAGCACCGCATGTACTGTTAAGGTGCGGATCCTCGCCGCTAATGCCGTTGCGCCCCCGACGGGCGATTTTCTCGCTGGCGGAAGCATTGAGTACCATCCTGCGAGTCTTGGCAACATGAATGGGTAAGCTAGCGTACGGCACAGCAAGGCGGATAACACAGTGTCGATCGAACACCGCGTAAGTCTAACTCAGCCTATATGCAATGACAAACGGGGTCTGCGCGACGCAATGGTTTTGCGAGACAGACATGGGATGTCGACCAGGTCTACTGTCTTATTGGACCATATCACCATGAGGTTCAACAAATTCAGTGGTGACTTAGACTACAGATATGACAGAAGGCAAGTATCGACATAGTCAATCGTACTTACTACACGTTGATTGGGTCGGCCGGCAACGGAAGTCGGCACCGAGTGAGGCGCAAGCATACTTCCGTTAAATCCTTCGGAGGCGCATGCTTACTAGCCTATGGGTGCGTGCCGTCGGACGAGTGTTGCATCTTCACGGCTTTCGCTAAATCGACCCAGGAGCAGCAATTCTTTGTTAATCTCCAAGGTGTGAGCATGCTTGTCGTGCTTACTCTGCGCCTGACGAGGGACCTACATAGGCAAACACGCGGTCAGCCTTGCAACGTTAATCAGACCTTATCAAGGAAAGATGACTCTTCAATCGGTCTTGACTTTTCGCTGCGTACCTTCACACAACTGACTATATTCTTACTAAAATCGCATCTGCATCATGAATGCCTCACGGTCTGTTCAGCATTCATAGCAACTTGACGCATTCTCCAGAGTGCCTTGCACAGCCTCGCCAAAGATGATGCGATTGGATGAAAAGCGCCTCCTGTACTCGGGTCTCGGAGGATCAAAGTTAGAACTGGCCCATTGCATGTCCTCTGATACACGCACTTAAGTTTTGGCAACTTGAGCCATCCCCCAGGTGGTTGTCGGTGCTTCATCTCATGTACGCGGTGCCCAAAACGCGAGCCAGGCAGCGAAGTCTGTACCATCAGGCAACCACCTACCAATGATAAGTATTTTGTATCATGCGATAGTCATTGGGCATCAATCATCTGATACACGCGACCTTCTGTTTCGATGAACCCACGAACATGTTCACCACCACAAAGCAGCCTCTTGACAGAACCGTACTGCGCTATGCAGGCCTCGTCCAAGGCCTCGTGGCACTGCCATGCATGATCCAGCTCGTGTGCAGCGCATCCCTGGTCCCATCCCGAAACCTGGTACTATTTCACGTAAGCTTGCTACATCCATAGCTTCTAAACATCACTGACGAAGTGCGCAGCACCTATATTCTTGCCGCGGGAGCATGTGGCGCCATCATCTTCACCGCAGTCGTGCAGTGGAAGGCCCTGACTACTAGCTTTCAGGTGCGACGTTTAGAGATTGTCGAGTCAGTTCTGGCGACGGGATTGTTCATCTGGCTCAACTTCTCGTGGGCAATTGGCACTCCCGAGAGGCCGTTTGGACACATCAACTTGAAGAGGTTGATCTTTAGTGGACTGGGTGTTGTGTAAGTGCATTCATGTCGTGGCTGAACGAGGGAGCTGACTTTCAGAGTGTGCTTTTCTACGGGCCTCTTGCGCACGCGGATGCTGCATGGAAGGATGACGAGAGGAGCAAGGATCTTGACTTCGAGGGTGACGGTCGCACCGTATACACCGATGCACCGGAGAAAGCGCCGTTGGAGTTGGTGCGGAATTGATGTTTGCGCTCACAAGCACCGACAGGAGGAGACGTCACAAATGAGACCAAGCGAACATCAGGAATGTAAGCTCTGTGGCGAGATTGGATGCCAAAAGAGGGCGAGGAGATCCACGATGAGGATGTTTTGATGCTTGACCAGACGTACAACAAAAGAGGTCGATAACAGTGGGGAATGCAACGAGCAACGATATAACGTTAGTACAGTGCGCAAAGAGTCCTCATAAGATCCAATAACGCCTGTTTCCCTTACAAGTAAGCTGAGTGTGTAACAAACCCGCAATCTCCTTCGGCTGCCACCATATGGGACAAACAAAACGAAGAAACTGCGGTGTTTCAAACCTGCGAGACTGATTCGAAATCCTCGCATCATGTGGAGCAAGTAAAACGCATTGAAATGACGGCCAAAAGAAGAGAGCGTAAAAGTGGTTGCCTGGACGCTAGCGCAGGGATGCGGTTGTCACGGAATTGACCGCGTTGTTTGCTAACTTGAACTCCGCGGTGGAAGCAAACAACAAAAGATATTTGTATGGTGGACTGATCACTTCAATCACACAGACCGATCAACTTCTACGCGAAATCATCGACATCATGGAGAACTTCTATCTGAAGAATATTTCCAGATACCGTCAACTCATTCATGCACTAGACCCTTGCCCGAAGCCACGAGTATCCGAAGGATCGCCAAGTTCAACTATGATCGTCAGTGTCAGAATTAGGCCTCTTGCTGAGGATGAGGTATTCCCCTCAGCAATCTTCCCTCGTTCAAGTCAGAAAAGCGTGGTAGACATCCATGACCTGTACAACCATCCAAGTGGCATTCCGAGATTGCAGGTGTGTAGTTTTGCGTGCACAACGTACCCTAGTTTTACTGACACTCTCTGGCAACAGAGTACCGACTACCAAGTAGATCGGCTTTTCGACTCCGATTCGACGACCGAGCAGATCTACGAAGATCTTGTCGCAGATCTGATACCTTTCGCTTGGAATGGCGGGATCGGAACCCTGTTTGCGTACGGCCAAACAGGATCGGGAAAGACCTTCACAGTGAGCAGGCTAGAGGAGCTCGTGGTAGAGACACTCACGAGTAGAACTCTGAGTGGGAAAGAGGACGTCTACGTGACCATTATCGATCTTGCTGGCAACGCTGCTTTCGATCTTCTGAACGAGCGAAAACCCGTATCTCTACTGGATGATGCCGATGGTGTCACGCAACTGAAAGGTGCTGAGGAACATGCGGTACTCAATGTAGAGGACGTGAGGGCTCTGCTCGAGCGAGCAAGTTCCTTCCGACAGACGGCGTCGACTCTCAAGAACCCCGCTTCTTCACGATCACATTTTATCTGTCGTATTCGGATTCGCAATATCAGCAGCGGTTCGGACGGTCTGCTGTATCTGATCGACCTCGCAGGATCGGAAGGTGCTCGCGATATCGTGGCTCACGGAGCAGACCGCATGCGCGAGACGCGACAGATCAACATAAGTCTCTCAGTATTGAAGGACTGTATTCGTGGGAAATCTCAAGCGGATGCTGCGGCCTCGTCGGGCAATGGCAATGCGGGCCAGAAATTGCCACATGTGCCCTTCAGGCAGAGTGCGATCACGAGAGTTCTGAAACATGTGTTTGACCCAGCGAGCACTCGACCTTGCAAGACAGTCGTTATAGCTTGCGTCAATCCAAGCCTTGCCGACGTTGGGCCGAGCAAGAACACTTTGCGATTCGCGGAGATGTTGCGTGTGCAAGTCCCGGCGCCGGATGAGATTGATGACGCCCCCACAGCTATGCACTGGACCAATGCACAGTTGAGAAGCTGGATCAAGCAGAACGTGAGTACAGAACTGCACTCAAACCCCCCACAATGAAGCTGACGATATTCGCCCAAGTGTGGCTCACCTCCAATCCTGGACAGTGTTGTTGCTCCGCGCGAGACAGGAGCTCAAATGTTCAAACTCTCACGGACGGAGATCGAGTATCGATGCCAGAAGTGTCCGGGTGTGAGGTCGGAGCAAGCGAAAGCCTTTCGTTCTAAATTGTGGAAGATGTACATCAGTCATTAGATATTGAGCAGGACAGGCGGAAGAAGCGTAGAGTGGGGGAGACTTTCCAAATGTGCTATAGTATCGGAAATGTAAGACAATCATCACGTCTCAAACGCTCCGAAACACCCTAATACATGGTAACCTATTTTGGGGCACGTCACATTATGACAAGAGATGGGAACACCGGGAGCTCTGTGGACACTCCATGTCACCGAGCAGCTACAAAGAATAGATCTCAACCAATGCATGTCTGGAAATTTGTTTGCTTCAAGGGTTGACAGCTCACATTATCCAGTGGCCAAGACGAACGGTCGGGTCTCGTGTCGTACTCAGTGACGTTGTTCTATATCTGCTCAGACGTTTGCAACGCTGTGCACATCACCGTGGAGATGGATTAGCTTGGCACACAAATACTGTTCTAGACGAGCTCACTTGACATGAAATTGCGCAGTCATGTGTACAGTTTGCTGTAGCTCTTCACCGAACAAAGTTTATTACGTATCTATGGAAACCTGTGCCATCTCACAAACTCGAAACTCGTTGTATCGTGTGACTGCTCTTGGAAAATGACAGGTCCGGTCTTGTGTACCGATGAATTTACTCTTCTGAAATCGGAAACCATCACAATCACATGGGACGTTCCCGCGTGATTGTTTGTCTGTTGTCTGAACTTTGCGAGGTACCATGTACAACGAGTGCTTGAGATACTGCATCTACGACTGAATCCTCTATTCTGATTGCTCAGATACGTGTCGTTCTGAATCATGTTGCACGAGTCCTTCCAAGCTCGATTGGACAAGGTTACCATCGATCTGTGCACAGAACAAGACCCAAGCAAAGGGTTAGACGCGTCAGTATGCTGTCTGAATTAAACAAAAGGTCGTTCTGAGCAAGAGTGATGATTCCCATTCTTTACAATGATAAAGGAGTGGTGCCTCAACAAATTTGATAATACCTATTACAAGCAACATCAGAGTCATTCTTGATTCACGTCAGAGTAACTTATCACCTGAACTATATTCACCATGCACCCACTCGCGCTTCTTATCATCATTGCCTCCACGACTGCCAAAGTTAAAGCTATCTGCTACACATCTGGCGATGACTGGGGCAGTGACCAAGGCCAAGCTAATGCAGCCCTCGAGGAAGTTTGCTCACATCTTGCCAACTCGGATTACAAGCATCTCGAAGAGAGATACTTCTGCGTCAACGCTGACAGCGGCAATAAGAAGCTAGAGTTCTGGATCAAGTGTCATTCAATGGGGGGTAAATTTGTGGATGTACCTCTTTGTGTACAGAGCCTCGGTGACGAGATCAATGGCTGTTCACTGGGGGGCGCATCAATGTGGATGTCCCTCTTTTTCAGGTGCGTATTCGTCTGAAGCTCTTATCAAAGAAGAAATGAATGCGATGTGACTAACCTTTGCTGTAATATAGGGCTGATCCTAACCCGGGGAGGTGTTGAATAAGGATCAGCGGGTATCGGGTCATTGAGACGCGCAAGTTGTGGGAGATATATATCACATATCAGTCCATAGAGGTTAGCAAAGACGCAACGAGAGACTCTTCAGAGGTGACCACTTAAATACGCCATAATGCGTCCAAATTTATGCGTTTCTCAGATTTTGCTTAACTTGCTGGTCACTCTCACTGCCGACACGCGTTCGGGTCTCATTTCCAACTTAGACTCAGCCACATTGAGATATTTCCGCTGATATGTGTGCAACACAACAAATCAGGTCACAATGCCTTCCTACCACTTTCGCCTGCCTATAAGCTCTGATTGCCCGTGACCATACCCTGGCGGCAAACAATGGTGGTCATTCCTACGTGGACCATCGTGTTTTGTCTTTACTCTGTGAGGTGTAATGTGAGTGTGAATTATCACCTAGCAAATCACAAGAGAAGTTGTTTTCATTCGTGCGGTTAGCATGCCGTGACCCGAGCGGGTATCCGTCCCGATGACTTCCACAAGGCGACGTATGCTCAGCTGGACAACCATCTGTACACTAGAATGTTGCCGGTTGGGCCGCAAAACATTAAGATGTTATTGGGCTTGCACAAAAGACGATTTGACACAGGTTAAGTATGTATTTATCTGAGCTATAAAGGAGTCACTGGTCTCTAGAGGTTTTCAATGCACAACTGAAATCGCGCGGCCTTCATTGCTATCGTTACCACATCCACACCTGAACCTATCCCACTATGCATCTGCTAGCACTATTCTCTTTCATTGCCACCACAATTGTTGCCGTTCCCCATAACTGCTATCCTCGTGGCGAGTGGTGGAGTCCTGACTATGGTCATGCACTAGATGCAGTGGAAGACGTTTGCAATACGCTGGCCGATGAATTTGAGCCGAATGAGACCAAATACAGGTGCATAAATTCAAACAAAGGCCACTTGAAATTCGAGTTCTGGACGCAAAACGCCAAAACTGGATATGCGAGGGTTATGGAGAAATCACTCTGTGTCCATTGGCTTCAGTTAATCGTCAGCGGTTGTTGGTTAGGTGGTACGGTAACCCGGGACGGCTGGTATTATAGGTGTGTGCTCATCCATAATTCCTATTGGAGGAGAGTCTCAGGTAGTTTGACTGACCTTATCTATGTTTAGGGCCGATCCTAATCATGGAAGATGTGGAAGCCTCGATTCGGTGGCAAGGACCACTATTTGATAGAATTGAGATCGAATCACATGGTAGGGTCGTCTCCTGAATTGCTATTGGTATGAATATGTTTGCTGATGACTTTGTTTTAGCAGCACGTAAGAGCACGAGTGATACTCTTGTGTAGTTGTCTGGCCTTCTGTGTACTTGGCGACGATCAGTATATAACAATCATCCAGCACTCCTCGTTTGCAAACCGGGTTTTCATCTTGCAAGATGATAGACGCCGATACGTGCCATAGCACGAACCAGTGTTCGTCTAAATCACGTCGCACAAATTGACATAAATGATCACGCAAGAAAGTGTCCGATTGTGAGCACTAAATCACCGCTGAACTTGTGCAACTGGTCTCAGAAGCAATCCGAGCAATGGAAATCACTCATCCTTCATAGCCATAAAAGATCAGCTATTCTCTACAGCATCAGAGCCGCACGAATCGCACTACATTGAGGGTTGTTGCGAAATAATTTTACATTCAAATCTATTCCGGTTATGCATCTATCTACAATCGTGTTAGTCTTTGCCCGCAGCAGTCACTGACGTTGAAGCCAACAGCCACTCTCATGGGGGGTAGCGTGATGCATCAATGTGAAAGCCTCTTGGATCGCCACCTTCCCCGCTTGGCCCCTGAAAGTACCATCCGCGGTCCTGGCGGACTAGGTGGAACATAAATTCCAGTAGCTCTAGATTGGAGCAAACAACATCTGTGTCAACTATCAGCTGAAAAATACTGGTCAGCGACGTAGTTGCCCAGTTGCAGTCAGGATGCCTGCATGTATCTCCTGCACCATAGCCTGGGATGTTTAAGCATGATGACGGTGGAGGCAAGATTTTTTTCAAGATGGTCGCTAGCGGTATTCAGTGAGCGAAGTACAGTCCTCGAGACATCGATGCAGTGCATGTGCCAGCGCGGTAAATACTTCTCGTGCATTATACCTAATGTTTAACGTTATGTAATATCCGTACTCATCTCCAACAAACGAAATGCCCGAAACACCTGAACCGATCAAATGTCCCAGACAAGAAGCTCCATGTAAGAATGTAAAGCCGGATCCCCGAACGCCTCTTGTCCATCTACCCGAAAGCCGCGCAGTGTGCACCAATACAATATATATCCACGTATCACCAAATCACCAAAAACGCCAAGAATTAACAAAACCCCAAGAACGAGCGACTGGTAGTACGAAATACGCGGCTGTAACATGAGTATGCGCTGGCAGGCCTGTTACTAGGATGTGATCGGTGAGCGCCCTGAACTCCGAGAGACAACCCAGACGCGGAGGAGAAGATGAAGCGAGTGTGACGTGAAAAGATAAGAGACGATTCGAGACCAGGTAGGGAAATTTTGATGGAGAATGTGCGGCAGTGTAACACGTGTGTTGTCGTGGAGAGCGGGCATCGAATGGCAACACGCAGGCTATTATCGTTGTGCATGCGCAGTGTGCATGCCACGACATCGGATGTTGCGGCATGCGAACTAGCAAGTGGATTCTGTACGCCCTGAATCCGAGTCGTTGAGGAGTTACCCGTGGTTCGTGCTATGGTGTTGAAGGAGACCACAATAGCAACAGACACCGTTGATTTAGGATGCCCACATTTTAGTGTGTTTAGTAGAAGACGCGAACGACGTCGTCATTGCTTTCTTCCTCTTCATCAGCAAGCATGTACAGCTCTTCGATCTTTTTCCCCAAGCCGTTTCTGTCCTCGAAGCCTTCCCCTAGCCTCGTCACACAGCTGAAAGCCACGTTCCACCCATTCACACCCGCGGCGTAGAAGGCTTCGGAGGTGGCCGCTTCCCGGCTGCCGCATCGGATAATCTTGTATATCTGCTTTCCGTTGAAATGGGAGCCGTGTGCGAATGAATCACTAGCCTGATACGTAGTCAAGATGAGGTTGTAGACGAGAGACGTCGCATCCAACGCCTCTGACTTCTCTTCGCTGCATTGATGACATGTACCAGCGAATCCGCCTTCGAATACGTGGCCGGCCATGCACTCGAATATATCGTCATCTGTTGGTGTAGTCAATGCTCGAGAAGCTAGCAGCTTTGGTATTTCGAGGCTGACGGGCCTAGCGTCGGCCAATGGTTGTAGCTCAGGTAGGTTGTAACCGAAACCTTCAAGAGACTTCATCTGCTTGAACAATGACCGAGATGGCTTCTCGTACCAGAGCTCAGTACCTCCGTATATCAAGAGCCACTTGAATTCTTCTAAGTCGGCAGCCTGTGGAGAATGCTGGGTGACGAAAACGTTGCGCTTGAAAGGCTCAATGCGGACAATGCGGGTTGTCTCTAGAAGTGATTCGCCAGAGTAGTTGACAGGTATCAAACTTGCAGGGCTGGAGACTCGCTCTTCTGGTTGGAATGGTGCATCTGAATGTGGAGGTAGAAGAGATGGAGGAGGTGGTGGAGGTGGAGGCGGCGGCGGTGGCGGTGGCGGGGGAGGCTATTCCTGGGATCAGTACCTCGAAGAAAATCAGTCAAGATTACGTACAGGAGGAGGAGGAGGTGGTGGTGGTGGTGGTGGTGGTGGTGGTGGCGGGGATGCCATAAATGTTTGCGGATATGAAAACCCGGCCACTCTCGGAGCTGGTGGAGGCTATCTATGTTAGTAGTGCATGGTAAGTAGGAGTAGCTGATTTATGTGACATACAGGTGGCGGAGGTGGTGGCTACAGAGCTTCGTCAGTAACATTTCTGCATTGTAGCACGACTTCAGAACTTACGGGAGGTGAGAAACCGGGAGTATCATACTGTTCTTTGTGACCTACTGGCATCATTCGATGCGGAAGTTCGAAGAATGGAGTTGCGGGCATGATGGGTAAGTTTCTTGGATGAAGAGGCTCTGGAGCCACAGGGCTGGATCGCTTCACTCTTGTAGTTCCTGGCTCTGGAACATAGTTGATATGATGCCCGCCATTCATTACAAGTCTTGTGTGGAAGTGTTCTTGATGATGTGTCAAGTCTACATTTCTCTCTTGCGAATCACAATTTCCACACATCCGAGGCCCTTGAATGATTGCTCCTGATGTTCGTGGTGAACTTGGTTGCAAAGCGAGGTCTTGCATGGTCGGAGACCGGCTGACAGATGACGGCGGCGGATGTGTCGGATAGTCTTTCTCGAGATTCATGGATAACGTGTCTTCAATGACGACGAAATCGTCTGCTTCCATCCTGCGGTGCTGCACGAGGTATACAGATCAAGACGTAATGAACACGTTTGTTTGAGCAGGATTCAGGAAGTTTGTTCGGTAGGAGAAGGACAAAGAATAAAATTTAAGGAAAACGTAAGCGATCGAAATGCTGCGTAAGCTTCCGACCGGATTGGAACAAACTTAGCGAGGACGTGTCCCATCGGCATGGGTTATGTCTCCCGAAGGCTACGTATATTGAGACAATTGTGAAGTGAAGCAAGAGAACAGATCATAATACCGCCGAGCTGGGACGGTAATTGTCCGCAGCTAGTCAGTAGTAGGGATCTCTACACGGTACACCAGGTGGGGAAACTTCCCCAACAATCTAGGTATTGGTCGAGCGGACACTGTTTCCGGCGCAGTACAGCGGTACAAGAGTAGCTATACTTACACAGAAGCAGTTGCCATACCCTCAAGTCCGATTGTTTTATTGCTCACGTTCGAGGATGATGTGTTCTGAATCAATCATTGGCGGTGTTCTCGTTCACCAGGACGCCGCATGATGCCGTGTAGCGTACGATATCTACGAGGCTGAGACCATTGCGTTGAAGGCTAACCTCAAGCCTCATTTTGACAATACATCGCGTGAGTGTGGGAGTAGCAGGGAATCCAATTGGCGATGAGGAGGAGGAGCCACGCCGCATTTGCAAATGTCGTGTTGATCCTGCCTCGTATATGGCAGTAGCCTATCCGGCACTACTCTCTTGGTTCAGATATGTAGATCGACAAGGAATGGAAAGTGAAGCGGAACTACTCGAGGCCAAGAACCTTCAGCACCCTGTAACAAGGAAGGACTCTGTATGCCGTACGTTACATGAAGACAGGCTCTACAGTTTTTGGACGTCAGAGCCGTACATTCTGCCTCAGAGTTGAGGCGAGGCAAAAGAGGCCGAGCCACATACGCAGTGTATACGCGGGACAGTTGACTGTTCCCATTTGCCAGACGCAGATCTGTGCAATATAACCTCTCGGTAGCCAATGCTTTGTATGCGACCTTGTCGAGGCTTGCATTATATGACGGGAAGATGCTTTGATTTCATGTCGAAAGCTGGTCTTGGAAGTTATGACGGGGAGCCGGATTCGGGACGGCAGGGAGCGGTGAGCATCCCGCATATTTTCCCTCAATTCCTCCAGTATGTGTAGCCCAGTACAAGTAATCTAATATTTCGTAGGAAAGTAGATCTGCTCCAGATACAAAATTTTGTGTAGTCGAATCCAGCAATTTAACCCAGGTGCCCATCATGATTTAGTCCAGACTCCAGTTTGTCTCCACGATTAGATTCTGTCTATCCGTGCGGGACGAGCGCTCAGCGAATACGGTCCCGGTTCTTCTTCCAGTACCAGGATAAACTTTCCCTGGCGCTATGCAGCTTGACTTTTGTGTCACACCGCAAGAATGCCCGCATGCAAGTGCCATAACTCATATGTCGGCTTGATAATGTGCTTTGACCACGGCGAGGTAGTGCTTAGTCGCTGACAAGGCGGATGTAAGTAAAAAAGCACAGTTTGGGCAGGCTTACAGTATGTTGATCTCCCGTGGCTCAACTAGATGAGGCTGATCGAATATGCAGGTACAAGCCCTGCCAGGGGCAGGCGAACTCTCGCCGGAAGCGGATCAACTGGTTGCCGTCCTTCCATTGTTTATATCGCAAGACGCAGCTGCCACGAAAGTGTCTGACGTGTTTGGAGGAGCCGCGAAATCACCTATCGATGGCATGGCTTGTGAGATGACAAGCAACATTGGGGCTGATTAGCCATCGCTGACTGTAGATGCAATACGCGCGATGACAGGCTGATCAAGTCGTATAGAGAGAGCGATATCTTAGAGCCGTCAGTGTCTCGAAGGCAATGGAGGAAGAAAAATAGCGCCAAAGAAGAAGAGGCGGGAGCATGTGCTTTTGTATTCAGCGAAGGAGGCGGCAGGGATAACGGCGGAAATACAGCGATCATGAGACCTTAGCTTGGTACTAGCAAGGACGACGTCCTTTGGTGTCAGGCATTCGAGGTCGAATAGTGAATAGTGAGGCAACGAGAGTGAAAGGATCAACCCGAACTTAGACCGACATGGTCCGCATTCAGGACGGGATGGACGAGGATATGGCTAGCATTGGACTCAACGATTAAGAGAATGAGCTTTCAAGAGAGAATGATTGTAGTTTAACTATACAAATGCAACACTTCCTCACACAATATGGATATCACATGGCGGCGGACCATTCCTTCAGCGGCACCTTCAAAAGGGGTTTAGCGTCGCCAAGCAACAGGCGCGCAAGCACGGTCGTCATCACCGAAGCTCAGGAAGAGCCTACGACTGGCCTACCAAACATAACCTCACCAAATCACACGCAGCGAAGCTCTGGAACCCTCACATACCTCTGAAAAGCCCGCCGATATACTCCCGATCGCAACAACGCCCCCAGATCCCCTCACAACCACAACGACGCGATGGCGAACGGGTCCGTATGCCCAACACACGCGCATATGAGAACGCAACTAACAAGAGCAGATGGGCACCCTTCATTGGGCTCGTAGTGGTCGTCGCATTCTGCGCCGCAGCATGGTTCCTCTCGCCAAAGGGTGAAAACCAGACGTACGTTCCCCCAGGCCTACCTTTCACTACATCTTCCAACGCCTACGCGCTTGCGCCATCATACCATCTTCAACCTATCGCTCTTTGTCTGACGTTCTTGATTCTACGATTGAAATCAGGAGCATATCGCCAATCAATCTCATCACGTTCACGATATTCGCGGCATACACAACATCGGAAACAAATGCTAACAAGTCCACAGTGTCTGGCGCTCTACCATCGTCCTCTCGGCTGCCGCCATGTACATCATGTGGGCGATCACGTTCCTCGCACAACTACACCCGCTCATTACACCGCAACGAAATGGCCTGCGAGCGGAGCTGAACCAAGGGCGGTAATCGTGAGGGAGCTTGGAGGACAACATTGAGAAATCCAGGAGGCTACGCAGGAGAGAGTAGGCTTGTCTATCGGCCATCTTCGGGTCCTATGTAGGAGGAAGCCAAGCAGTTTGACATGATTGAGCGCATCACATACTTCATCGGCGTTTCGGAACCATGGCATCTTGTACAAACAATTCAATCCAATTCAAATGGGGTATCACAATCACAATCACATAACCATGCCTTACACCACACCTACACCCAACCCCCAATCCACTCGTCCACCTCCCTTCCCAAATTAAACCCCTCCCACCCCGTCCCCAACCCCACCGCCTTGAGCATGCCCCAGCTCACTACGCCTCTCACCGCCGCCCCCACACCCACCAACACCCCGGCCCTCACATACCCGCAATCCATCAGGATTTCCAGCGCCGCTATATTATTCACAATAACCGCCCAACTCACCGCCGTCGCGCTGCTGCGCAAGTCGTATTCCCAGATAATCAGCAATATCGGGAACAGCTTCGTGCAGCTGGACACGAGCAGCGCGGTGGAGAGCGGGGTTGGATGGGGGTAATGCGGAAGTACTACTCGGAGGGGCGAGGGAGGGAGGGAACATAGCAGGCGAATGGGGATGTGGAATGCAAGTGTTGACAGCGTGACGAGCGCGAGGAAGAACAGGTATTGCAGCATGAGTGGTTGGGATGCGAGGAGAGAGGCGTTTTGGCTGATTTTCTCGATGCGCGCCCATGTGAGGTAGACGTCGAAGAGGAGCAGGAGCACGCCGAGGCGGAGGATCGAGCGGTCGAATTTCTCGTCGGAGGTGCCGAGGCGGTTGAATAGTAAATGTCGGTATACCTGCGTGCGTGGCGTGTTAGATACATTGGTGGGGGGGAGGGGAGGGTAAATGTACTTCAGCTTTTATCAGCACGAGGTCAATGAAGAGAACGATAAAGTCATGCTCGACATATTTGTCGGCAAAGTTCTTGCACGAGGGGCATTGGGTGAGCCGCACGCCTTTGCCCAGGGCGCGGTCGTCGGCTTTGGAGTAGGTGGTGTAGAGGACGGGGATGGGGTGGCGGCAATGGATGCATATTGGCATTGTGATTATTACATGGTCGTCGTCTCGACTTCGTGCGAGAATGGGGGCGTGGGGCGGCCAGTGTCGTGGTGTAGCTGAGACGTGTGATGCAATGTTTGGGGAAGCTGGAGAGCTTCAGCGGGGATAAGTTTAGCGTCGGGTTTTACACTTCAGACCTAAAGTCAATGATATGGCACAATCGAACATGCATTACTATGCTTCGCATTCAAATAACTCTCATCCATGCTTCCCTCGCACACCAATAGAAATCCTACAAGTGTTGTAACACATCGATGCTTTTGACGCCAAGACCCAATCTGATGCCCTAAACAACGCCCAAGAGGTGGAAAGAATGGTGTAGAGCCCCTCAAAACCCTTGTATATAGCACAACGACTTCGGCTCTCCCTTTCCTTAACGAGCGGCCTCATCGACCGCCGCAGCTACATCCCTCGCTCGCTGTACCCATACTTGATCATCGACTTCGCGGCCCAGGACGTCGCTGCCCAAGACAACTCGCAACAGGTCTGCGAGACCAATTGCGTTCTCGGGGCCTCCGAAAAGCGCGCCTGCACGTCTACTTGTGATAGCCCATTGCTCTATTAGGTAGATGATCCACTTTACCAACAGCTTGCGGTTACGGCCTGTGAATGGGTGTTCTTGAGCATACCATAACGCCTCAAGAGTAGCAACAAGATACTCAAAGGGTGATTTAAGTCTCAGGAAGACATCGATTGGCCATGTGAGGTTGGCATTTGGTGCAAGATCCTGCGATGCACCACCGTTACGCGGGTTGGTGTCATGAGTGTAAAACTCGAGATCGTACTGCAGCACAAGCTGAAGAACAATGTTGACAGGGAAGACGTTCTCGTTCTGGTTGGTGCGGAGACCGATCTCTTCGACCTTCATAGCCACAGCTTCCCACGGTGCGGCCTGCTGGTCGTGAACTGCATACTTGTGCACCTGTTCAATGAGGTTGGACCATGTGTGGCGGATGTCTGGGATATTGCGGTGGTCGGCAACGTGATAGATTAGCAGACAGATGTCGTAGTAGGCTGCTTGATCCGCGTAGTTGTGGTAGAGCTAGGGAAGTCAGTATGATCGTGTATTCAAGGGCTACAGCATGAACTTACCTCATCTAATGGTTGAATTGACCCATCCAGGAGCGAAACCACTTGGGACCTCCGCTCGCCATCGAGACGATTGTCAGCTTTGATTTTCTGCAGGACATCATCCTGGATATTTGCAATGTCCAAATGGTCGCTGATGTTGCGCAAGAGCTCTTGTCTTGACTGCCTGTTGCGAACACCAGTTTCCGTGAATCCGGTCATGCGCGTGGAAGCATTTGCTTTGGCGCGTGAAAGGTACTCTATCCGCTTCTCCAGGGTCAATGGCAAGTTGCTCTTAGCGAGCTGGTATTGTGTCTCGGCAGCACTGAGGAAGTCGTTGTAGTGCGCAAAGTAGCGCCACAAAAGATCGGCGTGCGCAAGATCCTTCTCCGCACTTTGACGCAGGTAATCGACGACAAAAGGCGAGTTGATCTCCAGGAGCCGCTCCGCCCATCCCTTGGACATGTACCAATCGTAGAGGTAGTTTTGAAACACCTCGTCGTCTGAGTTGTTGATCTGCTCGTATGCCTCGTGTTTGCGTCGCGTTATCTGCGACACCACGCCGTCTGGTGTGGGACCTTGTGAATTATATGCTTGATCTACAGATTCGATGACTCTACACACCAGAGTGTAGCATGAAGCACGGCGGTCGTAGAAGTCTCTTCGGACGTCGTTGGGATCTGTCGTAGGGTCATTCTTCTCTCTGACCCAAGAAAGGGCCTTGTTCCCGCGATCGAGGTCTGCGGCAACTCTTAAAGCCAGTCGGATAGCGCCTGAAGTCATGTTAGCACAGAGTACTTTGAAAGGAGATGTCGAACTGACCAGCATAGAATTCGAGCTCAATGTACTTGTCCACGGTTGAGTTGAGGTTCTCGTAGCTCAAGCTCTTCGCTACTTGCTCGAACAGCCTCAGACTGTCATTGAGTAAGATACGTCCTCGCTCTGCATTGGCACCCATATCGGCAGCCTTCTTCAGGTTTTCTTGGGCCTTAAAGATGACCACGTCATCAGAGCTGCAGAAGCTGCCACACTTCCGCCGCAGAGCTTCCGCAACCGTCTCGACATTCGATCCTTTGGTAATGTTGCGGTTCACAATGGCCTTGACAAGCTCCCGTGCAATCTCCTTGCCTTCGTGCGCGGAGAAGAGGCCTTGGAAGGTTAAACGGCGCACCTTCTCTTGCATCTGAGGATCCGGGAGTAACGCAAGAATATCTTCGAGCCTCTCTTCGAAGAGCACCAAGACAAATGAAATGCCCTCGACAATGTTATTGACCATGGCCAACAGACTAGTCAAAGCTCTGTTCTCGCCCTGGAGTTCAACCTCCTCTTGTCGTGATGTTGCCCGTCCAAGAGCTTCTGGCCCAGCGAGGCCTTCGATCGAAGACTTGTTTGAGTCGAGGAATTCTTGGAGTTGCGCAAGAGATCGTTGGATGTCCTGGAGTTTCGGGACCGCCTGTGCTGATGCAAGAACCGGTCCAGTCGGCGTTACGACTTGTGTGATGATGGGCGAGGTCCAGATGGAGCGGATCAGGCGAGCGACGTACATGGCAATACCATCATGTCTTGGTGAGGCCCGCACATTTTCCACACTCAGACCTTCCACAGTTGCGCTCTCGGTCAAGTGCGCCTTTCCTCCAAATTCGATGAACACTCTGCGAGCCATATCGAGCACTTCGGGTTCTGTAACCTTTGCGATTCGAGAGTCGGGTCCGACGTCCGATCCTTGACCGCATGCTACAGCGAGAGCTGTTGCAGCAGTCTCAGCCAAACCATACTGCTTAGCGAGCTTGCGAATATCACCTTCGGTACCCTCCTGTCCTCCACCCTGCTTGATGATCGCAGCGAAGATGTCGACGAGTCTTTTCCGGCGCACAGTCTCGATTCCGCTGGACGTTATGATTGCGTACTCGGAGGAGGGCTGATCGAATTGGGTGGAGAGCTCATTTCCAAAGCCTAGGGGTTCGCTTCTTGCGGAGAATGGTGGTGTGACTTGGCCAATATCCTGCACCTTGCCAACAAGTTCGAGAGCTATGGCCGTCTCGGTGTACCGTGGAGGTTCGGAGCTTTCCCGTTGTCCTAGGAGGCCGGAATGTGGGGCGGACATAAAGAGCGACTGGTTGACACTGCCACTCTTTGCGACAAAAGCAAAGAACGATCCTGGTGCATATCTGTTTCCAAGTGTGGTCAGTTCGAGAAACTTGGAGTCAAATCCGACCGGAGCGCCACCTTGATACGGTTGTGCCGGTGCGCCATTGACCTGTTGCGATGATTGCGCGTCGTTGGGTGGGAAGCGAATATGCTTGAGCTGCATGTTACTTGGTGCGCTGGAACTGTCCGAGTTCCAGGTACCCGAGGTGGTGCTGAAATACAATCTGCAGCCTGTTGATGTTGTTGCCATCAAAGACATGAAGTCCGCTTCCGGACTTGTGATGGGACTAAGACTGACAATGACCATGTTGGCGAGTACGTTCGGCTGTCGTACGAGGTGCATGCACATGGTTTGTATGCTGACCAGTGTCCTGGTAATGACACATTCTAAAGACGAAGGCGCTCTCATGTGGTACACCTTGATCGTGCCAGTTGTAGATAGTGTGTACAGGAGACTCCGGGTATCGTCAATGACCATGGACTGCGTACCCACTTGGGTGGACTTGCCATAAAATGGCAGCGCAGGCAGGCCAACCGTCGGTGAAACGTGGTTCGTCTTGCTGCATTTGCTGGAGAACCACCTGTCTTCTTGCTGGTAGTTCAGCTCGTATACGTCCTCTGTGCCGCCGTCGCCGAAGAATATGCGCCCCGTTCGTGCCGAACCCTCAATAGTGGTGACATTTATCCTCCTCACAGAGGTTGAAAGGCCTGTCCGGTACAGGGTGACGCTATGAACTCCTTCTGGGCCTCGTTGGCACTCGACAGCGATCAGGAAGACATCGGTAACGGTTGCGACGACGAGCAGGTATTCAATCGTAGCCACAAAGACACCGGCGCGTGGCTTGACCAGCTTGACGCACGTGATGTTGCTCGGTTGCTCTTCGAAGCCGACAAGTTCGGGGTTAGGGTGCGTGTAGTCCCAGAGGTAAACCTGGTTGTCGACCACGACCCAGGCGTGGTTTATCTCTGCGAACAATCCCATGCTCATGGACATTTGCGTGTGGTCGACCTGCTCAAAGACGGCATCGGGGAGTCGGTAGGATCGTAGTTTCTGGAATGGCGCCCAGGCTGTGGAGCTTGAGAGCTCGTACTCGCCAGAAATGCCCTCTGTGGCCTTCATTAGCACCTCAACGCCAGCTTTGAAGCCATGTATCGCGTTACTTACGTCCGATGTATCCTTCTAGAGACGGGTACCGATTGTCTCTGTCCAGCATGATGTTTATCGTACGCGCCGCGCGCTCGATCGGGCTCTCTACTGGCGGCGCAGGCAACGCTTGTTGTTGTTGTTGTTGTTGTTGTTGCTGCTGCGGCGGCTGCGACTGTGATTGCGACATGGAGGATTGGCGTTGCAGGTTTGGCCGGTTGGGCGCAGGAGTATTAATGAACGCGCCGGGTCCAGGGCGCTGGGGCGTCGCGGGGGGCATGTTGTAGGCCATTGTGGTTGGAGGTCGGGGGTATTGGTGGGAGAGCCTTGGTGAAGGAGAAGGCTTAGGGAATTGGGTTTTCGCGTTGGCGAGCAGTCATCGACATTAAGCTGGGTGGAATCAACGTAATGGCGCGACGGCAATGGAAGCTCGCAGAACCCGTAACAAAAAGAAAGTCGTCCGTTGCAGCTGCAGCAATCGTGGTGAGCTTGTCGGTGGTTAGCTGGTCGCGCGCCAAACAAGACAAAAGACGAGCTCGGACAGGGATTATCTGATTAGCGCGTTTAGACTTCCACGGGTGCCCCAAGCTTCAGATTTTGGGAGCTGCGAATGTGCTCGCATAGAATCAACGCAACTTTGATAGCAGAAGACATAAACCTGCGTAGACAGCCAGGGCGAATTGCAGGGCAATACTATTCACTTCCGAAATAAACAAGTAAACACCACTTCGGTCGACCGCACTGGAAGTACGGTTCAATCGACAATTCCCACTTCGAAATATCACGAGCTTCACTTCACCCGCTATGTCGCTCTTCCGCCCAATGCTTCTCAGGACCACACGCCTCGCAGCTGCCCCTCGTCCAATATGCCTCCGCTTCTCCTCCACATCAACCGAGCCCATTGTCCTACCTCGCCTGCAGTCCGACCTCAAAACCGCGCTCCGCTCAAAAGACAAAACCACGCTCTCCGTCATCCGCTCGCTCCAAGCCGAAATTATAAACGCTTCCAAGACCACCAAACCCATCACAACCGACGGTGCACTCTACAGCCTCATCCAGAAGCAAATAAAAGGCATCAACACCGCCATTGCAGAATTTGAGACTGCGAAACGAGATGATTTGGTGCAGAAGGAGAAGGAGCAGTTGGCGGTGCTGAACAAGTACGCGGGCGAGATTCCGAGGGTGGAGGAGAGCGAGCTTGACGGGCTGATTGCGGCTGCGGTGGAGAAGTTGGAGGAGGGCAAGAGGTCGTTTGGAAGTGTGATGGGGAGGGTAATGGGTGGACTCAAGGGCCGGCCAGCGGATATGGAGTATCTGAATAGGAAGATTGAGGAGGTGATTGGGAAGAAATGAGTAAACGACGAGAATGTATTCTATGGATGTACGAATGTACGAGACACAGCTGTGCGAGTAATGTCAAAACTCTACCTTCTTCAGATTCGGGATGGCAAACACCAGAATCCTAGAGAACGGTCACCGCCATTCTTACGTCTAAATGGAGAGGCTGGTATTAACCCTCGCGCATATCGTAGCGTGAACCCATACACAGAGGTCCCCTTGTGTGTTCGTCCCTAGCTCAGATGGTCAATCTCACAAAGTTCGGTTCACGGCGCCGAACACACAGGCACCAAAGCCAATGTCGAGGTTGGGCGGATAGTTCTGCCGAACGCTGCGCTACGTTCGCGGGTCCCGTCTATGCTGCCCGACGGGCGAGACCAGTCACCAGTTCGAAGCACAGCGGCGCCGACCGAGAGTTGGTGCTGCATGAGGCTCAGACAGTGTGCACGGTCCATATCCCATGATGTCATCCTTGAACCATCGCAAGCATCATCCTTTCTTTTTGCTGCTTCGTGACAGGAATGCAGGGCAGCATGACCGATGAATTGGGCGCAGAGGAACTATTGGGAATCATACGATGCATCGCGCACATACCCAACCTGCGATTTCGATGCCGCTCTGCGTGAAGTCGGGCGATGAATGCGCCCAACTGGCTGTGCCCAAATGGCTACGCTTAGTCTATACAGATTCCAGACCTGCAGTGCGCGCAAGCTCGCAGAGAGCCATGCGAAACCAGGGGGTGTCGTCGACCACTCAACGTCGTGGCTGGCGGCATGGTGGTTACAAGAAAAGCAGTCTTAGCGCACGATGACGCAGCCACGATCTTGCTTGAAGCTGGCGTACAAGTTGGCGGCTTCGGCGCTGCAACTGTCCGCAGGCCTTGGACCTTGTTATACCTTGCTAACTTTCTGCCTGCCTGATTGTTATATTATCTCCACAAGCGTCTGCTCTTCGACAAAGTAGCGCGCGCATTCGTTTCGGTTTGTGAATCTGTCCTTTCGACTTCCGGCGCAACCCCGCGAATCCAACCTGCCATTACCAAGTGACAGCCAGCCCCTCACTTCGCAGCCATGTACGGCCGTTCTTCCGCAGGAACTCTGGATCGCTATGACGACCCGCCTGCACCGCCCCGCAGTGGTGCTGGTGGAGGCGAGCGCTGGGACCGCGCGAGGTTTGAGAGCATGAGGCGTGGTCCTCCAGGAGGTGGTGACAGCGGAAGCAGCCGCGGTGGTCGTGATGGAGGCGGCCGAGACGACTACGACCATTTCCGCTTCCAGGAGCACGACAAAGCCCCTGGGTACCACCGCGATGTTGACATCCATGAAGACCGCGCCCGTCGTGGACCGCGCGTCATGGAGAGGGAGCGATACCACGATGACGATCTCTTCAGCCGGCCTTCGCGACGCCAGAACGACCTCTTCCACGAGCCAACGCCGTCTGAGATAGCCAACCAGGCGCTTGCCCCTTACCGTCGCAAGTCGGTCATCGACAGAGACTTCAACATCGATATCGACATTGACAGGAGAGAATCTCGGCCACCGCCACCCAGGGCTCGACCGGCCCGACCGCAGTACATTCGTCGGCAGTCGTCTCTCGACACTTTTGACCGCCGACCGCTTCCACGATATGGCGACGTCGAGAAGTTTGAGCGTGAAGAGGTCCACGAGTATCGACTACCTCCCAACGTCCCTATTCCGCTTCCTATCCGCGAGCATTCACGCCGCAGGTCGCCTCCGCGCCGATACCAGGAGGACGATTATGAAGAGATCCGATACGATGACCGCGGCGGGCGTGGACGCGAGCGTGAAGACTACCGCGAGGTCGAAGTTCACAGAGAGAAGAGCAAGATGCGCAGGAGCAAGAGCGTAGCCAAGTCTACTCGCAGCTCTTCGATTTCCAGCTTCGAGGAGATTCAGCCCTCAAGAGCCACCTTTGGCAAGAAGGGCAAGACCCGCATGCCGAAGCGATTGGTAAAGAAACAAGCCGTTATTGAGCTCGGTTATCCATTCGAAGAAGAGGTGAGCATCCTCGAGATGTAATTTCGAGACATTGCTAACAAATCTAGGACGACTTCATCGTCATCACACGAGCCCTCGAAAAGGAGCACATTGACGAGGTCATCAAAATCAGCGAGAACTACAAAGAAGGTGCGAATTCTGCTGCTCCCACTGTAGCACTCTCTAACACCCCACCAGCAGAGAAAACCACCTACGTGTACGAGGAGAAGGTCGAGGCTCTTCCTCCGCCACCACCCCCAGAGTCTGTTGCTCCACCTCCACCCCCTTCTGTTGTCCACGCTCCTCCTCCGCCCCCAGCATCAGTCTACGCACCGCCGCCACCAGCATCAGTCTACGCCCCGTCTGCACCACCAGCCTCCGTCTACGCCCCATCTGAGCACCACCACCACGACACCCAGCACGAGGAATACGTGCAGATCGAGCGCTCCAACCACATCCACGGCCCGGCCACATCATTCCTCCCCGAAGGCCGCATGCTGGTGCGCCGCGACGACCAGTACCGCAGCGAGCGCGACATCAAGGAGGAGATCCGCCAGCTCGAGGACGAGCGCCGCATGCTCAAGTACGAGCGCGAAACCGACTATGAGATTATCGAGCGCAGGGATCCGAAGCGCGAGGTCATTCGTGTGGATAAGGATAGGAAGGGTAGGTTGGCCCTTGTTCGCTCGGCCCGTTGAAGATCTTTTGTTGATGACGGATAGGACGGAGGGATCGCCCGAATCCGAAGTTGGTGGCGGCCATGATGTCGACGCTGACCTGAGTGGTGGGACATCACTGGCTGGGTGTGAGGGGGATTTACTTGGAGTTAGGGATCGCTGTTTGGGGGGATGTGTTCATCACGATTTACGGCTGGACCTTTTTTATTTCACTTTCGATCTCAATGGTCGGATCGATACTTTTCTTGGGAATTGGGGCGCATATATACAGGGTTTATTTTGGTAGTTTACATGCCATGTTTTACGAGTCCTCATCATCTTCAAAAGCAACTGCATCTCTCTTCGTCGCGCAAGCATTACTTCCTCCACCCGTTCAGCCCTTTCTACCATTTACACACTTGTCTGAGCATCTACAACTCCTTCTTGGAAACCGGCGTCAACCCCTTCTCCCTCGCAATCCACCCATCCAACCTCGCATAACAATCCACCGTCATGAAAACCCCTATCACACAGTTAGCCTCAACATTTCCCTTCCACCATATCCCACCAAAATACGTACCTAATCCCAAATATCCCCCATACATGCCCCCCAACCCGCCCGCACCCCTCTGCGCCGCACTCAACTCCTCCCAACTCAACATCTCGGCCAGACACACGAGCGTCGAGAGCGTGGTTTCCAGTCCAAACACGAGCAGGGCGAGGGGAACGCGGGGGTCGGAGCGGAGTAAGGCGGGTATGGCCCAGAGGGAGAGCGGGAGGTGGAAGAGGAGTTCGAGGGCGAGGAAGGGGGGAAAGAAGGCGCTGGGAGGGGTTAGTATGGTTCGAAGAGGGAAGGTATGGGAGTGTAATTTGTTTCAGAGATATGTGACGGCGGAATAGAGCGGATAGGGTGGTGAACACGGGGCGTTGTGATGAGCGCGTGATAACAAAGAACTTACGGTGGGTTGTAGAAGAAGCGGTCGCCGTAGGTTGCGACGTACCATTCGCGCAGCGAGGTCATCCAGAGAGGCTTGATTTGGGCTGGATAGTAGCCTGAGAGGTCGAAGCCTGGGGGTGGGTTAGTTGTAGAAGGGGTGGTGGGACTTGTTTTATTTCGTTTCTTTTGAGGCGAAAGAAAACTGTTGGAGAATGGAAACTGGAGGTTTGACTGTCGCGCAGAAGATGGGGAGATGGTGAGATGCAATTGCGCCCTTTACGAAGTATAATTGCTAGAATCTGAAAACCGAGCAGCTCGATATTTGTTTTCCCGTCACAAATAAAAAGATCTAAATATCGAGGAAACTGATCCTCTTTGGGAATGTTTATCTTGATCTCGAGGGGAATAGAAAAAGGCATTATGGTGTGTTGTAGAGCATAGTGCAAATAGAGAACATGAGACTCTTGAGCGTTGAAGTCCGAGACAGAAAAAACTCACCAAGCATCACGGGGATGTGAATTATGAAGAAGACCAAGTACACAAGGTCTCGCTTCCGCTGGAAAATCGACTTTGCCATTCTTACTGTCTTCTCTGAGTGCTAGGTTTTGTCGACTACTGCAGATGCGAATGTGGTGCTGGTGTTTGGCCTCCACAGGAGGTCGGATGCCAACGGGTACGGCGCGTCGGCAACATCCACGTGGGTCGTGCGTGGGGGCGCCTCGAAGCTCCTCCCCAACGTCTGTTTCTCCGCTACCCCATCTCCACAGCCCAAAAGAGCATTGTGTTTCCAGAACATGCACTTCGGACAATAGCATCTGCCATGATACCTTTTCCTTCACTGACATGTGGAACCGGCGCCACAATGCCACATCCAAGACGTGTTTACGCGTCCGGACTGTGCTGAAATCGAGACTGAACGCGAATGTTATGAGATATCAGCCGATCTGTCCACCATTCCCCAGTCAAATCGACATCTTCAGGCAAACAAACGAATGCAACAGATGTGACACGCACTTCAGGCTGAATACTTCCATGGCAAAAGCTTAGCGTCGGCGGCCTTGAGGTGGACACCAGCATCGCTAACCCGCAAACAAGCCACTCACGTGGAGGGCGGAATGTCCGAGTCGGCCTTTCATCCAATAAGGGCCGAGCGTATAGCATCTTGGCGAAATCCGCGGACATGAAACGGGACATTTGGCTCTTAGTTTGCTTGGAACGGGACATTGTCTCCGCAACCTCGAAGCCGCCAAGCCAAATCTTATGACCGCCAATGCTTCCCCACCCATCATTGGCATCCTTCCGCCGGAACTCTGGATAATATGGGGTGTCAGACGCGTGCAGTACAAATGATGCAAGTGCCCACAAAAGGTGCTTGACTGTTCCGCTGTGCCGGGTACTTCAGCTACTTCACAACTATCTACCAAACAAACTTCGACACTGACTGATCATCATGGTTGGCGGAGGAGGAGGCTCAGCCGGCTTCGATGCTGCGCTAGAGCGACGACAAGCCCTCATGGGCGCCAGTGGCCCTGCGGCTCTGGTCAAGAACTTCAAGGTTTTCAGCATCGCCTTGTTTGCTTGCTTAGGAGGTGTCTTGTATGGATACAACCAGGGCATGTTCAGTGGCATTCTGGCTATGCCATCTTTCGGTAAACAGACCGACGGCTACATCGACAACCCGACACAGAAGGGATGGCTTACTGCTATTCTTGAACTTGGAGCCTGGTTCGGAGCACTCTTTTCCGGTTTCGTGGCCGAAGTCCTGTCACGAAAGTACGGTATCCTGTGCGCAACTGGCGTCTTCATCGTCGGTGTTGTCGTCCAAATTACAGCCATTGCTGGTGGTCACAATGAGATTCTCGCGGGCCGCTTCATCACAGGAATTGGTGTGGGCAGTCTTTCAGTCATCGTCCCTATGTACAACAGCGAGTGTGCCCCTCCGTAAGTCTCCCAATATTAGGAAGCTATTCTGAGCTAACTATCGGCAGGGAAGTTCGTGGTGCTCTCGTGGCTCTTCAGCAGCTCGCTATTACCTTTGGTATCATGATCAGTTTCTGGATCAACTACGGAACCAACTACATTGGCGGAACTACTCTCGAGACGCAGTCCAACGCAGCGTGGCTTGTGCCCATCTGCCTCCAGTTGCTCCCCGCTTTCATCCTCCTCATTGGCATGATTTGGATGCCGTTCTCGCCCCGTTGGCTGATGCACCATGGCCGTGAAGAAGAGGCTCGTTCCAACCTGGCCAGTCTGCGCAACCTTCCTGCGGACCATGAGCTTATTGAGCTTGAATTCCTCGAGATCAAGGCCCAGTCAATGTTTGAGAAGCGCAGTCTTGCAGAGGCATTTCCTCACCTCCAAGAGCAGACCGCATGGAACAGCTTCAAGCTTCAATTTGTCGCAATCGGTGCACTGTTCAAGACCAAGGCCATGTTCAAGCGTGTTATTGTGGCAACCGTTACTATGTTCTTCCAGCAGTGGTCTGGAATCAATGCGTAAGCACCTCAGATGTACAAATTGCGTGCGAAACTTGTGCTAATATTCTTAGGGTTCTTTACTACGCTCCCCAAATCTTCGCGCAGCTTGGCTTGACAGGCAACACCACCTCCCTTCTCGCGACCGGAGTGGTCGGTATTGTCATGTTCATCGCCACAATCCCAGCCGTGCTCTACATTGACCGCCTCGGTCGTAAACCCGTGCTCGCAGTCGGAGCTCTGGGTATGGGTTTCTGTCATCTGGTCATCGCCGTCATTCTCGCCAAGAACATTGGTCGCTTCGCCGAGGAGAAGTCCGCAGGTTGGGCAGCCGTAGTGATGGTCTGGCTCTTCGTCATCAACTTTGGATACTCCTGGGGTCCATGCGCCTGGATTCTCATCGCCGAGATCTGGCCTCTCTCAACTCGCCCATATGGAACGGCCCTTGGAGGATCGTCCAACTGGATGAACAACTTCATCATTGGTCAGATCACTCCTGATCTCCTTGAAAGGATCACGTACGGAACTTACATCCTGTTCGGTCTCATTATCAGTCTCGGTGCTGTTTTCATCTGGTTCTTCGTACCGGAGACTAAGCGTCTCACATTGGAAGAGATGGACACTATCTTTGGCTCTGAAGGCACTGCGCTCAAGGACCAGGAGAGAATGGCGGAGATCAATGCCGAAATTGGCCTTGCCCAGTTGACCGGTGCGGCGCCGCCTAGTTACCAGGACACCAAGATTGTTGGAGACGAGAAAGAGGCTGTGCAAGTCTAAGCTTGTTACTGCGCCCTCTAGCTGCGCTTTATTGCACTTGGCCATCGGTCTACGATAGATTTTAATTATACTTGACAAGCACGAGCAGAACCTTGCTCGAATTCTGAATCACGTCCCTGAACCTTTCTGCGTGTTGTCGGCCCACTTTCGCACTTCATAATCCGAATTGAACTAGTGTCCTGAACAGCAAGCGTGATACCAATGAGTCTTCTCACGATCCACAGCGTCCGGGATTGGGATCCGCCCTACACAGCGAATTCAGTCAGTCTAACCCCCGACAATTCTAGTATAGCCCAGCCACAACACTGACCTAAAGGAGAACCAATCCAACCCCGTAACGCCACCACGCTTGCAACCGCTGATCTCATAGCCAAGATGCAGTATACAGTCCTCCTTCTTCACATTCCGAGAATGTGCATGATCGATATTATGCACCCAGAATTCCATCTTCCGTAGAGGATTCTCGTATACTGCATTTACGCATGCGTATCTCGTTTCAGCCTTCGCGAACTGTCCTGACATTGTGTCACACAACGTTTCTAGAGCGACAAAGGCTTGGCCGTAGTTGGGCTCCCAGACATCGCCAGATTTATAGCAGTCGGCTTGCACGCTGATGATGGCTGGGGTGATGACGGTGAGGAAGGTATAGAGATGCATGTCTTGAACGGATGAGTGCAACGTCACAACAATGATGTGAAAGAGTGATAGTTGCTCTGGGGGGTTCTTTGCCCTTTTACGTATTGCAGTACACCTAGCGAGGGATTCTCGTCATCAATGTGTCTTTCCTGGGATGGAAAGTGATTGCTAGTGCAGTAGATGAGTAGCATGTGTCACGTCTCTGATCCAAAGAGATAGTAGGGAGAACGAAATTCGCACTCTTCGTTTGTATCTGCAATGCAGGTCAAAAGCTGAGTTCCAGAGTGTCAGAATTGATTTGCGGCCGGGCTACTGTACTACTTGGATTTGTTTGCTATCCACGGACACTCCATCAGATCACGTAGTACCGTGCTCAATGTAGTCAACGTGATCGATCTTAACTTGTACAGCACATGCCTTATTTGTTCTTTCGATTTCCGATGTCATTCTGTTATGTGTTCCATGTGATGAGACGGGAGTGAACGCTCGCTCTGTATCGCCTACAACCAATCGCTTCATACCTAAGGTGGTAATGCTCACGGGGTCAGAGTCAAGCATCTGCCACTCTGTATCCTCGACCAATGAGATACGAAAGACTCCCCCAGACTTTGTGCATGCATCGTCTTGTGAATCATCACTAGTACATTTGAGGTGTCGCAGTCATTTCATCTTTCAGATCTTATTGATTGTGAGCTTCAGCCAACTTCGAGAGGATACGCCTCATCATCTTCAGAGACTTTGATCTACGCTTGGGCAACATAAATCATGGAGTTTAAACCTCGTCGTCTCTCGTCAACTCCTATAATACAACATTCGAGCGGACCTCCCATTTTCCTCAAAGCTGCCGGCTCGACTTCCGCTACGAATTGTGGATTGCGTCGCGTCATCAATCTCGTCAATCCATTGGCCCGAGGTTATGAGGACAGTCGGCTTCCAGATGTGGAACAGCTCTGTTTGTTGAAAAATAGATCAGCCAGTGTTCTGCGCACTCTCTACCAAGCTACATTCCAGCTCCAAACCCACTTACCTGAAATACCATCCCAGGACAGTCGTCATGCCGCCACGACGACAGCCGTAAACCTCATTAGCAAGGTGCCAGACGCACTCTGCATGGCGCAACGTTCTCATTTGGAGTCCAGTGCGTGAGACGTGGAAGCCAAATAATTTCCCTGAAGCCCCAGACTTGCGGCACGTGGACTTGTATGCCTGGCTTTCATAGTCTCCGACTAGCTCATCACATACTGCGTCCAGGTTGTCGACCACCTGGTCTAGTTCCGCGCCCCAGACATCGCCTGCGTCGTTACAAATGGCTTGAACACTAGCGATTACCAGAGCGAGAACGGCGAGGTGAGCGAGCTGCATGACGAAGTAGTGTCAGGAAGGGGTTTGAGATGGAATGAAAAATTATCGATTGTGTAGTGCCGATGTTAGGAGGGGGCCGGGTTGCTTTATGTCGATGTTGGTGTGATTTATATTCTGAGGCTGCAGTATCTACCAACTTGCCACTGAAAAAAAGCAACCCTGCATCCCGAAATACATGCTGTTTTGGGCTTTGGCAGGTGGTACGCATGTGACTGTCATTTGACCAGCCATCGCGTGGTTGTAACATGACACATTGATCGTTACCGTTTGGCCGAGCTTTGCGCAAGAGAAACAAACATCTTCCAACAGAACCAACCATTCTGCGATAACAAAAAATTATCTCCAGAAAGACGTCTGGCTACCTGTCCACCGCATGTCGAGTGTGTGAGAAGTTCACGGTTCTCACAACCACCAATGTGAAAAGATCCACACGGATACTATCACCTAGATAATTAGATGCAACTCATCAGTCGCTACGTAGCCTGTAAAAATGCCTCAATCAGGCTGTGGGTATTACGAAACGTATCGAATACAGTCAACTGCAAGATTGCTGTTTGCCACAGAATGGATACGACTTTGTTCTGGGGGCAGGGAGACGAGGTGGAAGGAGAAATGGTGCATCATGGGTTGATTACACATTGCACAAGTGTAGTGTGCAACTCAGTGAGATACATTTCCATGGTAGTATGTGAAGCTAAATATCATTGGGTTCACGCGGAAACCGAGGTAGGGGTGTGAATGTATCCTGCATGTCAACTTGCATTGACAAGGCCGTTGAGATACACCAACTAAATCTCACTAAGATGCCAGCGTCTTAAGTAGACTGTCCCGTATCGCTTCCTGATCCACTGCCTTTCCTATCAGCACGAGCTTTGCTTGCTCATCGCGTGGTCCCTGCGGTGCTTTGACTTCGTTGGTGTCGTAGATGTTTCGCACGCCCTGGATAAGGAGCATTCGATCGTCTTTGACGGGGATGCGAGCTTTGAGACGATGTATTTCGAATGGTCGTTCTGGGATGATGTGGAGGAGTGTTTCTTCCCACAACATTGTGCGCAGAAACAGGTCGAACCTGTCGATCTGATACGGCTCTAGTGCGGGGAATGATATGGTGGTAGTCGTGATGGTCTGTAGAATGTGAGCGTGCTTGTCTGCACGCAAAGTCAATACAACACTTACCGGATCAAGATGGCTATGTCCTTTGCTTGCAAACTTGAGGTCGGCGTCGGAGACTTCATCATACGCGTGAAGATCTAAGATCATACCTTCTAGCTGAGGGACTTGACTCTTGGTAGTTGTCTCAATCCGTGCTAGACCATTGATGGAGCGTATGCGATCGACCACATTTCGTAGTTCTGGTTCAGACACGAGATCGGTTTTGTTGATGATGATGACGTCTGCATGGCTGATTTGAAGATGTGCGGTTGTGAGAAGCGGACCATGTTCATCATGCTCATGTTCCTGTTTGTTCTCGTCACCATAGCCTTCGTCTAAACTCTTCAACACATTTTTGGCGTCGACGAGCGTTACGATGCCGTCGAGGAAGATGGAACTGCCAAGTCCGTCGTCGAGCCAGAACATGGGTGCGATATTGCCAGGATCTGCTAGGCCGGTGGTTTCGAGCAGGATGTAGTCAAATAGCTCGCCTCTTTGCTCCATCAGATTTTCGATAGCGGCAACGCCCACGTCTTTGACAGAACAGCATATACACCCATTTGCTAGAGGGACGAATGGAACTGGGCTAGCTTCCGTGCTGTTGGTGTCGGAAACAGTGAGTTGCTTTTCAATGTCGATGGCTGTGGAGATGTTAGTCGAAAGCTCTTCCATGAGCACAAAGTTGACATACAATCGCCGAACTCGTTCAAGATGACTGCGATCTTTTTGCCGTGCTGCTCTGTGAGAATGTAGTTGAGTAAAGTGGTCTTGCCTGCGCCAAGGTAACCGGTGACGATGGTGATGGGAACTTTGCTGAGCGCAGTATCGTCTAAGCTGGCCACCAAATTCGGCACTTCCTCGTCCTGACTGTCTCTGTCCTTGGCATTCACTTCAGGCTGTACAAGGCTTGGGACCTCATCGTCTGAAGTATCCGCGTCCATGTCGAGTCGATGATGTGGAGTTTGCAAATAGATTGCAGGGCTAAGAGAAGTTTCAAGGACTTTGGATGTTCTTCACTGAGGGGACTAGATTTTAGATCAGGATGAATAGACGAAATGACATCAATTCCGACAAGCTTGATCGGGGTTCGGCTATGAAAATCCGATGTATAAGGGACACGCTGTAGTCGGGAGGAGACATACTTGGAGCTCAAATCTGACCAAAAAGAGTACAGTGCACCTTGATATCAATTCACAAAGTGTGAGGACGGTATGTGACGTAGCTCGCTGGGAAAGGTCACTGCTAGCGTTAGCGCGGCGTGGCTGTCCCTGCATGTGCAAGCTCAACATGATTCGAACAGACACGCAACAACACCCCCACGCGACACAACCACGACCCCATACTACAGCCACAACACCACAAAAGTCACAAAATGGCATCGCCGGCTTCACCGCGTCTGCCAAGCCCTCCGCCGATCCCAGAGGACCAGTTGTCACCAATGCCAGCCAGCCCCGAGCAGCAGAAGCTCTTCAGCAGCCTCGACCACAATGCTGCGCGAAGAATCCGGCCAGGCACCAAGGCTGAAGACATGGCAGAGGGACCTCCGCTAGTAGATCTGTCAGAAGTGCGAGCACTGCAAGATGCATTCTCGAGGAAGTGCTGACTTATGGATAGATCGACTCAGCTTTCCAGCTCACCGAACACCTGAAAGCGCTGCACAACTTCCTCACACACCCCATCGGCTCGAATGGCACCATCGCAGTGGACAGAGATATGGCGATGAAGCTTGCGCAGCCGCCAGAGAACGTGGACAAGACTCTCTGGCTTTACGAGCTATGTCGCTTCCTCATTCAGAAGGTCAACTCGATCATCGTCGCGCTATTCTCCGATAACCCGCCTTGCTCGTCCATAACCTGCCCCGAGATGCGCGCATCAGAATGGCAATACCTCTGCGCTGTACACGACCCGCCCAAGTCATGTTGTGCTATTGACTACTGCTGCCACACCTTGGACTGGGCTGCAAACACTCTTACATCGCCGAAGCACTTCCCCTCCAGGCTGGCATTGGGCACCGACCAGTCGACACAACACTCACAGGCGCGCCAACTGACCAACATCTTTCGGCGCGTTTACCGCATATTTGCGCATGCCTGGTTCCAGCATCGCGACATGTTCTGGAACGTCGAGGGACGTACGGGGCTATATATCTTCTTCAAGACTGTGTGCGATTACTATGGACTGATCCCGGATGACAACTACACCATACCTCCCGAGGCTGAGGGCGACGGCACTGAGCCTTCCACGGAGTCGAGGTCCGCAATGCTACCAACGATTCTAAAACGTGAGCCTTCTGGGCCCGGGCCAGAAGATTCGGACAACTCTACTATCCTCGAGGGCATCTCAGACCACAATCTCTCCACGGCTGGCACCACCAAGCGGCACAGGCATTCACCATCCGTGGGCGCCACAGCCGTGTCCACAGTAGTGGAAGAAAATGAAGAGGAGGAATATCAACCAAAGGACGCCACTCGACCTGTGACGCAGCTTTTTGAATTGACACCATCAGAGGACGCGCCACAGCCGACAGAGCTAGAGCAAACCGGCGATGCTGAAGATGAAGACGAGGAGGATGACGAAGCCGACGCTGAAGATGCCGACGAGCTGGAGTCCGCTGCGCCAGAAGGCGATGCAGGTGAAGAGGAACCGGAAAAGCAAAGTGCTAGCGACGAAGCCAAGGCAGATCCAACGCCTGAAATCGAGGAAAAGCAAAGTGAAGACGCGCCAACTGCCATCGAGGCCGAGGATGCATCAGACGACAAAGCGTCAGATCTGGAAGGCTCAGATGCAAAGGAGCCTGAAGAGGAGCCTTCGAAGGACGAATCGGGCGTCAGTGAAAGCTCTACGACAAAAGCGGAAGCCGAGAAGGTGGAGACAGATGTGGAGTCTGCCGCCAAACCAGAGGAGCCGCCTGCAGAGGAAGACAAGACCGGAAATTGAGGCCGACACGGTAGACAGAAATGTTGACCTCATGTGCATTTCTTCCGGCTCACCTACGGCTTCATGCAGTAGCGGGATGGGGGTTACAGTTCTTCACGATATACCAATTTTTAGCGAATGCGACCCCTTTGGGATATGCTTGTTTCATCCTGACGATCAGAAACGGGAATTTTCATAATGCAGCGGGAACGGTGATCCTGGTCGATGCGGCTCTGTAGGTTGTGATACCTCGCCCACGTTGTTGGCACAGATACGTGAGACACTAGAGGCATTGGGGTATATTTCACGTCAATAGATCCGAGGACACTGCGACGTGTTCATTCGCCGTCGCCAAGTTGATCAGAAATAAAAGCCTCAGATGACATTCGTGGGCCAAGAGCAATCACTATCTGTGCACGTATACTTGAAACTTAGCATCAAGAACCAGGCCAAGCGATATTACAAAGATTCGTACAGTCGCGTCGATGTTCCAAAAAAAAAGTCGGAGAAAGCAAAGATGCTTGATATCGTACAGTGAGATGGTGGCGCTTATCGATCAGGGCATAGAAAGCGTCTGTTCGCCTGTCAGATTGGTCTCACGTTGGAGGCGTTTGGGGGCCCATGATCAGCATTTTCATGCGCCACCTCAACACAACTTCTTTTGGTGCGCGATATATCATTTCATGACCTGATTCTGAATATTTTGAGCGAGTCGGGCCGTTCTTTAGTCTATGGAAGATAGTTGTATTCCAATCGAGCAAATGTTTTCTCGCATGGACGCTCCGCTCCGCTGCCTTTTCCCTGCAGTGACGTACGCACCTGTGACGATTGGCTGGACTCTGACAGGCTCACTAAGTATCTGGGGTAAGGCGTCGGTGGTGGGTGGTCAGACGAGCCGGTATTCATGCGGGCTGGCCAATGACAGAATGCACTGGCGGCGCACGTGTGGAGATTAGTTCAGGGTGCTTTCGCTGGCCCACGAGAATTGAGGCTTTTTGGTGGTGGAATGCGTGTTTATCCGCGGACTCTGCTGGGACGGCGCAGTGCTTTGAGGAGCAAGCAGGAGATGGAGGATTTGTAGATACGAAAGCAGATAACCGCACACAAGCGAGCGCGCAATGCTGCAGCCCTGCGCATGGCTAGGCGGGCGTTGATATCAAGTCGAGCAGGTCCAGCCATAGAGAGGCGGGCGCTGGCGGCTCCCGTGAATTTACGAGAAATCGTGACGGCGTCCCACGCACTGGTCAGCCCCCACGCTTCTCCACATTCTGGTGTCTTGAGGTCGCGTTCGAGTTCGAGTCCGGCCCGTCGCATGCACGCATTCCAGTGGCCTTGCTCCTCGAGGCTCTCTCTGATTGCTGACGGCTACCGCGTCGTCGCAGGTGGTCGTCGCCATTCGCCAGCGCTCTGCAAACTACCCCTCACCTGTTCAGGCATCTCCTGGACAGCTCGAGGGCACGGGACCGCCTTAGCACTGATATCGCGGCTGCTGCGGCGTAGGATTCTGCATCCTGGCACGCTCCCAAATATAGCGAACCTAAGTCCTCGCCGCGGCAAGCTTACAATTACGGGATTGCTCCCATATCCACTCGGCCTCCCGCGCCTGATCGCCTCCCTCCCACGAAGCATCTCGTCCTGGCTTCCCCACGCTCAGGGTTCTCTCCACACCACACAAGCTGTCACCATTACTCGCCGCATCACGTCCGACGTCGTGTCTCGCCTGCGCACCCACCGACGAGGCCCGACTGCAAGTCATCGTCCAGGGTTCAGCCCGATTCGCACGGGTCCTCGCCCCTCTAGTATCTGCTACGCGGCACCTGTAGAGCTCGCAGCACGTCGCAGCGCTCGACAGCCACGGGCTCAAGCCTCCTCGGACCATCGCACTAGTACCTGCCTCTGATCTGCTGTGCCTGTTGGGCCTCCACCCCCGCGCACATCTCTCTGGCGCATCTCGTCGTGATTCCAAGAAGCATGCGCGCCACCTCTAGGGCGGCTTCCAGATTCCTTGACTAACTTCACCATCCTTGGGCAAACGCACACGCGAGCCTCCCCGCCACCGCAACACAAACTCCACACCTTACCCCAGACACGCCCACCGTCTTGCCCTAGCACACCGCACAACTTCACACGGCCCTGCGCACCGGCGATGACGGCGCAAACCCTCTCAATGCATGCAGGGCACCCGTTGGAGCTGGGCAAAATACAGACGCAGTTTCCAGACAAGATGGAAACCAATTCCGGCGCTGCGGAGCCGCCAACGCCCGCATCGCCAGACAGCGGCGAGGGGCGCGGACGCCGTCGCGACAGAAGTGAAGACGATGGCGGCGACGGGGACGAGGGCACGGGCTCTAGGAAGAGACGGAGGAGCAGAAAAGGGCTCGACAAGAAATTTGAATGTCCGCACGAGGGCTGCGGGAAGAGCTACTCGCGCGCCGAGCACCTATACAGGCACCAGCTGAACCGTGGGTGACGGCTTGAAACACTGCATTGCACAACATGCTAATCTATGTAGACAACCCCAAGCAAATCTACCACTGCGACTTCCCAGACTGCCACCGCTCCTTCGTTCGACAAGACCTCTGCGCGCGACACAAGGAGAGACACACCGCTCGAGGCTCCCAGCTCCTGCGCAAAGATACCTTCAATATGCACAACCTGAATCCGATTGTGACGGCAGCCCTGGGCGGTAAGAATGCGCCGCCAGCGAAGCCAATGGATATGAAGAGGCAAACGCCACATGGACTGCAGTCTCCAGCGTCTGCAACAACATCCAATCTTGCGAGCCAGATGTCGCCACCAACCTACCACTCGCCCGCGTCGAGCATGAACAGAAACGACTCTCTGCAGCGCAATGGAAGTGAAGACGCGTATCGAAATAGCTCAGACGTCAAGCCTTATGACATGCAGGCCCAAGGCGCTGGGAACTTTGCACCCCCACCGCGTCCGTCCGCTTTGGGTAACTACAGTGGAGGTCGAACACCTCTCCACAACTCCCCACATGTGGGTAACGGCAACTTCACACGGCCCGACTTGCGCGCGCAGACCTCAAACATCTCAGGTTATGGCTCGAGCTCGCCCTATAGCGCAGCTGTAACACCTGCACCGTCGTACCCGCCATCGGCGGCGTCGATAGCTTATCAAAGTCAACCTAACAGTGGGTTTCAGTCCCAGCAAAGTTTCTCTCCATTCTCATCCTTACCTCCTCCAGAATACCCGTCCCACTCTGTAACCCCCGTGGCTAGAGAACAGGAGAACCAGTACTACAATGGCACCACTGGGCAGACCCCAATGAATGGGGTTGAGTCCACTGCCGCCCAATTGAACGGCGTCTCGGAAGCCATTATGGATCAAACACCATCCTATGCTATGCCCATGTTTGGGGGCGAAGGTTACAGTCGCTCGCCGTTTGCCATGGCTGACGATTTTGCCGCATGGTTGTTTAATGACAACCAGCTCGCCGCCGGCGGAGCATCTCCAATGGGCTACCCGGCCGGAGGTAACCCCGTAGCGGGTGCATCTTCTCAGATTGGATTACAGGCACCTTATTTCAACTACGATCCTTCGGTTTCTGGCTACCAGAACAATCCTGCGCCTCCAGTATCACATCCAATGGCAGTACATAGCATTCTTGACACTACTCTACCCGAATCTGCGCTATCGGAAGATAAGCGCCAGGCACTGCTCGACATCATCCATCATCGCTTCAACGAGACTGACCATGCTCCAGTCAAGAAACAGAAAGAGGACATCATGGAGGGCAACAAGGACGACGACCATCATGTCCTGAGCTTACGCATGATGCAGACTTATATTAGCTCGTACTGGGTCCACTTCCATCCTCAGCTGCCGATCCTCCACAAGCCGACATTCAACGCAAGCAATTGCCCTGATCTTCTGCTACTCACCATCATGTGTCTTGGTGGATCATGCCTAGAGAAGAACTATGGGCACGAAGTGACGCAGGCTTGCGCTGCGCTATCCAACTTCCTTGCTTGGCACCTCAGGTGGGAGCTCTTCATGGATGCTGACTTCCGCCCGCCGGCAAAGCTGTGGATATTCCAAAGTCTTCTCTTGCTCGAAGTCTTTGAGAAGATGTACTCCACTCGCCCGCTACACGAGCGCGCACACATCCACCATGCAACCACCCTGACGCTAATGCGGCGAGGGAGCTCGCTCATTGGAAGGTCAGCCCTGGACTCGCCCCCAAGCATGAAGGATGGAAAGAGTGGTTCGATTGGCGGCACACACACACCTGACGAATGGTGGAACCATTGGATCACGAATGAGGCTACTAGGAGAGCAGCATTTGCGGCCTTTGTCATGGACAGCATACATGCCACCATGTTTGGACACAGTGCCGTCATGGTTGCACATGAGATGCGTCTACCATTGCCATGCGACGAAGCACTGTGGTCTGCGACAAGCAGCTCGGAAGTGGGACGGGTCGAAGCAAGCCTGCACTCCAACGGGGTCAAGCAAATGAGCTTCCTCGATGGCCTCAAGAAAACACTGAACGGGCAAACTGTGCGTACAAACTCTTTCGGTCGCACAATCTTGATGGCAGGTCTGCTTAGTGTCTCGTGGCACATGAATCAGCGAGACCTCCAAGTCAGCTCGCTTGGTGTCACACAGGCTTTGGGTGGACGCGATAAGTGGCGAGGCTCACTCACTCGCGCGTTCGACTTCTGGAAGCAGGATTTTGACAGCTCGCTTGCACGCCCGAACGACTTCACCGTACCGACTACATTTGCCTACTCGAACGGAATGGACGACGACAACGTTTTCGAGGCCAGGACTGTGCTACATCATCTCGCACACATGGCGATGCATGTCGATATTGTGGACTGTCAGATCTATGCTGGCGCTGCACGGTTACTCGGTCGCTCCATTACGCCACAAGACTACAACGGCGCTCAGCGGCGTATGAAGGAAGTATGGGCACCAACTGCTCGCGCTCGGGATGCTACCTTCTATGCTCTGCAATTCCTATCAAAAGTCATGGTCGCTGGAGATCACACTCTCAACCCCAAAACTGCACCACAGGCGGGCTTCTCCTATTCGGCTCGGGACGACTTTCTTCTCAACCGACCTTGGGTGCTCTACTTCGCCACTCTCATCGTCTGGTCATACGGATACGCGCTCGACGGACCTATCACCCCGCCCTACTCTATCCCTACCCACGAGGATAAAGTCAAGGACATGGCCGGCTTCTTGACACGCGTTGGAGGCGTCAGCAAGCCAGACGACCTGGCCAATCTGCGCGATCGGAATGCATGTCTTGGACTCCTCATCATCATGCGCGACATGTTCAAGAAGACGAGGTGGGAGCTGCTACACGAGGCGAGCAACTTATTGACCAAGTGCATCGAGATGCTTGTCCCTGGCGGTGACTACTAAACCACTCCGTGCTTCGTCGCACTCACTGTTGTTTTACCTTGCCATCATGTTACTTGATTTTGACGGATATACCAGACTGGGCGGGCGATTTACGATGTTATGGCATTATCTTCACTTTGCATTGATGTTCATACGGTTCAAGGCATTCTGTACATGATTTTTTATGCATCCTCCCCGGGTGGTGGAGTGCTGAGTTTGCTTTATACCCCATGGGTTGTTGGTGCGAATTTGATATCGCTTGATTCGGTATGGAATATGGGAATATGATTTTAGGTTGCATTAGCATGATGCGTTGGAATTAATGCGGATTGTTGATACGATGAACATGGTCTTTGCTTTCGTATTTCTGACTACAACTCTGATACTGATGCGTGAGTGAATGTTTTAATACCGCCATCCGGGCAGTTACAGCTGTCAGAGTTCACGTGACCACGCGAAGGCGCGAATTATCTGAACGCGCGCCTCCCCGTCTGGCAATCGCCACAGCCGCCCCCGCGGCAGTTACGATGCATCTTCAAACACACTTGTCCATGCCCAATTCAATTACCTTCATTGCACCTGAAGTTTTCGGTTCTCGACAAATTGTACTGTCGCAAGTGATTGCGTCATCGATCTTTGCGACTCGAGCAGCGTTCCAGCACCAAGCAGCGACCATGACAGAAGGATGCCTCGGTTGAAAGCAGCAACTGTGTCGGATCAGACGGTGAGGAAGAGGAAGAGAAAATTGTGCGACGAGCATGCGCCGGCGGAAAGCACGCCTGCGCCGGACAGCGAAAACACGTCCCTCGACGCCTCGGGCAACGAAGGCGCAACAACCACAACGGTACCTACAAAGACACACGATGGTGGGAAGAAGCCACGAAGAACGCCCAAGAAAGGCGGCGCAGCCAAGCCAGCATTGGTGCGCCATGCATCCTCCACCTTGATCGAGACGACGATTCCATGGCCTGAGCACTTCACGAAGCTGTCCCAGGTCCACCGCGCCCTGAACCTCGTCTACACGTTCTGTTGTACGCGCAAGCACCTCGCGACCACGCTGGATAATTTGAAGGCAACTGTGGAAGGGCACATAAAGCGACCACTGCTCATCGAAGATGTGGCGCAAATAACGGCTCTGATACCAAAGTCTATCACCTTTGCGTATGTGGATGAGGCCATGCTGCAGATCAACCTGATGGGCCAGGAAGATCACATCCAAGGCCGCAAAACGCAGGACTTTGTCATCACGATGCCGGAGCCGGAGAAAGGCGAGCATAAAGAAGTTCTGCTGTTCGAGTTTATCGATGGTGATTTGAAGCGACAAGTCCAACATGCGAAGACGGGCGAACCTACTAAGGCGACACAAAAGCTGCGCCATGAAGAGCTGAAGATGCCGGTTTTCAGTCAGAAACAGATGATGAATATGATTGAGAAGAGGAATGTCAAGTTCACAAGCGCGGTTAATGCGTTTTTGAATCAGTGCGCCGAGGATAAGGTTGATGCGGTGGAGAAGATGAACGAGATTTCACAGGCATTCGTTCCGGTGCCGGCTGAGAGCAGAGCTTCGACGCCAGGGCCAGATAGGGCTTTGATACCGAGCACTATACCGACAGAGCGAAAAAGCATACCAGAAATTGTGGATGAGATCAAGACTCTGGAATGGTACACTGGTCAGATCGTCCCGGATGGCCACCGCGTATTCGATCCGCAGGAAGCGATATATGGCGACTTGAACTTCCAGCTGTCCCAGAACATGGTTAATGCGCTGTACAACACGAAGAATATCACACAGCTGTATGCGCATCAGGCAGAGGCAATCAATAATCTTTACGAGGGACACAATATCATTGTGTCGACTTCCACGAGCTCGGGCAAGTCGCTGATCTATCAGTTGCCTGTGCTGCATCAGCTGGAACAGGATCCCGACACTCGCGCAATGTACATCTTTCCCACGAAAGCGCTTGCACAAGATCAGCGGAAGAGTATGAAGGAGCTACTTAGATTCATGACCGGGTTGGAAGAAGTCGTTGTCGAGACTTTCGATGGCGATACACCAATGTCTGAGCGCAACTATATTCGGGATGAGGCTCGCATTATCTTCACGAACCCAGATATGCTGCACATCACCATCTTACCACAAGAGGACGCATGGCGTACGTTTCTCCAGAATTTGCGATTTGTCGTAGTAGACGAGTTACATGTCTACAACGGCCTCTTCGGCGCACACATGGCTTACATCATGAGGCGCTTGCGAAGGATATGTGCGGCGCTAGGAAATCGCCATGTCAAGTTTATTTCGTGCTCGGCGACGGTTGCGAATCCTGAAGAGCATATGCGGACAATCTTTGGCGTTGACGAAGTCAGGTTGACGGATTTTGATGGATCGCCTTCTGGACGCAAGGAGTTCCTGTGCTGGAATACCCCGTTCAAAGATCCAGGAGATCCGACTTCTGGAAGAGGCGATTGTATGGCGGAAACCGCGAAGCTGTTCTGTCAGCTGATGCTGAGAGGTGTTAGGTCCATCGCATTCTGTCGAGTGAGAAAGCAGTGTGAAGCTTTACTGTCTGCCGTCAAAATGGAGCTTACGAATCTTGAGAGGACGGAGGTCCTAGCTCGGGTCATGTCGTATCGAGGTGGGTATACACCTCAGGATCGACGGCAGATTGAGCGAGAGATGTTTGATGGCAAACTCATCGGCATCGTGTGTACCAGCGCCTTGGAACTCGGTGTTGATATTGGATCGCTGGACGCTGTTGTTACGGTCGGCTTTCCGTACACCATCGCCAATCTTCGGCAGCAAAGCGGACGAGCAGGTCGGAGGAACAAGGACTCCTTATCCGTGTTGATCGGTGACTGCTTCCCAACAGATCAATACTACATGTCAAACCCGGACGAGATCTTCACGAAGCCCAATAGCGCCTTGCAGGTCGATCTAGAGAACATGCTCGTTGTCGAAGGGCATATCCAATGTGCCGCCCATGAGATCCCCATCAATATCGAGACAGACACTGCCTACTTCGGCCCTCTCCTATGTAAGGTCGCTCGTGAGCGTATGCGCCGAGACCCTCAAGGCTTCTACCACGTCAACGAGCGCTTCCTTCCCCAACCATCGCGCTTTGTCGCCATCCGCGACACCGAGGAAGACCACTTCGCCATAATCGACATCACCCACGGCAAGAATACCGTTCTCGAAGAACTCGAAGCATCCCGCGCCTTCTTCACTCTCTACGACGGAGGCATCTTCCTGCACCAAGGCAACACGTACCTCGTCAAAGAATTCTCCCAAGAGCGCATGCTCGCCAAAGTCGAACTTGTCAAAGTCGACTGGACGACCCAACAACGCGACTACACGGACATCGACCCCGTGGAAACCGAAGCCATCCGCCGCATTCCCGGCTCCAAATGTAAAGCCTTCTACGGCCCCATCAAAGTCAAACAAGTCGTCTACGGCTTCTTCAAAATCGACAAGAAGCGCCGCATCCTCGACGCCGTGCAAGTCGACAACCCACCCATCATACTATTTAGCAAAGGAATGTGGCTCGACGTCCCGCGCTCCGCTCTTGATATCCTCAAGTCGAGAAGATTGAACATCGCAGCGGGCATCCACGCAGCCGAACACGCCGTCCTCTCCCTAATGCCGAACTTCGTCATCAGCATGCCCGGCGACGTGCGCACCGAGTGTAAATTCGCCCCCAAGGAATTCGCGAAGAAGGAAACTCAACGAAAGCGGCCTGCGCGACTTACTTTCTACGACGCGAAGGGCGGCGCGTCGGGGTCAGGCATTAGCACCAAGGCATTCGAACATGTGGATATGTTACTCCAACAAGCCTGCGAGCGGCTGCAGAATTGCGCGTGTCTCGAGGGATGTCAAGGAATGCTGCAATAACGACCAGTGCAAGCATGCGAATCAGGTTATATCGAAAGCTGGCGCGAGAGTCGTGGTCATGTGTATCCTGGGCCGCGAGAAGGATATCGATATCGAAAGTCTACCTTGGGGTGAAGAGGATACTGTGCCTGCAGGCATTGAGACGGTGGTTGAGGCGGAGGAGGTGCGGATGGCTGGGGGCAGGAGGGCGGTGCTTGGTGGGGATGAGGGGTTAGATAGAGAGGAGATGAAGAGGGCGAAATTGGTGGATGGGGTGTGGGTCAAGGTTGAGGAGGAGGAGGATGACCATTTTAGTAGGAGCATTGATATGTATCGCGGGGAGAGGACGTTTATTGGGGTTCATAAGACGGGCTGAAAGCCTTGAATTAGACTCCTGGGTTATACTTCTGTTTTGAGAGGGTTTTCCATGAGGGAATCTGATAAAGCTTGTGTATGTCTGGCAGTCTGGGATACGTGCTCGTTGCGAAAATACCGTTTTGTAGCATATGTTTTGCACATTGAGATTTCTTTTTCGCTGCAAAAGCCGGTACCATATATTAACGCGAGGTCTCACACACAGCTACACTTGGTTCCACCAACGCATATTCATCATCCTCAGTAGCTATCGAGCAACTCAGATATGAATGCCAACATAGTATCAATTACCCTAGCACTACTGGAGCATTATTCCTCCCTCACCCTCCCCTACAAGTGAAAATCCATGATCTGACACTTCCAACCCATCATCCGGTACACTTGCGAGCCTTCCCCCCAAGCCTCACCCCCAACCACGGTACACCATCGGACTTGTGCACCCACCTGCAAAAACGCCGCATATAAGAAGAATTCCTCCTCCCTTGATTTCATGTCTGATCTCGAAGACGTTGTGAATATCTCAACATCTCGGTGTCGGAACTTTACTTCAATATTCACTTATTTCTGACTGTGTCCAGGCTGCACAATGACACTCCTCTCACACCCTCCCCCACCCCCTCCCCCTCCGCGCGAGAAACACATCTTCCGCACCCTGCGCACCGCGACATCCACCTCGTGGCCGGGAATCTGCGGCTCGGGAGTCTGGATCTTGTGTTTCGCCCTGCTACTCAGCTGCGGGTACTTCGGCGCCATGCTCGCACTGGGATTAGAGTTACTGAAGATGGGTAAGGAAGCAACACATACGCCCGTTCAAGGTACCTCGTGGCAGTGTTTAGAGTTGCAGTGCTGAGAGAAATATCCAGGCTCCCACGTGCAATGCCGCCTGCCGTCGTCGGATGCGGCGTTCAGCCAGAAGCTGCCGGTGACGTATACGGCGGTTGATGGAATGAGGGTGGGGGATTTGGGGGAACAGATGGGGAAAATGTATTTGGCACTCCTTCGTCGAAAATGCTGCACTTGCTAATGCAATCAGGAATATTGTCTTGATATCCGCCATCTTCCCGCTATTCCCCATCCTGATCCTCCCCCTCCTCATCACCCTGCATTTCTGCCGCTGCGGGATACGCAACCGGACGGGCATGGGGTGGGCAATTTTCCTGGGTGTGTTTGAGCTGGGCAATGTGTTTAATGCAGATGTTGTAGGCGTGGACGAGAAGGCAGGGAAATGGTAAGTCTCTGCCTCTTTTTTTCTTTTTCTTTTATCAAGATAGTGTGTGAACGTGATGCTGATATAAAATAGGTACACGCGCTGCTCCCTCACCCCCTCCGAACTCTCAACTTTCATCCACAAACGACATGTGCGATGGAGTCTGGGTACTGCGGCGCAGATACTCAGTGGCGTGGCTTGTTTATGGTAATCACCTCCTTCCATCTCCCGACCCTTATATACTAAACCCACCCAGTTCCATCCTCTACTTCTCCCTCGCCGTCCTCGCGGCCTACAAAAACCGCTTTGCTGCCCAGTCTGCCAGTATCCGCATGGACGCGCTGGCGCAACAATCGCCGTACAATGAGGATCACCTGCCGACGCGGATGTCGACTGATCGGCCGGATGGACCGAGTCCGGCGCTGTATAATACCGCTGGGGCAATGCCGGTGGCAGGGTTGGGCGTGGGGAGGGGGAGGGTTGTGGTGAGGGATGTTTGACTGGCGGTGGAAGGTGTGGGAAGGGGATTGTGACGGGGGCGTTGAGGGGGATTAGTACGCGGATATGCGGAAAGTCGCTCTGAGTTTGTAAGTTTTCGTAGTATTGGGGAACGTTGAACAGGCAGAGATACCCATCGCATTGTATGCGACTATTGCTCACTGCCATGTCAACCTCGAAGCGTGTCGTCTCACGCACACCATCAATGCAATGCTATCGCAAGGAAACAACTCGAATTGATAGATAAGCTACATAAGAAGCCGCCTCTGCCATCCGAAAGACTATCTGGGGGATACTTGCTTACACAAAAGACAAAAAGTTCAAGCTCATTATATCTCCGCGGTGGTACATACAAATTTTCATCCAGGCTGGGCTATCTACATGCGGCTGCGATACGGCCTGGGAACGGGAGGCTGGAAGAATCTGTCAGGCAGCCTGTTGCCGTACTGATCGAAGCGGTAGTCTTCCTTTTGTTCAATCCACATCTGCGCAGACCTCGTCAGTCCCAGCTCACAGACGTCCGCGTGCGTTGAAGATTTTCCTTACCTCGCGTTCCTTGTACTCCTTGGAGAGAGGCACTGGTTGGGGATTCAGTATTTCTTCGTCGCCAAAGCCCGCGTCGCCTTGGAACCTACGCTGGTAGTGGGCCGCGCCAACGGGCTGCGGGGCGCCGTACTCGGCATACTCGCCGTACGGGCCGTAGTTGCCTTGTCCTTGTCCTTGGGCACGGGCGCGACGGGCGTCGCTCTGCATCCAGGAGTCGCGCTCAGGGAGACGGTCCTCGTAGGCTTCGGGGCGGCGGCCTAGAGGCTCAGGGAAGGGGCGGGACTCGTGGTGGCGTTCCTCGGGGTACTCGGAGCGGTACTGGTCGTGTTGCTCGTAGCGGTCATCATACTGGGCCTCGTAGCGTTGGGGATGGTCGAGGTGGCGGGGGTCACGGCCGCGCTGGACATGGATGTCGGCCTCGACGTGCTGGTGATGGGGGCCATGCTCGTCGATGTGGATGTCGGCGTGCTGCTCGTAGCGAGGCGGGCCCTGGCGGTCGCGCTCGAAGTAGACGTCACGCTCCTCGACACGTTCGACACGTCGGGGAGCAGCATCGCGCTCAATGTAGACCTCGCGCTCGACCCTTTCGTGAGTGTGCTGGGGCGGCGCGTGGGTGTGCTGATGCTGAGGAGGAGGAGGCGGAGCGTCGCGATGGATGTCGATGTCGATATGGGTCTCCTTGGTCGACTCCTTCTCCTTGGGCTTCTTGGGCTCCTCGACGGGCTCCAGAGCGGTCAGGTAGCCGAGCACCTCGGAAAGACTGGCGTGGGCGAAGTTGAGCTCCTTCTCGCGGTTCTCGAGCTTCTCCTTCTCGCTCAACAGCCAGTAGACGCGGTGACGAACGCCGATGCGGCGTCCGGCTTCGACATCACCACTGACGCGCTCCGTGTGCGGCGTGATGTTCTCCAGGGCGCCGCGCACGTCTCGCATGGCGCCGTAGACCCAGCGCGACTTCTCGGGGTTGGCCTCGAGGGCATCGTGGACTTCGCGGACGGACAGCAGGCGACGCACTTCATCGAGGTCGGAGCGGACGCGGCCCAATGATGCGCACGTAGACTGCATTGGATGGGCCGACGTCGCGCACTCGCTTCGCCTTGAAGAGGAACTCTCCAACCTTGTAGGCGCCGCCGACTGCCGTGGCGGCAGCACCGAGGGTGAGAAGCTCTCCTTTAACCATGGCGGATGCCGAGGAAGCTCCTAGGAGCTATGTAGAGCGAGGTGTTGCGTGTTCAATTGATTGTATGATGGCCTGCGGAGCTGTGGATGCGTGGCATCCCGCACCGATGTACAGCGTCGGCAGGTGGAGACGGTGAAGGTGAGTGTTAGGTTTGAAGTTAGCTGAGAAGCCTGAGCTGAGCTGCGCTGGGTGCTAGGTCAATAACACGGAGGTTGGGAGCGCAAGGTGCGCCATGTGGCATGTGCGCTTCATGCACAACAACAACCAGTTCCCAGGCCGAGCTTTCTCCAGAACGTGTCATGTTGACTTGAGCAGACGCCACGCGTTCTCAGCTGCTCATTCGTCTGCCCTCCCTCGATCAGCTGCTCAGCTGAACGCCATATCTGTTGATCGATTGCGTGGATCGATATCAAAAGGAAGCACAACTTCCTCGGCTATGGAGCTCCTGGGACAGGGGTCGCTCCAGTTAGCTTAGCTTGTGAACAACACATCACCAGTCTAGCCCGACCGACATCATACCATTCGGGGAGCATGGGCCTTACTTCTCGAAAATCCGTACGCATTACTTACACATGTGCAGTGTACAAAGGCGAGAACCTAGCATATGTCCAGTTCCAAAGAAAAAAAATTGGGAAATTCTTTGTTTACCAAGCTCTAGAGCTAGTACTTATCCATCGTCTCCACAGGTAACCATCCAATCGTCCACGGTGAAGGCCAACACAACGAAAGCACTACGGCATGCGATTCCACATGTCCACATGCTCCATGTCCTCGTCCTCGTCCTCATTCTCCTTGCCCTTGTGCCAGTCCATGTCCAGCAAGCTTCCACGAGCCGAGCTCTGGCCTTGGAAGAATCCCAAGTCCAAGTACAAGAAGTGCGAGAGTACGGGTTTGATGTTCACCAGGCGCCTCATGCTGCAGGTATTGAATAGGACTGGGAAGGATGGAGCACGGAATAGGTCACGAAGGTCACGAAAAGAGCCACCAAAGGGAGGAAGGTCCATGGCAGGAGACCGCCACCCAGTGTGATCGAATAATGAATAGCTACGACAGCGAATAATGGTGCCCTGAATTTACACCACTTAATCTACCGTACCGTTTAAAGCTGAAGACTAACGGGCCAACACAATCAATCTAACAACATTGACTCCTCAGACCTTGAAGGCTTCCACGGCAACGTTTCAGGCGCCAGTAGTCCAAAACCTGCTATCTGACTACTTCTGGCCTTAGCTTATAAGTCTTCGACGTCAGATAATAGGTGTTTTCGCTGTCGTGCGAATCGCGACCACTCTGCCGCCCCGTCGATGAACTACCGTGGCTGGAGTGACCACACGTGCGACAACGAGAGCAATATGGCAATATTCAGAACTTCAGACTACAATGTGCTAAACCATCACTAGCATATGAACAAGAAACACCACTCTCATCCTCCCACTACCATTACATTTCCTACTTGCCATACTTCTTAACAAAAGCTCGAACCTTCGGATCGCTCAAACTCAACACATTCCCCTCCGCCTCCAGCAACTCATGATTCTTCTTCTCAACCTCCGCCTCCAAATCACGCAACTGCCTATCCAACCGTGCGTCCGTCAAGTGGACCTGCTGGAACGGCGTGTGCTTGAACAAAGCGTCGACGATGACGCGCAAATCAGCATCGGCTTTGCTCGAGCGTTCGGCCAGTTTGTCGTGCGTAGATGTGGATGTAGAGGCATAGTGCTCTCGAAGCTTGCCCTCGCGTTCGGCTTGGGCGTGGATTAGTGAGTCTTGGAGAGCTTCGATGCTGTCTTGGTTGAAGGGTATGCCGGCGTGGCGGAGAGCGTCTTGGAGGGCTACAGGTAGGTCCAGGGTTTTTGAGGGCTTTAGCTTGACCATGGGCGTGAATGCTGATAGTGGCTCGGATGTAGTCCTTCGTCGTGGTGGAGTGGGTCGGATGGCATGGGCTTCTGGTAGACGCTTTGATGCTGCGTCGCTGACATGTGCGAGTGCTTGTTGGAAGCCATCGACGTCTTGTGTGCTGGTTGTGATGGTATCGAGGCGCTTGCCCATGTAATCGAGTGTCGTGAGAATCTACTGTTGTTAGTCGTAAACAAGAGAGTGAGATGTGTGACACGTACGTAATTCAACCATGCACCTCGAGCCTGTGTCACTTCTCGATCTTTTCGCTCCTTCATTTCGTTCATTGGCTTTCGTAGCTCGTGCTCGACCACCATCTCAGCGACCGACGCGATCTCCGAGTGCAGTTCCTCCATTTCAGCTTGCAAAGCAGCTTTCCGTCCCTTCAATTCCTCGTCTGATGTATCAGAGCGTCCATTTGACTGGCTGTCAGAGAGGCTGTTGAGGTATACCGCATCTACTCTAGCCTTGATCTCACCAGTGCGGAAAGAGACGATGGCTTTGCACCACTGATCGATGGACTTCTCGTCTCCGCCTTTTTCAAGCTCTGTGACAAGCTTGGAGACGATGCCCGGTAGTCTGCTTAAAATTTGATCATCTGATGCGAGCCGCTCACTGAGGTAGCTCCTGATGCTGGATTTGTCGGTGTCAACCTCTCTCTGTGACTCAGCAAGTTGCTCCAGTGACGGTTGCAACCACGTCGTCGACCTGGTTTAGTCAGTCACGCTACTTTGAAACATGAACATCAGAAGACGAACAGCAACATCCAATCTAGCCTTCTCTTGTCCCTCCTTTCTCCTTCTCTCGTTCCGTGAGTGCTCGACATCCATATTTGGCTTGTCGAGTGCCTTCAATTTCATCAAAGCATCTTTCTGTGCTTCCAGTACTTTCGATTGCGCCTCGATAGCAGCAGTTGAGCCCTGCAATGATTCAATCGCGGAGGCGATCTCGTGATCGAGAATTGGTCGAACTGGTTCCCCTTCGCTCTCATATTGGTGGAGCAGGCCTCTCTTCCTCAACGTCTGGTATCTAACACATATTAACTCGGGTCTTACACTCCATTCAACTTGCCTACAATTCAAGTTCTTCTTTGGTCAAAAGAGTGTCTTCGTGGAGATACTCCTCAACCCATGTGGCAGCTTCATGCTTTATTGCCTCGTCCTCAAAACCAAGGAGTATCTTATCGAGATCAACATTGAGACCGCGCTCCTCTAGGACGTTCAGCAGGTGGTGAGCGGCTTGCTCTTCCGCCATGTTGTGGTTGGGTCGTTGTCGTGGGATGTTTTGCTGGAGCCAAAGCGGTTAGATTCCGCCTGAACTACGGTTGACCAAGTAAATCCAATCGCGCAGTCGCGCTTTCGGGACGCGTGCGCGAACCACTTAACTTTTCGGTGAAGCCTTTCAAATCTGTTACACCGCGTCAACTTCGCATACTACATACACAATGGCTACCCCAGCTCTCGAGCCCGTAATATCCCCTTCAGACTCCTCCCAGCCAACCAAAGACACAACAAACGGCACCTCAAAATCCTCTACATCCACACCCGCAAACCCCTCACATGAAGAATACCAATACCTCAACCATGATATCCGACATCCTTCGCAAATGGCGAGCACCGCCCCGACCGCACCGGCACTGGGAACCTACGCCCTCCCCTTCCCCCCACAACTAAAATTCACACTCTCCCGCCCCTCCACTGACCCCTCCTCACCACCCGACCTCATCCTCCCTCTCCTTACCACAAAGCGCGTTTTCACGCGCGCCGTAATCGCCGAACTCCTCTGGTTCATCGCCGGCTCCACACACTCGCAACCGCTCAGCGACGCAGGCATCAAGATCTGGGACGGCAACGGGTCGCGCGCATATCTCGACAGCGTAGGCCTCAATCACTACGAAGAAGGCGAACTAGGGCCCGTGTATGGGTTTCAATGGCGTCATTTCGGCGCGGAGTATAAAGGACATGCGCACGATTACACAGGCGAGGGCGTGGACCAACTCGCCGACGTCATCGACAAGATCAAGAACAAGCCGTATGATCGCCGCATCATTCTGAGCGCGTGGAATCCCGCAGATTTGAAGAAGATGGCGCTCCCGCCGTGCCATATGTTTGCGCAGTTTTACGTGTCGTTTCCGAATGGCAAGGAGCGGAGGGGTGTCCTGCATAGTCTGCTGTATCAGCGCAGTTGCGATATGGGTCTCGGTGTGCCGTTTTAATATCGCGTCGTATGCCCTGCTGACGCATATGCTGGCGCATGTGTGTGATTTGACGCCGGGCACATTCACGCATACCCATGGGGCGATGCGCATGTGTATGCGGACATGTGGGAGGCGTTGAAGTGGGCAGTTGGAGCGGGAGCC